TACGAACCAGATAAACCTAACGGTTCAACAACTGGTAGAAGAGTTACTAGATCAATGACTGGAAATCACCGAGAGAAAAAGAAATCTTGTTGTTCAGGAGAAAATGCTAAAACCTTATTGTGCCTACTTCTGATTTTAAATCTCTTTCCTTCACACTTTGCTTTTTCAATTGCTCCATTTATAAATTGGAAAAATAGCAATAAACCCATTGTAAAAGGTCAAATAACTCACAACATCATGATAGCAATCAAAGCTCCTTGTCCTGAAATTAAAATCTTAACTAGTCGTCAGCTCGGAATTGCGTCTGACGACAATGAACCTGATGTGCAAGATCCTCTGCTTTGTCCAACAGATTTCGCATGCCTTGCATTAACGCCCAACGGAACGTTGAAACTCCTCGAAACAGAAAGACCATTCAATCAAATTGATATCATTGACAAAAATCAAAGGAGGGCTATTAAGCAATCTTGTACTTTAAGCCCAAATACAAATTGCGCCAAATCTTCCAAGAATGCTTGTTTAACAGCTAATGGTGACCATTACGTCGCAAAATTTGAAGAAGAGACGGCTTATTGTTATAATGAAAAAAGAAACTTAACTACCGAATGCGAGGAATGCAATGTTAGCACACCAAAAGACTGTCCAGTCTGTCCTGTTTGCTCAATTCTACAAAGCCGAGTTATCGATTGTGCGGTTAGCAGTCCTCCTGAACTATTATCTGACATTAAAAATCTCCAACGGATAACAGATCAAGTTTGTCAACAAACCACTGAAACTTCAGTTTTTCAGCCTCTCAGCAAATTATGTCCGGTTAAACGAAGAACAAAAAGAGTAGGTCCATTGGTAGCTCTTGGAATTTACGTAGCAGTAACGTCAATAGTTGGAGTAATTAGTTCAACTTTACCAGCTTACAATCTTTGGACGAATATGGAACAAGATGATGCTATAGACAAAATTTGGGAAGACTTAGATAATAAGTTTAAACAAGACACAAACCTTATCAATGCGATTCAAAATTTGACGAGCAACCAGCAAAAATTAGCAAATGAAATGAAGAAAATGCATGACCGAATGGACACTTACTTTAAATATTCACCTTTAAGTTTGCTGGCAACATCAAAAACAATGATTGAATTATCAGCAATTAAAAGTAAATTAGAATTGGCTGAGCGTGATGTCAAAAATAAAAGACTTAGTGACCAATTCTTAAAGATATTTAACATTACTTTGGAATGTGGAGCAGATTGTCCGACTGAAATGGCAACAGATTTCAATTGCGAATTTGAAAAACGAAATGGAACCAGCAGATTGAAAATAAAGTTCGACTCACCAGTCATAGACACCAACAAAATTATCTATAGAGCGGACCCTTTTCGTTTGATTCATCACAATGAAAGCCATTATTGCAACAAAGTTTACCGTGGGCCAAAATATGTTATTTGGAGAAATAATACAATTTGCCCTTTCAACCCAGAAGATATTGAAAACGAGGACAACCTAATCTTAAATCCTGATGATAATGATTGTATCGACTCAGATGATAAAAATTTGGATGAATTTTGGAAAACAGAGAATTGCACCGAAAAAATTAAACGAGCCGATGTCCAAATTAAAGTTGCTAATGAAGAACTTTATATATATTGTTTCAATACCAACATTACGATATTTGATATAACTAAACCGTGCCCAATTTATCCATTCAGAATAACTAAGGATACTGTTTTCACAATTGGAAAAACATTTTACAATGTTACTCACTTAAAAATGACCATTAACGCAACTGAAACTTTGAAGATTAATCTCTTGCTAAGTCCGACCATGTCAAGCTTCGAATTAAAACCAATTGTGATTGAGAGATTTGATGCTGTAAATTTTGTCAGACGACACAGCTCTAATCCATTAGTTCAACTAATTGGAGTCACAGGACTGATGTCTTTTATTAGTCTACTTTGTTTGCTTATTGGTTGCAAAATTAGAAACAGAAGAAAAACTTACGTCCAACCAAGTAGAAAAACACCAAACTTTGTCGGCCTGGTGACCGGAGGCACCATTATTAAGGCCAAAAACCCGAAAAGTTATGATGTTGATCACCTTTATTAATCCAAGATCTTTGTTTTCTTTGAATATTTTACAGAATGGAAGATCAAAAGAGCTCTAGTCTGGCTAATTGGAGGCATGTAAAGGAATATGCTGCAGAAAAAATTAAATTCTACAATGACCAAATCTTAGACGAAGAATTCCCACTCCCAAGGCGTGTACGTTACAAATATATGTTATACTTATCCGTACTGGAACTGATGTTGGAAGCTGCCATCACTTACAGAAAATTATATTTTATAAAATTACACGGCCACGGAAGAACCAGGAGATTCCAAGCTCTGGTTGGGGACATGTTTGTCGCTCTAGATCAGATAGAACGATACATAGAATGTAACAATCTAACTTTCTTTTACGCCATCATGCGTAAAGAGTACATTGAAGAATTTAAAAATTTTGTTCGATTTTAGTTAATTAGAATTTTAGAATAATTAATAGTAATGGTTCCCATAAATGTTGTAAATGGAGACCATTTAGTTGAAAAATGTGTAATTCAAACTGTAACCTTAACTTAAAAATTAATCATTTAATCTACCTAATAAATCTAATTATTTAATTCATCTATTCCTTATTATGTATTACAGAAATGGAGAACCAATTGTACAACTGGAAATTTATGCAAACCAACGCACGGCATAAAATTAAAAATATTGATTTCATGCTGGAAACGGGCAACTTCATTCCCACGAGGAGAGTAGTCCGCAGATACCTAATAGAAAGACGACTATGCGAAAAAATGTTATACATGGTAGCTGTTCATCACTGGTATCATCAAGCCAGATCCTTGAACTACAGAAGAAGAACTCAGAAATTGAGAATTAGACTATGCCTGTTAATAGATGAGTTTGAATTTCTCATAGCGAAATATCATTTAAATCACTATTACTACAGTTTTCGCAGATTACGTGAAAATTTTGATGAATTTCGTGACTGCGAAAATAACATTAACTTAGCCAATTGATCTTTGAGACATTGATTGTAAATGACCACTATATATGTTGTAAATGGTGGTCATGTAGTTTAAAACCTTTAATCATAATTGTAACTCCATCATCATCTTTTGAATCATCATCTAGACAGACAAAAGAGGGACCTTTTGAGTCTGAGGAGGGGGAAATGCTAAAAATAAGAGAGTTGGCAAGCTATTCTTGCCAACTCTCAAACGTAGGCTAAGCTTATTTTTAAATGTAGCCTTATAAGGCCATCAACAGGATGAAGATGAGGATGATGAGGATAGAAATGAAGATGAAGATGAAACATAAATATATACAAATGTACAACACAGTTTTTAAGGGTCTTTAGTTAGTAACTAACCTAACCACAGTTAACTTAATAATTATAATCACCAATAAAATAAAGTGAATTTCTTTTTAATAGAAGTGAATGTCTATTCGTTAAGTTAAATCTTACCAGTAGCAATTAAAATCATCATTCTTGACCAATCATTAGATTTTACTGTGGGCTATAATATAACTAAATTTTAGGTGAGTCAAGATCCTAAAAAAGAGTTATAAAGATTTTTATCATTGTACTACTTAGGCTGTCAAATTTGATTATTGATTTATAAAGGTAAATGGTTACATAAACAAAAATCATCTGACGTGTTAGAAGGATTTTCATTATTTAAAGAATTAGCTCATAACCTATTCTACCACAATTAAGGTCGTTTGAAAAGTTTCGGAGTCATAAGAATCGTCATTGAAAAAGAAAGAATTGAGCAATAATTCAGATTGATACGAAAAATTTTGACGAAGTCACCGAATAAAATAACATAAAAACTCTTGACAAAACTTTGAGTAACAAAAGTTACTGTTGTTTATATGATTCTGTAATGTTGTTTAATGCTTTGCAAACTGCAATTCCTATTCAATTCATTTACGATTCACTTATGATGCATTTTGATAGTTATTTTAGATAAATTAGTGAGTGTTAAACATTTAGCCAATTAGAAGGGATTTTCTTGATCAGATCGAGGATCAACTCAGCTAGCTGAGACTTGTAAGATAAGTAAATGAGTTGACAGGTTCTCGGTTATCTTTACTAAAGGTGCTTTACCCTTTTGAAGATAGATACATTTTGTATCTTCTTGAGGATCGGATCCATCCTCGGACGATCAACCACATTACAGTTACTTCCTTTACTCTTTGCTTAACCATGCCTTACCCCAAAATCATGTGTTAAATAAGTTGTTAATTTAATTTCTGTTGCTTTTCAAGTTTTAAATTAAATTGTTTATTTTTGATTAATTTTCATCTTGTTTAGTTTCTCCTGTTAATCATGAGTGAAGATGTTGATTGTTTACCTTCTGCAACTTCGAGTCGTAAATTGTCTCTAACCGAGAATGGACATGATAAGGTTGATGCTCTTCCAGCCTATATGAAAATTACATGGCTTCATGCTTTTCTCCCATTTATTTCCCTCAGCATTTACGTATACGACATTGGATATAATATTGCAGTTGCTGTCTTTCATTATTCAAATAAAGATTATTGGTATTTTGGTTTAACATTAACTTTCATATTGATTCCAACTCTGGTGATGACCGGCATAAGTTGGCGTTGGTATGTTTTGGATGCTCGTAAACAGGAAATTGTCCAATACAAAAATTTAAAATTAATTTTTATCCTCCAACGATTGGGACTATTTTCAAGATATCTTGAGTCAATTTTTCTTACAATCTACTTTATCATCGCAAAAGACACTTCAGAGAAGAAAGAATGTTACACGTTTGTGGTTTATGCTGACACAATTGCAAACAAATTAAGGTTTTTTGGATGTTTAATGGGATCAGCACCTCAATTGGTGTTACAAATATATATACTTGCCTTACAAAATCCACTCTATGGAGATAACCGTTTCATGTTATTCACTCAGATAAATTCCTGTTTAGCATCGCTTGTCTCTCTTTCCTGGTCTTTGGTGTCTTACCAACGCTCTTTAAGACTTTCCTTACCAAATAAAGTTTCCCTCACATGGCAAGGTATTGCTGTTCAATTCCTATGGAGATTCTCTGTGATCGCAGCTCGAGTATTAGCTTTAGCATTATTCGCAGCCATCTATAACTGGTACATCAGTATTGTTTGTGGCGTTCATTGTATCATCATGTTTGCATGGATTGTTTCAATGAAAACATCATTTTGCGAAAATCGTTGCGAAGAATTGGGTTACAATGCTGTTCTTGCCGTTATGTATATTTTCTGTTACTTTAACCCGGTGGATAGTCCAACTCGTTATCGCTACGCTATTTATTATACTTTTATGTTTTGTGAAAATACTCTTCTTATGACTCTATGGTTTACCAAAGCTGAACCACATCTTTGGTATCGTATACCAGCCTTTGTGGGTCACTACATGAGCTTCTTCATTGGTCTTCTATATATGTTAGTTTATTATCTCGTGTATCATCCTTCTAAAAGTTGTACCCTAGAAATCTAGATTCAACTGACCGTCAACAGCCCAAAGACTGAGCGTATCGAAGACTCAGGCAATTGAAAAAACTCTCTTTGATGTAGAGAATCAACCACGAAAAGGACTGAGTTGAATATTGTAGCTCGAGTGAATAACAGAAGCTATTACTAATAGCTTCTCTTATCACCAGATAACATTGATATAAGTTATTCTTGTCATTATACTGTTGCGGTAACCATTGATAACGATAATTGTAGTTTGAAATAGTTCTATTTCATTCATCAGTTTTCATTTTGCTCAATAAAAATATGTTGATACATCGCATCCAATTGAATCGAATTTATAACTATTTCTATGCTAATTTCTGGTATGTATTAGAGCGAAATTAAATTACGTTAGTTATCAATAATACGATCTAATGTTGTATTTTGTGTTAAAATTTTGTTTATTCGTTTAATGCTGTGCAAACTCTCGTTTAATTCATTTCCTTCAAATTTTTGTGTTGGTACTTTTGAATCACCCTTTACAACAGACTATGTTAACTAAACAAGTTTCTCAACACCTAAAAGGTGATATGCAAATTCATCTCGTCAAGACTAGATCAAACAAAAATGAAACTAATATTCTTGATTCAACTAAGATACAGATCATTTGATCTCAATTATTTCCAATCAGACGAAATGAGATCACAATAGAAATTGAACAAAATTTTTGTTTTTGTTTTTGAAATGATGGGGCTAAATCTTGTTGTTCTGGTTATAGCTTGAATTTATATTTAAAAGTTTTATCCAAAATATTATGTTCAGCCTTTGATCACAATTAGAATCACTTCACAAATGATCAAAATTTCTTTTATTAATCGAAGCTGAAAATTTCTCAAAACGTTTATGCTTTCTGGATTTTTCAATTAATAATAGTTTTTCGATTAACTTCAAATTTTTGTGTTCTTACTCTCGTACTATTGTGAATTCAGTAGATTCTGTTCAATTAAAAGGAGTTTACTACATTTAAAACAAATAAAATGCAAATTTATCTCTAATAGAAAACTAGAAATCAAACAAAGAGAGAGCTCCACGTATCTTATCATTACTCATTGAAAAGCGCCATTAGTTCATTTTTTCTGGCACAAATCTGTAATAATTGAGTAATAATTCTGTTCATGAAAATCGTTTTTTGTTACTGTTTAATCTCATTTCGTCTGATTGGAAATAATTGAGATCAAATGATCTGTATCTTAGTTGAATCAAGAATATTAGTTTCATTTTTGTTTGATCTAGTCTTGACGAGATGAATTTGCATATCACCTTTTAGGTGTTGAGAAACTTGTTTAGTTAACATAGTCTGTTGGAAAGGGTGATTCAAAAGTACCAACACAAAAATTTGAATTAAATCGAAAAATTATTATGAATTGAAAAATCCAGAAAGCACAAACGTTTTGAGAAATATTCAGCTTCGATTAATAAAAGAAATTTCTATCATTTGTGAAGTGATTTTAATTGAGTAAAATTTAACCATGACTCAAGACAAAATTTTTAGAAAAAGTTCAATCAATAGACAATAACAAAGTTTTCTGAAAGTCTATGCATGTGCATCCTACCTTTGTTCCACCCTTTACTTATCTTTACCCAGTATTTATCTTTGAACTAAATGTTCCAGCTCAGAAGGTACAGCGCATCTTTGAACAGGTTGTGAAAAATTAACAATCTTCAGTATTTAAAGGGACGATCGAGACAATAGTTTATCACAAAATAGTTTATATCGAACCGAACAACTATCAAAAAAATGAAATCTGTTTCAATTCATCTCCTTTTGTTAACCTTCATCCTCGTAAGTATCAGTAAAATATGAATAAAAATTCATTAAGAAAAAGATTTTGTTGTATTATCAGTTTGTGTCTTAACACAGTTTTACACAGTAACGGATTCTATAATATAACCTAATATATTATTGAAGTAATCAATTTCAACAAAATCTTTTACCCCTTATTAGAAACTTTTTAAAACTTTTAATTGCCATTTTTCAGGTTTAATATATTAATAGATCAAAGTAAAAATGCTTTTTTTCATTGAATTAGCTCCTTTCCAGATATGAATCCAGGGATCCACCGTTTTGTCGTTTTAGCATCGATTGTGCATCGAATTGCTGTTTTTTCGGTAAGTAAAATCCTTTTCACACAAAGATTAATATCTTTCAATTGACGCCAATGAAACACTAAACTTAACTTTCTTTTGAATTAGGCGGTCCTTTGGAAACAACCAATTTAAATGTTATCGGGTCTTGTCTTCCCCCGCAAAGTATTGGTGGTTTATGCGGAGCAGCTTGCCCTTGTCAAGGAGGAAAATGCATTCGGAACCAATGTATAGCCTCAAAAGAACCAACCACAGTTACACCAACCTCAACACCATGAAGGAATGGCCAACATCTTGGAAATTACAATAATTGTTATCAGAAAATCAATTTCTGTAATTACAAGATATTAAATTGAAATAAATGCAAAATATCGATCCTTAATATAAGTACGTATATTATTAATATATTTACAAACTTTAATTTCTTCGTGAAAAGGTTAACAGTATCGTTTTACGGGCAAAGACTGAGCAATTAATATATGCCTCTTTTGTTGCCACATAGACGTCAAAATTATAACACATGTTTATGTTACTTCCATGTTTCTATTATAACTTCATGTCGATTGACACTTTCGACATTCTCTTTTGCTGTATTTGCCGACACAAAGGACTAAGATAATAGGAGAAACGCAAGTCGCACATCTTTTGAACCTCATTCCGAGTGACTCTACACCAAAATAATTGAAATTGAAACAGAATTCATTCCAATAACCTTCTCTGTTTGTTGCCTTTTGAATATTTGCTTTAACGCTTCAGCAAAATCATTAACTAATATTTGAGTGTTTATTATCTATCAGTTTCAATGAATTGCTTCTTTAGCCAGCTTTTCCCACATTTGGTGTTGATAATCTGCCATTCAATTTGATTAACTTTGACTAGTTGGACCATAATTTATCATCTGATTAACGGTGGTATTAATAGAGATGAATATGATTTTAGTTTGCCTTTGAATTAATAACGACCTTTTTGTTGTAGATTTTTTCATTTGAAAATCAAGTTTAAAAATTTATTGAAAATTAAAGATTTTTATCATTGTATTACTTACGCTGTCAGATTTGATTATTGATTTATAAAGGTAAATGGTTACTTAAACAAAAATCATCTGACGCGTTAGAAGGATTTTCATTATTTAAAGAATTAGCTCAGAACCTATTCTACCAAAATTAAGTTGGAGTCATAAGAATCATCATTGAAAAAGACCGAGCAAAAATTCAGATTTATTAGCTAGTGACAGCTACATTAATTAGGTTAATAATATTGATTTTTCGGGATTTGATAAGTTTCGGTTTTATGAAGTCAAGTTTCACTTAGAATTTTTCCTGATCATTGAAAATTGAGCTTCAATTCTCTCAGTGGTCAACATTTAATGAAATCAACAAATAATCAATCAAAACGATAAAAATTTGAAAAAAATCAATTGCGTTAGGCAGCCGATAGTCTAGAGTAATTTTTGTAATTTAAATTTTACAGGTTATGTTATAAATTGATTACACTGGTAGCTGCACTTAACGCGAAAATTATCAGTTGAGGTTAACTGAATAAAACCGAATTTTCTGAATACCTAATACATCGTTTGAGTCTGAAATCAACTTCAATCATACAAATATACATGCCGCACTATGCTTAAGATAATCCAATCAGAAAAAGTTCAAAGGATTACTTAGAATTCCGAAAATCCGAAGAAATCCATGTGGCCTTATACTTTTGACAAGCAGTGTATCATCGATTCAGGATTGATAACTGATGAGCTTCCAAAGCGTGGTATTAGATGATGTGATGGATTGACTGCATCAAAGTGTTAAGGAATTAGTCTTGAAAAGTATTCATGTGTCTGGGTTAACTTTGGGTGAATGTCAAGGATCTGGCTGAATTCAAATATTTATATTACTGAATATTTCAGTTTCTGGTCGTCAACATCGGATTAAATCTGGGAAATCATTGACGTTGATCAGATTAATAACATATTTTAGCTAATAAAGAGACAAACAACAAGGTTAATTGTTATTTTAAATTGATTACGATTTGTCTATTTCCCTGAATTTTATTTAAATTGGACAATAAATTTATTTTATTGAAAAATGTGTTCCTAATATTAAGACAAATCTAGGTTAGCGATTGAAGAAACTTGCTTATTTACACGTAATTTGCTCTGTCTCTGGTTAGTGAAAATAACAAGTGAAGGTTATTTCAAGATTTCTTGAAGACAGACAAAGTCTAGCAATGATAAGTAAACAGTGAAGCTTGTTGATTTTGTTTATTATTTGTATTTAAATATTAGTGTTTTTATATAATGTAATTTTTTAATTTGTATGGTTCAAATTTGAATTTCTCATGTCATCTTTGTGTCAATTTATGGAAAGATGATTAATATTAACCATCATCTTGATATGTTTGAGTTATAACAAAATCATATGTTGAATCAGTTTTACTGTTTATTTCATTTTGTTGTTTTTTGTTTAACCATTCAGTGTTGACTATTATTTTGAAGTTATAAATTCAATCGTTTATTTTTTATTAATTTTCATCTTGTTTAAATCATCCGGTCAACTATGAGTGAAGATGTTGATTGTTTACCGTCTTTAATTTCAAGTCACAAATTGTCTTTAACCGAAGATGGATATGACAAGGTTGATGCTCTTCCAGCTGACATGAAATTTACCTGGCTTGATGCTTTGGCCATACTGTTTTCCATTGGAAGTTTCCTTTTTGACATTGGAACTGATATTGCAGTTGCTGTCATTCATTATTCAAATAAAGATTATTGGTATTTTGGCTTAACATTAACTTTCATATTGATTCCAACTCTGGTGATGACCGGCATAAGTTTACGTTGGTATGTTTTGGATGCTCGTGAAGAAGGGTCTCCGAAAGTTTCCACTGCCCAATGGACTCTAAGAGTTATTTTTCTCCTCCTACAATTGGGACCAATTTTAAGATATATTGATTCACTTATTTATGGCATCAAATTTCTCCAGAACAAAGATACTTTGGAGCAGAAAAAATACTACCATTATATGGTTTATGAAGACACAGATGCAACAATGTTAAGGTTATTTGAATGTTTTATGGAAGCAGCACCTCAATTGGTATTACAAATATATATACTTGCCGTTCTTAAATCACCCTATGGAGATGACCATTTCATGTTATTCACTCAAATAGCTGCCTGTTTAGCATCGCTTGTCTCTCTTTCCTGGTCTTTGGTGTCTTACCAACGCTCTTTAAGACTTTCCTTACCAAATAAAGTTTCCCTCACATGGCAAGGTATTGCTGTTCAATTCCTTTGGAGGTTCTATGTGATCGCAGCTCGAGTATTAGCTTTAGCATTATTCGCAGCCATCTATAACTGGTACATCAGTATTGTTTGTGGCGTTCATTGTATCATCATGTTTGCATGGATTGTTTCAATGAAAACATCATTTTGCGAAAATCGTTGCGAAGAATTGGGTTACAATGCTGTTCTTGCCGTTATGTATATTTTCTGTTACTTTAACCCGGTGGATAGTCCAACTCGTTATCGCTACGCTATTTATTATACCTTTATGTTTTGTGAAAATACTCTTCTTATGACTCTATGGTTTACCAAAGCTGAACCACATCTTTGGTATCGTATACCAGCCTTTGTGGGTCACTACATGAGCTTCTTTATTGGTCTTCTTTTCATGGTAGCTTACTATCTTTTGTATCATCCTTCTGAAAGTATTAAAGTGTGTCGTAACCGAGAAACGGACCAAGATGAAACTGACCGTCAAAAGCATGCCCGAAGAGGGGGTTATAAAAGACAAATTCATAATGGCTTATGGACAACGCAAGGACGTGTTTTACATCCAGGACTTGCTGTGCCATGCTGCTCTTCTACATATAGTGATAATAAACTAAATAAACAAAGAATCAATAATTACTTACATCAACAGCCGAACGATAAAGATGACTCGAGTACTTCCAAAGGAACTTGTGTTTGACATTACTTAATTTATAATTTAAAATTTAAAACAAAGACAAAGATAATTTTAACTCAACGTTCAACACTATTTTGACGTTCCTAATCAAAAATACATCACATACTTATTGGTCTCAAAAATTATTTTTACCATGACAAACCATTGAATCAACAGATGTCTATCAACTCAAAGGATTACCATCTAATAAACATGGTAAAAACACTCATTGGTCCACATGACTTATTTAAACAATGGTTCAAAATTATTGGGAAAGAAGCAGAATCATGACGTATCTGAATTATGTTTATATTTGATTTTATATCGAGCAATACACATGAAGGATGAAAGAATTTTGGTAATAATGATGATTATTCTTGGCTCTTTGATTCTGATGGATAATTCACAATCTACCAAATTACAAATTTCTCATCACACAATTGTCACAAACACTATTTGAAGCATCAATACTTTAGTTGAACGATATTAGTTAACCAGTCAAACTAACTTCATCACTACAACAATTGTAAAGCAGCATCGCACCAAATTCAAGCACAGCTACATATTAATACTTATCGTCATCAAGCCTGATATCTTAATGTTAAGATGATTTATCATAATATTCCGATGGCAATTAATTGAATCATGGAAAAAATCTGTGTATTAATATCCTTGAATTCAATTTCAAGCATGGAAGTCATCAAACAAAATATTTGGAGCAAATAAAAAAGTGAATAAAAGATTAAAGTAATAATTGCCTCGAGACATCATGAAAATCATCATTATCATCACAATCGTCGCTTAAATCGCTAAAAATTCATCATGCCAATATAAATTAGAAATTTTGTCCATTTAATTGTTATTTAAGTTTCCATTCAAAATTACCTCCTTATTAATAATTCTTGGACATGTTGACAAATATGCTAATCAATTGGCATCCTGTATATCACCTTACTTTTTAGCATATCCAACAAGTTCAGATCAACTATAATTTTACAATTATATAAAAGAACAATCGAATAAAAATGATGAAAAAGATGAACAACTTTTCTACATTATTCAGTGTTTAACCATCATCCAAAATTAGTTTAATAGTGTTAAGATTTTGAGATTTCTGGTAAATTAGTCTGAAGTTTGGACTCATTGACTTTAGTTAACCAATCTTGAGAACTTTAAAGTTACAATTGGTTGTAAAAAATGTAACTCAACAGATGAATATATTAACTCAAATATATTGTTAATCAAGGTAAATTAAAATTGCACCAGTAAATAACAACAGAATACTAATGACATTAAAACAAGTGATTGGAGCTAAAGAAACATTTCCAATAATAATGAGTATAACGATACTTAAGACCACAAATGTGTGTTGATATTACATTTTACACAAAAACTTGATTGCCGAACTTAGATTTCATAGATTAATAAGCTTAAATCTTCATTACATCTGATTTCTCACCCAACTGTTATTGGTTAATATAAAATCTGATGTTTGTTCATCTAAAATCTGTAAAAGTTTGAATTTGAATGAGTGATATTGGTAAGTATCTGATCCTTAGGTGGATCTGTTCTTTAAAAGATCTTTCTTACTGGAAAAAGAAAGGAAAAGAGAAAGGGAGAAGCTTCGCAGTTAAACTGAAATTAATTGACCCAAATTATGGTTATGGTTTCTTTTCACTTGATCCAGTTGATTACAAGTTATAACTTGATTATCCTTTTATTAGCATAATCATTTTGATACAATAGTATCAATATCATCATTTTCTGTTGACAAGTTATCTAAAGCTGTTTTGACAGTTGTTTATCAACATTCTTATTCACTTGTCTCCTCTTTCCTCATCTGCTTGTTTTTCATTTTTTTGACTATCATGTATCCATCATTTAACTTTTTAATCAATGAGTTTTTCATTTTCTATTTCATGTGACATCCTATTGAATCTGTCTTTAGTCTCTTCAAACCTTTCAACTATCCACAACGTAACCACCTGCTCTTAAAGTAGACATAATTTTTTGTTTACAAGGTGCATCATCAAGGAATTCAAAGTGTAAACAAATGTGATGAAACGATTGAACAAGAGGATTTAATCCAATGAACAAGTATGAGCTTTGTCATATCCTTTTGCTTCTTAGCAGCTCTTCTTCAGGCCATTCTTGTTAATCATCAAGGACAATCTCTCTTCTCGGGACAGTCCATAGATATTGATGTTGCTGGTGATATTGAAAATGGTCTCTTTCTGTTGCCAGCCTCTGTAACCTCAGGGGCTGTCAATCTCATTGATCGTCATAAAAATGATTCCTTATCATCTATCTCTTCATCGAACTCAATCACTACTTACTATTCGTCATTTTCTTCGTCACAACCAATTAGTGTCAAGGCAAGTTTTGGCACTATAACAACTACCGAGACCGTATTTCCTTACGTCGGACCACATGATACTTATTCATACCTCAAAAACCAGTTGAAAACGAATGGATTAAATAAGTCTAACAAAGCTTTTCCTAAGAATTTCATGAATGGAGCTTCCCTTCGTGAGAAAATCACTGATTCAACTCTAGTCGAAATAAATCCAGCTCATGGTAAACATTCTATAGCCTATTTGATTACACCTCAAGTTAATCGGAACAGTCCGGTTATCAGAGTGCTATTCTATACAACTCATGCTGTAATTCATTCTTCACCTACTGTAACCTCACCAACAAAGGATGAAACTGGCAGTAACAGCAATAGCAAAAGCAATAATTCCGGTGAAGGTGTCAATCATGGAGGCAATCCTTCAAACGAAGCCTCACCCTGTATATTTGTATCAGTCTCAAAAGATGGAGATAACCTTATTGGATCTTGTACACCAATTAATAACCGGGAAGGAGCATGTTTAGTTGAGATTACATTACCTGCTTATTGGTGGCCTCCGGTAGAATTGGATTCAGCATCACCTAAATCAAGGAAACCAGCTCTAGTATCTGTTGATTATAAAACTTTTCATACCTACCAATGTACTGAGAATGGCTCTCTTCTCAACGATAACATCAAAAGACTTAAAAGCCTTACCGATGCCTTCACTCATCTTGGGATAGTTACTCTTTCTCCTTTTACCGGCGGCTACGAAGAGGTTACCAACGATGATATTGTACGCATTCTGATTCCCCAGCAAATAACCTATCCCAACAACAAAATATACATACCTGTTTGTTTTCGTTATAACCCAAACTATCCAATGACTGCTTTTCGATTGAGAGCCCGAGTGAAAAGTGGTCTTCGTATTCTAGGTGTTCAACCTTCACCTGTTTCTCCTTGGAAAATATCAGTTGAATTAAACAGTAAGCAAACTCTTGCTACCGTTACAGCTAAATTGAAAGATGATCTAATGGATTCTGAAGATTTACAATCAGGAGATCCTGGGATGCATCTTTTACTCTCTCAAGAAATTTATTCATGGCTTATACAAGTCAATGAGAATGTTGATTTCAATGATAATGGTCGAATTGTTTGGCAGCTTGAGTATGTTACTGATATTGGATTCGACTCAGCAACTTTAGATTCATCCTCTTCTACATCCAGAAAGGACAGTGAACGAGACACCTCTAAACTTTCATCAATTTTGGATATTCAAAAGGATGACATTCAAGCTGTCATTGGTATAACTCAAAGTCTTTCAATGATTAATACTGCAATTTTAACTGGTAAACAGGTTGCTCAATCTTTAAGAGTATTTGCAGTATCCCAAGCAGGGCGAATTGGTGATGTTACTCTTCAAGCAAGCTGTACCTCAACTGATGAATCAGTTCTCAAAGTATCGCCCTCATGTACCTCAATTTACCTTGATGGTTCAGAAATACGTGGTTCTTCAAACGCAACCATCTCGATTAAATACGGAACATACACAGGTCAAGCCAATTTTGTCGTTTGGATGCCTAAACTACCTTTAGAAGTTCGAGTTTCAGATAGCAAATTGAGTCAAATTAAAGGATGGAAGATACCTCATTTGAAAAGAGAGGGGCGTCGTTCATATCACAATCAAAATAGCATTTACGGTCACAGTAATCATAAATCAAGACGATCTTCTGCAAAAAATTCACCAAATGATAAAATTGATTATAGTTCAACTGATAATGATATTGGATGCAGATTACGGCATCAACAAGCTTACATCCAAGTATTCAGTCGATTTTTCAGCACGGATCACAACTCAGGCCGTGAATCTTATTTATTAAATCGTAAAGTGTTAGCTCAAGTTACGAAATTAGTCACACCATTTTTACGTGTTACCGATAGCCGTGTCGCAATTATTCGAAGCAACATAATTGAAGGCATTTCATCTGGACGCACCGAAATTCAAATTGTTTCTCCCATCACGAATCAAATTTTAGGTTCAACAGAAATCCATGTTGGTAATGATAAAGAAATGATTACACAATTGGAAGTCAATTTGGTTACTGGTTTGTCCCTGTCTATTACACCTGAAAGTAGTTTAACCAATGTTTGGAAGATCACTGCAAACATTTCAAGTAAACTGGTTAATCAATACCAAGAAGGCTTATTGAATATAAAAGTACATTTTTCTGATGATACAGTTACATCTCTTGCTGATATAAATGACTCTGATTATCAATTATCAATTAATACACTTGATAATGGTGGCATAGCTTATGCTCCGTTAATTGGTCAACCCTACCCTAGAGTGATTGTCATAGGCCAAGGTAATTCTCAACTTCACGTTTCTCTGGAAGTTTCAGACCAGTGTCAAAGAAAACTTACTCAACCTTTAGCTATGAGCTACATAAATGCCAATGTTGACCTTAACTTACCTTCAGTTCATCTTCAAAATGATGCTGATTTCCGTAAATATAATGGCATTTTGGTTAATCGCAACCAAAATTCATTTCATCCCAACCATCCTGACGATGAAGACTCTTCAATAGCATATGGTCACTCAAACATCATCGAAAGTCATCCCAACGCTCCTTCAATTGAAGCTCGCTCCAATCGTGCCATAAATACCGGTGAATTGACTCCACTAGAAGTCGGAATGTACTCAATGTTGGGTGTTTTCACTTTAGCTGTATCTCTTTTTATTATTTCCTGTTTAGTTTTCCGAATCAAAGGCAAACAAACATCTGACCTGATGGTTGCTACATTACCCTTACCCATGGGTCATCATGGATCATCATCAAATCAAAAGGTTGTTGCTAATGCTAATGATTGGATTTGGTTAGGTAAAGCAACTCTTCAACGCAGCTCACCACCATCCTCAACTAAAAATGATAGTGAAGCCTCTCAGGGATTGATTTCATTGAATGACCTGAAAAACCCTGAGAACCATCACCTTAATGTAACTAAAGAAAATGATTCAAATCGAATGAGCACAATATCACATCCAGGTTCGGAAATAAGTATACGAATCACAACAAATCCAGTTGACGAGGTTTGTCTTGAAAACGAGGCAACACCTAAACCTTCAACACCTTTTGGTATCAATATGGAAATTGAGAGATTTTATCGATCATTATCTCCAATAATTCCATCAACATCAAACCAAATTCCACCTCCAGTTCCAGCACGACGAACTAAAGGCCCTCCAACATCTCATCATATCACACCACCACAAAAGGAGCCTCTGTTTGACACTTGTGCACCAATTATCATACCAAATCATAAACCTCCACATATACCTCCTCGTCTCACTCGATCCATTCGCTGTGACCAAGTGGCTGACTCTTCATCATCCTCATCTTCATTTTCATCTCAATCTCCTCGACCACCGCCTGTTCCACCTCATTCAGTAACTTCACGAACTACCAAAAAACCTCCACTGCCTCCTCACAGAACGGTGCCATCAAAACCTAAACGCCCGGTAATATCATCTACAACGAGCAATATTAATAATGATAATGAACAGATGAACCCAACCTGTTTCAAGAATACCAAAGATCATAGGAAATATAATAAAGAGGTTAACCACTCAATCATTGTCAATCCAAGCTCGGCATTAACTGAGATGACTCAAGATAAACTAGATAAAGTCACCAAAGATATGAATTATAATCAACTGATGGAATACTTTCAAAATCTCAAAGAATCAAGTGCATAATAAATTGCAATCCTTTTCTCCTTCATCTCATTATCCTCATCTCATTATCCTGATCTGCAAAAATCTCATCTTTTGATCAATCTATCGGATTTGCGTGATTGAGAGGTGAAAAATTGAAAGCCATATTACCAATCAATTCACGATCCCATTTCTTAATCCTAACACCAACCATAGTTTGAACGATTGTAAAGCCTTTCTCATTTCTAGATTAATCAATTATATTTAAATTAAGGATTTCAAAATGATTCAACTTGAAACAAAATCATGGACCAGTTCCGATACCAACAATCTCACTTTGATTTCACCCAATCGTTATTCAATCAATTTGGTTCAACCTTTCACCTTTTTGGCGTCACCGTTTGCATCTGTTTAACAAAGTATCACAATGTTGATGGACAATTAAATCATGGATTGAATATTTTCAGGGTGGAAACTGATTTCCCACACGAGTTATTTAGTGCATAAAGATTAACTCCACCTTCCTTTCACTTTACTTAAAGCTTGATTATTGATCGAAAAAGATCTTCATTCAAACTAAATGAAATACTTAACATACTCAGTCAAACATTAAGTGAGCTTGAAAAATTCTCTCTCTCTTTCCCTCGTTTATCTTCCTAATACACTATTCTTCCTCATTGTTTCGCTAACTTTTAGATATTTACTAAACTCTTTCTCTCTGTAGATTATCGTATTAGAAGAGACTTGGTGCGAAACAGATTTACCTTGGTCATAATTTAAATTAAATTTTCAAATGTATATATCGTCTCAATATCTGCAGATTTAATTTCATTTTTTACTCACTTGACTGTTTAACCTTTATATATCACTCCCACAATTCTGTTGTTTCTTTACTCCCTTCAAGGAAACCAAAATTATCATGTCAATTATCATGCTTTGAAATTATCATTTAATTTAAAACTCTTTAATTTCTATCCAAATTATCTAGACTCGTGTAATTTTGAATAAAAACAACGTGTATAAAAGCGAACATCAAATCTGAAATGTTATTGTACCTTAGCTTGGCTTTCAATTGCTGATACAATTTCCCAAGTAGCAAGTTTCATCGCGTTTAAATTTCTCAACTTCTCATTAGGAAAAGCGCATATCAAGATAATTCAAGTCATGAATGTTATTTGTAATATAGTTTGATCAACTACTCATAAGGTATGGTCAGTCATAATCTTTTAAAATTGAATTGAGACAGTTTGATTAGCCTTAAAGCACCACGTTAAAGTAAAGATACACTTCTCAATAAAATGAGGAATTATGAATTAAAATGATTCTCGTGAATTAAAATAAAATACTGAAAAAAATGACTTCGATTTCAAATATTTTAAGAGTTTATTCCTTAGTTTTAAAAGATCAGAAGGACACTTTGCTGCTGATGAAATGGATAAAGTCATTAAATCAAAAAATGCACTTTCGATTGAAAAGTCACTTGTAAACTGAAAAACAGTTACAAAGAAACTGATGAAAGCTTTGGCATTTTTCAATTCATTACAGAGTTTGAATGATACAATAGTCACATTCAGCTTCCAACACTAAATCGTCCATACTTTTCTTCCATTTACTAGTGATAATGAATATAATGATGCTTGTAGACTAAAAATAAAGTGAAGATATCATTACATTTACAAACTCACATTACATCTGATATTTCACCTAAAAGTTGATTGATATATTTGATTATTGATGTTAATACAGCTAATATTACAGCTAATATTGCATTTAATTCAACTCTAATCATTGTTATTGAAGTCAACAAAGGCAAGGTAAAACCCAGAAATATTATTACTGTAAAAAGATGTTTCAAAAAGGCGCAATTGAAAGGTAGATGGATAGAGAGATACAGGTAGAAGGCAATCCTGAGGGTTACCCTTAAGCTTGTAAACAACTTATCAAGTATTCATTTTAAATAGACTTGTTTATTTGTGTGTTTATTTATATTACCAAAGAATTAGAACTAATACTTGGCCCATTGACCCCAATCATCACGGGTACCCCGTTATCCTCATTGACCGACAACATCTAAACACTATCATCATCATCATCAATAGCAGCAAACAGTAACATGATCATCATCTTGAATCATCAGCTTCTTTTCTTGTCCATCAGCAATCATCACAAGTGATTCAACTAAATCATAGTTCGGGTGTTTATCAGTTTATCTGTTGAACGCCATTAACCGTTTTTTGTATGTAACATAAAAAAATTAAAAACGCTTACGTTATTACAGTGAAAAAAGCTGCTAAATATAAGTGGTTATGAAAAAGTAACCAAAAAAACGTGTTATTTGACTTCACTTTTTTTCCGTTTTTACTTTCGCCACCTTTTTTCACCCTTTCTTACTTTGATAACATTGAACTTTAAAACACTGAAAGGTTGTTTCCAGGTTAAATTATTTTCATCTGGAAACTGATTAAGCTGTTAATCATCTGCCATTCAATTTGATCAACTTTGACTGGTAGCTTTATGAGATTTTCATTTCTCTCTGAATCTTGATATCATGTCCACTTTAATCTCATATAAATTATAGATCAATCATTTATGATTTATCCGTCAGCTTCAATAAATTGCTTCATTAACCAGCTTTTGTCGCATTTTACATCTGATTGTTTAGCGTAATAGTCATTTAAAGTTGATTGATTACCTGAAACCTTAAGGTTATTTTTTGGTTCATTTTAATTTAGTGGTTACTTATTTTCAAGACTGTATGGGATTAGTCAATTGAATTTGAAAGCAGCAAACAAATTAGTTAATTTATCATCTGATTAACGGTAGTATTAATAGAGATGAATATGATTTCAGTTTGCCTTTGAATTAATTACGACCTTTTTGTTGAAGATTTTTTCATTTGAAAATCAAGTTTAAAAACAAGTCTTTAATTTTTTTGGTAAAAAAGGATAGAAAGGTAAGTTTGTACATTAAATTAATTTGAATAGATGATCAACTGTTGGCCATTAGATTGATCACCGTGAAACAAGTTAAAACTTTGAGCATCAATAATAATTAATAAGTAATAATTTTAAAATACTTACAAATTGAGTCTTTTGATTTTTAAATTTAAATTTGGACACAAAATATTGGGCTTGAAACAATTCAACTTTAACTGGTCCAAATTGAACCAAATTAAGGTTTACAATTGAATCAGTAGTGAAGATGGAAATTAAAAGAAACAAATTAACGTAAATTATCCATTAATCCAATTTGTTAAGCCAATTCTTCTCGTTAGACTTCTCACACCAAATTTATTGAACAACTTTCCTATTTGAGATAATGGTCCAGCCGCTGTATTAACAGATCCATGGCCATTGTCTTGAAGATATTTAGGAATCGGCACTTTTCCAGGTTTAACTGGTGGCGGTCCTCTTATACCCTTAATCAGATCAGCTCCTTTCTCTCCAATCATTATAATAGGAGCATTTGTATTACCAGAAACAATTTTAGGCATTATTGATCCATCGATGACTCTTAATCTCTTTACTCCGTGAACTCTCAATTCAGGATCAACTACAGCCAGAGGATCATCGGCTGGACCCATTTTGGCTGTACCAACTGGATGATAGATTGTTGCGGTAAATGATCTGGTTATACATTCAAAAAATGGGTCTGAATAAGGTTTATGTTTCTCACAGCCGTACCATGCTTGTGGCCAAACTCTGGGTTTGAATTTATCAAAGGCTGGTGATAAGGCCATTGCTGTTGATATTTTGAGGGAATCAACGAGAACTGCAACATCGTAAGGATCAGACAAGTACTTTGGGTCAATAATTGGATGGTCGTAGGGATTTGCAGAACGCAATTTCATGTAACCGACTGATCGTGGTCGGAGGAGAACTGGATAGTAAGAGTAAGCATCTTTATATAGATTGGGTCCATAAACTTGTAAGAAAAGCTCATCTTTAAGGTTCATGTTTTTACGAACTGATTCACCACCGTCAGATGAAGGACATGAAGGGATGAAATGAATCTCAACATCTGGCCAGTCATCTGATTTGTTGGCATATTTTGTGTTGATGAATCCGAGACCATCAAGACCACCAAGCATAGTTAATGGACCGATACCTAGGGTTGACCATTGGGTGAAAGATTTGGCAACGAAAACTCGAGGTTGAACCACGGTGACTGGAGCATCAGTTAGAAAACTCAATCCACCGGCTCCAATGTGATCTTGTAAGTTTTGACCAACACCAGGAGAATCATGAACAACGGGGATTCCAAGTGATTCAAGATGATCTCTTGGACCAATACCTGAGAGCATAAGGAGATGAGGAGATCCAATGGCACCAGCTGAGAGAATCACTTCACGTCTAGCATAAACTGCATGCCGAGATCCACCTTTGTCAAAGGTCACTCCAATGGCATGTTTATCAGCATTAAATAAAACTCGAGTAACTTGAGCATAAACTACTGTGTCTAGGTTAGGTCGACCTGCTGTATCACGAAGGTAAGCTTTGGCTGTTGAGCATCGAGCACCTCGTCGAATGGTTCCTTGAGGAACAGCAAACCCAGTTTGTTGAGGTCCGTTAAGGTCAAGATTGGGATAACCAAAGTTTTTACCAGCTTCAAGAAAAGCACCAGCAATAGGTGTAGTATAATGAGGTGTTGACACTGTTAACCTGCCACCGGTTCCATGATAACCATTTTTAATTATATCAGGATCCCGATTGTCCTCTGATTTGACAAAATAATAAAAAACATCGGACCAACCCCATCCTGGATTACCGAGACTTTCCCAAAGATCATAGTCACGAGCATTACCTCGAATGTAAAGCATATAATTGAGAGTTGAACAACCTCCAAGTACTTTACCTCGAGGCCAGTTTGAGACGTGATTTTTCATGCCTTGACAAGCATATTTTTGAGGAACCGTTTTATATTGCCAATCCCATTCACTTAATTGTAAACGAGCAGCCAACATTGGAATCTCACTTTGAAATGTCTCATAGCCACCGGCTTCTAACAGTAAAACACGAACCTTTGGATCTTCTGAAAGTCGACTGGCCACAACTGCTCCAGCTGAACCAGCACCAACTAAATTTAAAGTTATGTAGAGTTAATAATAATTTCAATTTATAAATTAAAGAATCGAGAAAACATTTGAGAGAAAAATAAGCTTGCAATTTGCAGATATTTGGTAAAGTTGAAACTACAGCAATTAACCAACAATCGAGTTACGTCAATATCTGTAGTTTTCAACTGTTACAGCGTGATTTACTTTATAATCAAGCAAATCACATAATATTGAAAAATACTAATAAATGAATTTTCATTATTTTACAATTCTCATTGCAGTACTCATCTTCATCATTTTCATTTCTGGCAAGTTTGCATCTTTACATTCCAAGATTTATAGCAATTGCAAACACTTTGCATTTTATGGTTATGTTATAACATTTTTATAAAGGTTATCAAGCTTCTTAATTGTCGGAGCAGTTACAATTGGACTAAAAGGATAATGAGCCTCTTAGAATCTCTTAGACATCAGAATGAAAAATAAACTAGGAAACAAGTAACGAGGTGTTATGGCTAGTTTATGAGTAAAACTTGACAAGAATAATTCGTTCTTCTTCTGAAAATTTCATTTTGAATTTTCAATGTCAATTGGCTGCATAAACAGTTTCAAATTGAAACATTTTAGGCTGACGTGAAATTAGACATCATTCAAAATTTTTAAACGGATTGTTTCATTCAACTATTGCTAATACATTTATCAAGATTGATGGATATAACTTCTGAATACAAATAATCTGATTAATGTCATAACAATTTTAAGCTAATAAAAGCATTTAAATGTAAAATGTAAACACTTACCAATAATATAATCATACTCCTTTTGAAAAACCTCCGTAGTGAATGGCATTGATCTTTGCCACATGTGAAGCCAAAACATAACCGTTGAGGGTATTAAAGCCGGTAAAATGGCAACTATATGATGATGATCAAACATGATATTGAGTATTGACCATAAAAAAACAAAAAGTAAAAAACAAAAACTAAAAATCCGACGTAAATCGGTTGAAACAAAGAAAAGTTCAAATCAAATTATTTCCAGTGTAAGTTGCTTCTTTGACTAAAAACACAAGTAAAAGTATTGATTTAATGAACAGCGGTAAAATATCGTTGGATTCATTGATTAACCAAACAACTTGCAATAATCTGTAGAAACATGAACAAATTTAATCCAGGATTTAAGGTTAACCATTGAGGATGGTTGATTATAACGGTTTGGCAGCTCCAATGATTGCTATTGTTATTGTCAATGTTGAAGACGACTTGACTGTGATAATGTGAAAAAGGATAACATTGGAATGGTTGGACGACCAAGAATAACTTTTTTTTACTTCTCAATGGAAGACAAAAGTATTTTACAGACTATGAAGATGATGAATAAAAAAGATGAAGATGAATGCAATGATGAAAAGGATAAAGGTAAAGATGGTTAGTGTGAAGTTTGTGAAGACAAAGATGGCCAAGAGAAAGTCTTCCACTCTCACCTCCTCATTCAACTTTGCAGTCCTTGAGACTCAGATAACATTACCAAGTTAGGATGATAATAATGGTGAAGATGATGATGATGATAGGAAGAGGAGGTCACCAGGTAAACAGGGAGAAGCGGTTTATCAATGAATTGGATTTGGAAAGTTATTTGAAGTACAAAATACCGTTAAAGATGAGGATGATGAAAGAAATCGGAATCTTGATGGAAACTGATTAACCTCAGGGCTTCTGTTTTCCTCTCTCTCCTCTCTCTTTCCTCTTACTTGCTTCTGTCTAAACTATCATTTATATTATTACAAATTTATCTCTATTTTGTTTTGATAATTCAAGTTAATCGTGAAGGGTCAATAGAACCCAATCTGTTTCTTCTTCTTCTTCTTCTTCTTAATTTTCATTTTTCTACCTTCATTATAACATTTGATTACTACTCACCTTGATACGGTTTCAATTTCAAATAGATAAACAGTTTCACCTCTTTAAAATCATTACTATTAGTATAATCATCATTACTATTGACCCATCATCACAATCATTTGTAGTTGCTGTTGTTGTTGTTTTCCTATGTCCTGTGTTGGGATATTTATAACCGGTAAAAATTTACAGTCACGTTATTATTTGGATTGTAACTAATTAATAATATTGATGATAACGGTTAACAGCAGCAAAAATTGGTAACTATTATTGATGAAATACAATTACAATCAGTCTTATAAAATCTGGTAAAATCTGGTAATTTGAATCTTTTGATTGGCGCTTCATATTCAAAGTATCTATTTAATGATCTTGATGGATTCATGACTTGATATCTGTATCTAAATCAAACGTCTTTTTTTTTAAATTTTTACAATCTTACTTTAACGGATTCACTTTCCTTTTATACTGTTAATTATATTTAGTATTAATACATTATTTTAACTGATTAATGTTACAACTTTTACCTTCAAATATATAAATTAACTAACCTAAATTGTAATTATCATTATTACCATTATTATTATTAAATTGATTGAGGTCAAAAGTAAGTTAAAGAGTGAAGGTTAATCAACTATTGTTAGATTGAACAAGGTAAGGGTTAAAAGACAAGAACGTAAAATAAAAATGTTTTACATTCAAAATCAAAATGTATTTATGTTAATTGAAATAAACCAATCAATGAGATTAGCTTATTAATAAATTGTGAATTTCCAATAACATTAGTAATGGTAATAATTGTGATCATGATAAAGTTAATTTTACTTCAATAATTAAAATATAAATTGGTTCAGAGTGCTTTTTTGGTTTGCCTTTTCACATCGGGGTTGCTTTTAGTGGTTTGTTTTCATGTGTCCATCTTTATTGTGTTTAATCGTTTGGAAGACAATTGATCAACTTGATCAAAAACAGGTAAGCTCATCAATAAATGATTTTCACCTTAAATTAGCTCATCTATCCGTGAATTAAGCAATTTCAACGAGATAAACAAATAAAATAAAATGCTGTTAACGGCAACATTATATTCAAAAGAAGAACTAAATTTTGACATTTAACAGTTGAAAGTGAAGATGGTAAAGTTAATTCATCGACAATTTGACCTTTTTTCCGGATAAATAAAACAAAAAAGATGAAATTGATGTTGATGTTGATGATGATTGATGGTGAATAGATGTAAATATAATTGACAATAATCAATGTACTGATCATGCAAACTGACCACTCAACTTTTTTACTCATTTTCTTTCTCATTATTTTTTCACAAAACAACAGTTTTCAGGTTAAAGGAAGATAATATAATTCTTGGAAACGGTTTCATAAATCATTATTCATTGGAAAATACCTGACTTTGGATCATCAAAAGATGCCTTTTTTAGTGATTTCTGTTTAGATTCCATTAATTTATTGATATTTGTGTGGACCAGATATAAATGGTCAATTTTGGAGTAAACTTGAAAAACTTTAAGCTCGAGTAAATAGCCAAGTCAAGATAAATTGTCAATATTTACAAACAAAACCAAGTTTTTCAACAACTCATGGCTTCATTTTGTATTTAAATGGCACGCAAATTATATAAAACGGTAAGTTAAGTTTGAAATTACGTCTAGCCAACAATGTATTCTCCCACTTTATGTATAGTTATTAATAAGTTAATTTTATTCCTTCTAGACTATGATAAGGTAAAATTATGGGTAGCTTGAATTTGGATTAGCTAATTTTTATAGGCAATACAATTGGACGCAACCTGTGGTTCGTTCAAAGCAAGTTGTAAGCATTAAACAGGCATTTACCAGTTAACCCATTGGTTGACTCTGGTGTTCCTGTTGCTCGCTTTTGGATTAGACTTTGTAACCATTTAAGCTCATCGTCAGTTAATCTAATTGGGAGTCAAAAAGTTGAAAGTCTTTGCTACATTACATTTTAATTTTAATCAAAACCAAAAAGGTTAAGTTGAAAATGAAAATGAAAATGATTTTTAAATTCAATATTAGATCAAATGCAAATTTTTTATTCAATATCAATTACTATTGCATAAATACATTGAACTTTGAGATGCTTTTCAGTATCTGCTCCAAGTTTTTCATCAATGTTATAGTTGGAAGACCAGAAGATCATTTAGCCAAGTAAAACAGTTGACCGTGAACATATGATCTAGGAATATCTTTTTCGTTGTCTACAGGCATTAACGAAGTGGAAATCGGATTGGTTCCGAAACCCAGTTGTTGTGCATTTCGTTTTAGTTTAAAGAAACCTGCAACCAGAAAGCAACATATTCGAATTATATTTTATGTAACGAGGGAAAATAAAGAGACAATCAAAACTAACCTTCTTCACCCCATTCAGTTCCCCATGAATTAGTTGCCAACAAATAATCGACACCATTTTCCGTTCCCCAACCGATAATTTTTATATTATGATATCCAACATAGTTTTCAGAATAACGTTTGTAAACACCTGAAAATAAAATTATTTCATTATTAAATAAAGATCCAGCTAATATCTTTTGGCCTTTCAATTAATGAATATTGATTTTACCTGATACGTAGCTGAGAAAATCTGCATAAACTTCCATGTAAGCAGATACCGGCCCATACAGCTTTATGGATTTCATTACTTCACTTTCATATTTTAAGACCTCATTGGTAACTTTAAAATATTTGTCTAATTTGATTTCATTTGATTGGCATTTTTGTGATAAGGGTAAGCAACTTGACTCTTTTACTGATTCAACTGTGAAGATTCCATTTTTAGCCCAATATTTTAAAGCTTGACCAATGTTTGCACTGTTATAATAGTTTTTGAAGTCAACATTTGTTTTGACCATATGCTCGACTGTAGCTTTAACATCAATCTGAACACCATGTTTGGTGCAAAGGCGATCAGCAATTGTACCAACAGCCGTGTAGATCCATGAAGGGTAACCTTTTGTTTGGTCATAGATCTTACCAATTGAAGTACAGTTAGGCCAAGCTACACGAGCATCGAAGTTCACGGGAAGTTTGCACGATCCATACTTTCTAATAGGAAAATCTCTAGGATAAGACCAAAGTTTCTCATGAGTGGGAACCAGGGTATCTATTTGGACTGAACTTCCATTGAAATTTTTACCAGCCTAATATGATTAAATATTGAAGTTTACTGTAAAATAAAACAGATTGAATATAATATTTACCTTCCAAGTTGTGTTCAAAGCGTTGATTCCATTAACGATTTCATCTGTGAATGGTTCTACTTCATAAGATAGATACTCGTCAGCATTAACGGAATAAATAAAAAGAGTAACGATCAAAAAGAGTTTCATTTTAACTGTTTCAGTTTCCAGTGAATTAGAGCAAAAGTAATATTAAACGTTTTCGAACGAAAGCACAAAGAAATGATGAATAAGCTTGATGAAGATTCGCGGCTTATAAAGGAGAAATGGATAGTTGTCAGTAAATCCTCAATGTCAATCAATCGAACCCCAAAACACCAGTTTAATCAATTCTCATTAAATATGCCAAATTCACAATAGAGCATCTTGATCAGATTCTTTACTTAATTGACATTTGAATAGTCGAAACAGGATCTTATTATTACAGATGTTTATCACATTAAACTAATATCATATGTAATTTGCTCGTCCAAGGTAACTTCATGCCAAAATCAAAAGGTGAATTTAATTTTATGCTGAATATATGACAATTAAATCTTTGTTGATGATTTTGATCAAGCTTGGTCATTACACGATTGCTATAAACCTGTGAAATTATTAGGTCGAGGTGCAGAAAATAGCAAATTTTTTGAGCTTTTTGTTTTGTATAAGGTATCAACAGTAATGTTTTGGACTAATTTGGCAAAATTAAATTGCGGCAGTTAGACTAGACTTACAGGCACCATTCAATCACCAAAATAAAGCTGAACTTGCCAAGAATGTGCTGTGAAAAAATTAATTAATTTGGGCAAAATTTTTCAAGTTATGGCCTTAAATGAACAAAGGCGTCGTAATCTGATTTTACCTTTCGTAAAAAACCATATATTTTTAATTTAATACCAGGGATCTGAAGATTCGAAAAATGGGTAAATTTGGCCTAAAATTTTTTCTAAAATATGTAATTCACCTAATATAACTCAACATTAATCGATCGAAAGGTTCAGGTCAAAATTGGCACCGTATTTCACGGACATTCGATAAAAAAATAATTTTTTTCGCGAATCGAAATAAGGTTTTTCAAAAAAGGACTTAGATTTCGAACATTTCAAAAGATTATTCCCAAATAAAAAGAGCAGAAGGCTACTTTTCTTCTGTTGATGAAGTTCTGGTCTTTTATTTGGGAAAAATCTATTGAAATGTATCGAAATTTAAGTCCTTTTTTGAAAACTCTTTTTTTAATTGGAAATAAATGGAATTTATGTGGTTTTTTACGAAAGGTAAAATCAAATTTTGACGCCTTTGTCCATTAAATAATAAGATTTGAATTGAAGTATTATATAAGATATAATAGCATAGCTGTGCCATTTCAAAGGATCATATTATAAGTTATTCGTTAAAAACTAGACGTTTCGTTGCAAGCCTGGATTAAGAAAAAGGTTTTGCTGAATTGAATTCGATGTCTTCAAAGATGCGAAATTCATTTTCTGTTATTCAACCGAAAAAAGTTATTTTGCAAGTCAATCTCAACATGTCAATGTGAATACTCATTGTTTTTCAATCGTATTGACAGTTAATATCACATTTAACCTGCTCGTTCAAGGTAACTTTGTGCATCAGTAAGAAGGTGTTTTTGATTTTATACTAAATATATGACAATTAAATCTTTGTTGATGATGTTGATCAAGCTCGGTCATCATACAATTGCTATGAAGCTGTGAAATTATTAGGTTGAGGTGCAGAGATCACTTAAGGACTCGCTTTTATGGTCATTCAGTTGATCTGTGGAAGCGATTTAAGATTTGGCTATTGTTAATGGAATTGATAGCAAATTTGCAAAAAGAGGGGCAAAAAAGCAAGTCAACTTTAGCAAGTTAATCTATTTCGGACTTTCATACAATCTATCAATTGTATTTTTACAAATACTATTTTATATGATTTTGTTTATGCGACTGTTTATACCAGAAAAGTTTGTGTTCAGGATATTTTGTTTCGAAGCTAAGCCAAGCTTTGAAATTCTGTCATCGATTAATACTTGAACCATTCAAACGCAAAAGCTCAAAAGATCTACTATTCTCTTGGTCGCAGCCTAGTAATTTTGCTTCATAGCAGTCGTGTGGCCAAGATTTATTACGCCGTCAAAAAGGATTTATCTGTCATCGATTTAGCATAAAATCAAATGCATCTTCTTATTGTCGTGAAAAGTTACCTTAAACGAGCAGGTTGCATATGATGGTTCCATGTGATAAATATCTGTAATAATAAGATCCTGTTTCGACTATTCAAATGTCAATTAAGTATTTAATGAAGATTGTCCATTGTTCATTTGGCATATTTGATGAGAATTGGTTGAACTGATGTTTTTGGGTTCAATTGATTGACATTGATTATTCGCTGACAATTATCAATTGCTCCTTTATAAAGCGAGCATCTTCATAAAGTTTATTTATCATTTCCTTGTGCTTTCGTTCGAAAACGGTTAATATTACTTTTACTTTAATTCACTTCAAGCTGAAACAGTGCTGTGGTTCTGTCAATTGATAGTATTTTCAATAATTCAAAGTTATCTCTACTTTCACTGAACCGACACTTCGTATAAACTTTGAAGATGCGACTCTTTTTAATTGTTACTCTTTTTGTTTATTCCGTTAATGCTGACAAGTACAATCTTTTGCCTAGCAATGTGGAACCATTATCAGATGAAATCATAAACATAGTCAACGCTGCAGACGCAACATGGAAGGTAAATGGAAGGTATTTTATTTAATAACAAATCTCAATATTTGCAATATATCATCTCATTAGGCAGGGAAAAACTTCAATGGATCAAGTTCAGTCCGAATGAATGATTTGGTTTCCACTCTAAACGATTTAAATTACACTCTTGATGCTCAAACTAACGTTTACCCAATGACAAAATTTGCTGTTAACTTCGATGCTCGTGAAGCTTGGCCTAACTGTACTTCAATTGGTAAGATCTATGACCAAACAAAAGGTTATCCTTCATGGATCTACACGGCTGTTGGTACAATTGCTGATCGCCTTTGCATCAAATATGGTGTTCAGATTGATGTCGAAGCTACCGTAGAGAAAATGGCTAGATGGAATGTTGGTTCGAACAGCTTTAATAACAGTGCAAACATTGGTCAAGCTTTAAAATATTGGGCTGAAAATGGAATCTTCACAGTTGAATCAGTTGAGGAATCAAACTGCTTACCCTTTTCACAAGAATGTCAACCAAACGAAATCAAACTAAGCAGATATTTCAAAGTAACCAATGAGGGCTTTGATTTTGAAAGTAAAATGATGAGCTACCTAATGCTGAATGGGCCGATATCGGCTTACATGGAAGTTTATACAGATTTACCCAGCTACAAATCAGGTAAAATTGAATATCTATTAAGCAAAAGGCCAAAAGTTATTATCTGAAGCTTAGTTTACTAATGTTATTATTTTATTTTCAGGTGTATACAGACGTCTCTCAAACAACCGTTTGGGAGTTCAAAATGTTAAAGTAATCGGTTGGGGAACTGAAAACGGTGTCGATTACTTTTTGGCAACTAATTCATGGGGAACTGAATGGGGTGAAGAAGGTTAGTTTAGTCTCTTCATTTTACTTAATTGCATAAAATAATATTCAAACGTGTTTGTTTGCCATTTCAGGTTCCTTCAAATACCAACGAGGAAAAAAACAATTAGGTCGCGCACCCGCTCCGATTTCCCCTTCATTGGAGCCCGTAAACAACGAACAAGACATTCCCAAATCATATGTTCACGGTCAACTGTTCTACTTGGCTAAATGATCTTCTGGTCTTCCAACTACAGCATTTATGAACAACTTGGAGTGGTTCTTGAAGATCTTATTCAAGATTGATGTATTTATGCAGTAGTAATTGATATTGAGATAAATAAATTGATTTACATGTTATGCAATACTAGAATTTTAAAAATAATTTACACTTTCAACTAATCTTTCTAATTTTGGCGAATCAACCTTTTCATTGATTCCTAGTTAGATCGTATAAGGATAATTGGTTACAAAAGTAGAATTGGATTAAAGATTTTAGTATTGTAAGCACCTAAGGTGCTTCAAATTAGTTGGAAAAAAGAAAAAAGAAATGAAAATTTTTAGAAACAATCAGCACAATTCATCTGCTGACCTTTGAACATGATATATTAATATGTTCATGTTGGCGATTTTCATTTTGTTCTGCTATCATCGCATTTCTATTGCATTCTTCCAGCTTCCAGTATTATTGAAATTGGATTGTGATAAAATCACTCCTCCTTTCTGTTTATATAATAACATTGACTCGTTTCCCCTTTAAATTCACATCTATTTAAACACTGAACCAGTTAACTTTAGCCATTTACACTTGTTCAAATAATTCCCTACAAAATGAAATTCATCATAATTGCAGTTTGTCTTTTCGGAGCTGTCTTTGCCATGGAAGGAGGCTGGAGTTCAATTTCTGTTGACGATCCAACTGTTACTCGCTTGGCTGCTAAAGCTGTTTGAACATCACAACAAGAATGCCGACAGTTTGTATTACAAGAAACTGATCACCATTGAAGAAGCTAAAAGTCAAATTGTCATTGTCAATTATGAAGTTAAATTCATGATTGGAAAGACTGATTGTGCTAAATCTGAGGCAGATGCTGCTTCGTGTCAAGTCTCTGCTGATGTAAGTTTTCCCTTTTAATTTATGTCTACAAAGATTAACACTTTGTAAATTATAAATTTATCTAATTCCTTGGGTCTTTCATTTTATACAGGCAATCCCTGAATTATGCACCTATGTTTTCTGGACTCAACCAGGATCTGTTAAGGCAGAAATCATCTGAGTCTCTTGTGCTTCTGATTCATAATCAGACAGACAAATGAACTCTTCAACCGTTTCCTGTTTAAAAAAAATCAAATTTCAATGTTTTGATCAAAATCATGTTATTAGAATAGTGTTTTAGAATAGGCCTGAAACCATTTTTTATCGATAAAACTCGTGAAATAACATGATTTTGATGAAAAAATCTGGTTAAATAAGTGTTCAACAGGCTATCGTGGTTGCAACTTCAACTTCAATTTTCTCGAAAACTGTCCATCACAGAAATTTTTTGATAGCACTAATGGACTCAGTTTTTGTGTCCCTACAAAGCCCTTAAAGTCCCAAATCTTAAATCGAAAGATTTACCTTGTTTTGGTATATTTTGGTCATTTTGGTTGAGTTTTGGTTATTTTGGTCACATTTTGGTTTTTTGGTGAGACCCGTTCATCTCTACAACCCACAAACCCAATTAATTGTCTGAGCGAAGCGAAAACTATAAAGTGATTATTGCCCTGTTCTTATCCCCTCCGAACCATTTTAATGGATGAGTTGTAAGCATAGAGAATTTCAGGTGTGATTAGATTTTTCTTTCTTTTTTCTGAAATCATTAAAGAAAATTTTTATCACAGACTTTCTTGTTTAGCTGATTGGTTTCAATCTCAATCTGCATTCAATAAATATCGGATATGCAGTCATTTATTCAAAAAGAAACAATTTTTTTCAGATTTAGTAACTTAATGTTACTCATAATTTCGAAAGAATTGATTTTATGAAGCTGAAATTATCGGCTCCAGTCCCATGTGTCTTTCCAGCAACCTTTTGGAGCCAATTCTCGAATCTGTTTTTTGTATAAACTAACATCAGTGAATAGATCTGGCATTTCAGTAGAGAAACAACGAGAAGTAACTCCAGTAAGGTAAAATCTTGCATTTGATTCATAACCCATGTACGGTCCCTCAGAACATGTATTATCTACTTTAGTAGGATTCATGATACATAAATGAGTCTGGGTAGCAGGAGAAGGGCACTTGGAACCTGAATTGAAAATGCATTTATCAACAATTATTAAAAATGAAGCAACAGAAATTTTATTTTCAATCAACTTACCTGGATGGTTATAAAGATAGTTATAAGGGAAACCTTCAACATTTTTATCAGCTTTGGGACTAACAAGGTGAATTGGAGGCGTTGGCACTCGAGTTGAATCTCGTAAGCAAATTGGTTTAAATTGAGAGCCAACTGGAGAAGCCAAAGTCAATACAGCAAAATCATAGGCACCAGTCTTGTTGTTATATCGCTCATCAATCCAAACGGATGAGATTGATTTTGTCGAGTTATCGTTCAAGCGAGCTCTGAGTGAAGCTTCATTTGAACCAGATAGGCAATGAGCAGCAACAGCGACATGTTGATCATCAATCAATGAAGCACCACAAGGTTTTTGACTTTTATTTCTGAGAACGAATGAAAAGAATCACGATAAAATTAAGTGAATAAAGTAAAATGAGTAAAATATAAATTGTCATACTTACTCAATAACCACATACCAAGGGAACCGAGTCAACAAGCCTTTTGATCTGTCCATCACTATGTAATCAATTGCCTGACCACAGTCTGTACAAAATCATGAGTTAATTTTCAATATTATCATTAGCTTAATTGTTTCAGTGACTTACCACATGCGAAGGACTGATTGATCAAAAGGGCCAAAATGGAAGCAAACAAAGTTAAACTCATTGTAACAGTTGAGTGATTAGGATTTTTATTGGTACTTGAGATCGAACTGTTGATAATACCTTTACTTTTGCCAGAGTGATTAAGATTTGGTGATAGTTGATTCTTTTATAGTCAAGATCGGTCGGAAACAGATGATTCTTAATTAGTGTCCATGTGTTTGCTATGTAAAGTAACAATGCAAGGGAATTCCCTTTATTCTTTAATTTCAATTAAGATTGACAATTTTGATAAACATTTCATTACAAATTGAAGGAGACTTTGTATTGACTTTTTCAAATCACTCAAATGCTAACAAAAAGAAATGTGACGAATCAAATTTAGATGCATATTTTACCCATTCAACTGTCAATCTCATCATTATCAACATCATCATCTGCAAATTCAACAAAAGAATGAAATTTTTCAGGATAAATTTGAAAATTGCAAAAACGATTTTCTTTTGGAGATGCAGATTTGTTTGTTTAATCGTTTATTTCTCTCTTGTTTGGATTATATTGGATAGCATCAAAAATTAGCGAAGTAGTTAAATGAGATCATTCAATCATCGAGAAAGTTTTAAGATCACAAGATCGAGCTTAACTGTTAAATGCGCACTGTAGACATGTTTCTGATCCAAAAAGAGATATGGCAAGCTAGATTGGCCTTTGCAACTGAAATTTTATTAGTGAATAAAGGGAATTTCTTTACATTGTTTTTTTACATAGCAAACACATGGACATTAATTAAAAACATTTGATTGACACAAATCTCATCCAATATCGGTTAAGTTAAGTAACCTAACAGTCATGTGTGATCCAAGTTTTATAAAGCAAATTTCTCTCGTCATTCAATAGAAGGAATCAAGAAATAAGTCTAATCATCCTAAAAAATTTCAGCTTCTATTGAGTTTCCTTTGCGAGTTCATTGAAAAAACGTCTTAACTTTAGAGCACGATTGTGACTGAACGTGAAACCTTCCGGAACTTTTGATGTCTCCTAGAAAATTATTTTAAAATTAACAAAGGTCAGTTTTTCATGGTTATATTTTTTGGTTAAATAACAACTTTATTGATATGGTGCCTTTAAGTTCAGTCTGTTTGTTAGTTGCGTTCAATTTTTTGAGAGAAATCTTGGAATTAACTAGAGTTGGTTAATTGATCTTGTTTAACTTATCTGATGAACGTATCATTGTTATGTCGTACAACCTTCAAATGGCTCAACTGTTTAGGAACAATTACTGGAAGTGAATCAATAATGATTTGATTGACAAATTCAATTGTATAATTTCTTGCGTTTATTTTCATTTTCAGAAGTCATGACAAATGATTTGGATCAAAATTCATGCACTTGAAGATTCGCTCAATAATACGAATGATTGATTTGAGACAGCTGGAAACAGATTTTTCATTTTCTAGAAGTTACTACTTTACAGTTAAACACAAAAATTCATCAACGATAAACTGCGAATCATCTGTATGCTTATTGGTGTTTCGTCAGCTCTACTAACTGTAAGTTATAAGATGTTCATTCCTATCCGATTTAATGATTGAGTTCTTATGTCTCTAAAAGGTCATCAGGTCGCAACTTTTAACTCGATAGTCGAAGTTTTATCACATAAAAATCATTCAAAAACCCATAAATTTATTAAACTGAAAAAACGATTTGCTTCCCTCTACAATGATTTTGGATAAGAATTGTTTCTCCGCACCACTCTGAACACGATTTTCTCAGGAATTTGAGTTTCAAGAGGAAACTAGTAGATTTAGAACAAGTAGATTTCAATATACCATTCGCTAGATCTTATTGAGATCTACCGATTAACAAAGCTTGAAAAAATTGTCACCATGGCTCGGTCATAAATTGCCTCAAATAAATCAAAAATCGCTGATCAAAGAAAAAAATGGTTTTCATTTTAAACTCGATATAGTAGGTTGTAGTTGAATAAGGTCTTTCATGCAATTTTTCATAGAACCCACTCAGTTTGCCCACAATCTTGACGCAAAGTTTTGATACATTTAATTTATATATTGTATTTGCATAGATTAACTTTTAATGTAACAAGCAACGCAAGTTTCCTTTTTGGACTTATTCTGGACAAATTAATCAGAATTCTTTTCTTAACCGGAGTTCTTTTGCCTCTAATTGGACCCGCATTGGATTTTCATTCCACCTTTGCTTATTGCATCAAAGAACTAACGCTCTTTTCAAATATTTAGGTATTTGCCGATTCTTCAAAATGAATTCAACTTGAAAGTATTGCAATAATAAAATTAGATATTAATTTTACTTTTAATCTTGTCAAATAAAAGGAATGGGCAAAACAATAGATAGTTAGAAAGAAACTCAGTGTCGATTAGCTGTGTTTTCAAGAGCATCCATAGCTTCATTGACCTGAACTTCTGGGAAATTTATTTTTTAAACAAGCAACGGTTGAAGAGTTCGTTTGTCTGTCAGATTATTCAGCAGATTCACAAGAGGCTTGGGTGAGTTCTCTCCAATGTAAATCTGGTGATACCCAGGTAACATAGGTACATAATTCAGGGATTGCCTGTATAAAATGAAAGACACAAGGAATCAGATTAATCTATTATTTTCAAAGAGTTTATCTCTGAAGTTAAAACTTACATTAGGAGACACTTCACATGAAGTAGCATTGACATTCCATTTAGCACAGTCAGTCTGGCCAATCAAGAGTTTAACTTCATGATTTACTCCATATGGCTTGGCAGCTTGAATTCTAGCTTCTTTAATGGTAATCAGTTTCTTGTAATAAAAACTGTTGCCGTAACGGTTTTCATAATCAAGACCTTTAGCAGCCAACTCAGCAACAAGTGGGTCGTCAACAGAATTTGAGCTCCATGCTCCTTCAATTGGCTCGAACGGCACGGCGCTCCAAGCAGCTCCGAAAAGACAAACTGCTATCATGAGGAATTTCATTTTGCAGGGACTTACTTGAACGATTGTAAAAGGCCAAGATTAACTGGTTCAGTGTTTGAATAGATGTGAGTTCCTAATGGAAAAGAGTCAATGTTATATACACAAATGAAGCCCATTTAGCCGTCAATCACGAGCCGATTTCACTCCAGATTGATTGTCATATCGAAAACAATCACCTGTTTTTCGCGGAACTGACGTAACTTTTCAACAAAGAAATGATTGTGTATTAACTAGAAATGAACAGAGAGAAGAATAAAAGTGTCAAAAATGCTGATCCATATTTCCATTTCTTACTTAACACCTGGGAAAAGTGATTTATCTCTGAGAGAGAGAAACACAATAAACTCAACTGGTTCACTTGAGTCGAGCTATAACCAAGTTTTCAGGGAAATTTATGATTAATTGTTGGTCATCTGATTAGATTTGGGATATTTTGAGCAAAGAAGTTCAAACAAAATTCTTGTACGCTAAGACACATTAGAGCCAGACATTCATGTAAATTGTAGAGTCGACTTGATTCTTTAATTTGATAATAAATTTTTGAATAGTTTACAATTGCTTTGATTTCTCTTCTTGACATCTTTAATTCTGAGTTAATAGTTTCTGGACAAAACTTGTGACTTTCACATATACAGAAACTGAAAGAGTGAAAAAATATTAAATATACGGTAAGTAAACCTTGACATTACGTCTAGCCAACAATGAATTCACCCACTTTATGTACAGTTATCAATAAGTTAATTTTATTCCTTCTATTCCTTCCTTAGACTATGATAAGGTCAAATTATGGGTAGTTTGAATTTGAATTAGCTAATTTTTATATGCAATACTATTGGATGCAACCTGTGGTTCGTTCAAATCAAGCTGTAAGCATTAAATAGGCATTTACCAGATAACCATTGGTTGACTCTGGTGTTCCTGTTATAATTGCAACAGTTTTCTCCTATTCCTTCCGTTTTTTCAGTAACAAATGAACTTTATGAACAATTCATCTTTATCAGAAACAACGGTCCGTGAACCAGTTGGTTCCAACAACCAGCAACCGGTTGGTGATCGAACCGGTGGTCAGTCGCAACAAACACTCAAAGATAATGTGATAATAGGCCATGGTTCTTACTGGCGTTAATATTTTGGGAAAACGGAAGGGTCGATCAGTTCATCAATTTTTTACTGAATGGGAAATATCGGTTGCATTTCAAACCAATGTAAAACCACGTCAACCTGAGATCGTCATCTTTCTGTAGATTTACTGAACAAAGGACAAATTGAAAAAATATTTTAAGTTTATAAAAGAACTTTTCCAATGACCGAAGAAACTAAAAAATTTCATGTCGTAGCTGGTTTCAAAACGATACTTCATCTTGGATTGTCAAGAACAGTTCGGGCATATTGTTATTAATACTTCAGATTGTGCAGACGTAGCAACATGTGTGGTATAGCTATCAAAGCTTCTTACCCGATTGTTTTAATTGTCAATAACTTTTGTATGAAAGATTTTAGATACTCAATTTGTGAATATTAATCTTGATTGTCAATAGTAATTGAAATGTTTTTAATAAGACTTACGTTAGTTATAAAAATGAACGTTAACATTTAAACATTTTGATATTTTTACTCTCACCGAAACATGATAGCAAAAAATAGATTTTGTTAAATGTTCACTCCATTGCCTCTCATTATTAATTCATTTATCTCAGATAGACTTAGATAATAGCTTTGAATCCATGATAAACAATGTGATCATTACAAGCTCTTTCCAAATCCTTCAGGAAACGGTTCAATGTTGATTCAGTAAATTTGTTGGATTCAACAATATTGGCAAAAGCATACATGAATTTCATTCCATGAGCGTGAATACCCAAGTTAAGGCAACTTGACTGGAACTTTTTGGTTACTTTTGAGTATGTTGCATGATTAAATAATGGTCGTCGAGTGGACAGAACTTGTTGGGCATCTGAGCAATAACCATTGGAACAAAGTTGAGAGATGATCTTCTTAATGCTTACTTCAAGGAATCTTCGACCAGCAATCAAAGTTTGTAATTTTTTTTCAAGAACAGCAGCTTCAGCGGCATCATTTGTAGATATTATTTTACGGTCAAGCATCACTAAAGGTACATCTCTGGCGTTTACGGAATCACTTGAGTGTCTTACAGCGTAGATCTTTCTCGAAGCCTTTACACCCTGGAATTGACCAACTTCTAGACTAGCCAGAGACTTTTGACCAAATTGTTGTGGAGTTGATTGTGTAGTTTGTTTCACTACATCTTGAAATTGTTGTGCCAAGGTTTCTTTGGTTAGGTCATGAGAGTCAGAGTCTTCAAGCCAAGCAACTGAATATTCATCGCCAAGACAGGTACCAAATTTAGGCGCATCACAATAACATGCATAGCTTGATTCTTCAGAAGAGGAAGCAGTAGTAGCATAAATGTTTATATTATCAGGTAAAATGTTTTCAAACATTGAACCAGACTCACAAGCTTCCAAGTAAAATGTAAGTTTACCGTACATTTCATGGTCATGCATGTAAACTAAAGCTTTGTTCAAATCATCTGATGAAAGTGTATCATTTGGGAAAGCAACAAGGCCAGTGCCTCCGTGATCCGAGAAATAAATGAAAACATGGTCATTGGGTCCAGAAGTGAGTACTTTCTTGCCCTTGGCAGCAAGCGCTTTGTCCCCTTTGAGTACACCAAGGAAGTTTTCAGGAGTTACTTCTTCACCAGTATAATCTTTTGATACACCAGCATAGACATCAGAGCCATTAGGAGCATTGAATATTTTACCAGGGTAAGGATTCTCAGAGTTATTGGCAATATCATCGTACATCATGACAATAATGTTTTCAGCAGGAACTCCATGATTCCTCAAGACTTGATAAGCATGGCAAACATCGGCTTGATGACGATAATTGAAGTATTCATTTGACCCAGCAACCAGGACAGCTTGGATACTGTAATCAGCATTCGACTTAGAACTCAACAATTCAGCCAAAGGAGTTGAAGCTGAAAGAGTGAAAAGTATTGGGAAAATGGTTAAAAATGGAAACATTATTCAGGTCTGGCGTTTGAAACTGTTTGATGAACAAATTGATTGAATTAGTGAATCTGTGCCATTTTTTATATTGAATTTCATAGCTTATCGAATCATACAGTCTGAATCTTCACACTGATCTTACTGTATGTTATGAAAATGTACTATAAACAGAAAGCCCATTATTATCGAATGAAATTTATTGTCATGATAAGTTTCTAATGAATTGATTGTATTTTGAATAAAAATAGTGGCTGCTGTTGATTATGATTTATCGATAATTTCTTTTCACAATCAATCAAATCCAAATCAAAAGCAAGTTTCCCTAATCATACTGGAAGCTGGGAAAAAATCAATGGAAATGAGGTATTAAGCAACAGACCAACGTGAAAATGATTCGCTATGATATTCAGGGATCAGCAGATTAACTTAGCTAATTTTTATTGGAAATTTTCATGTTTTTTTACAACTAATTTTTAGTAACTTTGCCAAGTTGGTTACCATATCGAAAGCAATCACCTTTTTTCCAGAGAACTAACGAGGTGGTAACTTTCAAACAAATGAATGACAAGATTTAACTGAAAATTTATAAAGATAAGAAAGAAATAATACTAAAGATAATAATCATTTACATTTTCGGGGTTCTTGCTGAAAAAGGAAATAATCTGGGGAAAGGGAAACACCATAAATCGAATGTTGAGTTGAGATGAGTATTTGGCTGTTTCATTAACTCTGAGTATTGGTAATTTTTAATTATTCAATTAATTCTTGAGACTCAGAAAACAATAAAACTTGGGCGACAACTTTACCTTCAGCAGTTACAGTGATGACACAGATGTTAACAGCTAAAACAAAAGCAAATAACATTTTTGAATTCATGTTGAGTCGATTTATTGTTACTTCAGAGTAGTAAAATTGTAATAATAATGATAATGATCGAAATGAAATACTTTACATAGTGAAAATCATCAATAATCTGAGATATTCTCCTCCACAAAATTCCGAATAATCATTTATTACAATTTGTATTCCAAGAATTGTTTATGATGATAATTTTGCTAATTGAAAACAATTGATATAACCATATATTGAGTTATGAAACCAACAAGTAGACAACATTAAAATGCTCTGTAAATGGCTGGTTAGATAGAATGGCTTTCCTCTATTAACTATTCAACTTTGTCACCTTTACCCAAAATATCATCCTCTTCAAGAGATTCATTGATACTATTGTTTGACCGTAACAATATTGATTGTATTTAATTCTCAGTAATTTTATATCATCCAAATTAAACATTGAATTGTGAAGTAACCATTACAGATATTATTTAATCAAACGCCTAATAAAGCATTCACCTTTATCAGTTTGTTGAAACCATTCAGTTATCTTTATTTTTCTCAGAAATTTTCGGATAATCACTTGACATAATGAAAGATAACAATGATCTTCGAAATGGCCTTATATAAATATGGTTAGATTGTCTCAGCCGTTCTTGAGATCTTAAAGGCAGAACAGTCTGGAGACAAATTTATTTATCCTTAAAACTAGTAACTTTTTTCAGTATCATTCAGTGGAATTTGATTGTGATGAAATCACTTCTTATTTTTGTATAACATTGACTCTTTTTACTTCAAATTCGATTGCACTACTTTTTCTCTGTTTCTCTGTTCATTATTTCGATTTTTACAAATTTTTCTGGTTCAAGTTAATACTTAATAGTTCTGTTAATCAAATGCATTCTCAATCTTCATGTAATGAATAAGAGCGTCATGACATTAGGTCATCACACGAGGTAAATTTTCAATCTTGAACCTTTACATTATGCTTCAAAAATGTCTTAAAGTTACCTTAAAGGCTTAATGCTATTATTTACTGCATTTTAGTTCATCTTTTATTTTTGCCTAACATAAAGGTCATCTTACAAATTTTATTGGCAGAAGAATGACCAATACAAAATTTGAATCGTTACTTTCAAGAGAATTGACCATAACGTCATGATGTAGTTGCAACCATTCCTTGTGTTCCATAAAAAAGTTTGCTTAAGTCCACAGTAATTAGTCTTCTGGGTCAAAATCAGGTTTATATTTTTTTAATATATCAACCAACAAATTGGACAGTTCGTCATATTTTCCAGTACTCATACTGTTAGTCCTGGATAAAATGAGGCTGGTTACTGTGATGATAAGAAATTTCGAATTATTATCAATAAAAATCAATTTACATGAAGCAACATCTAGTTAATAAGCTTGAGAGATACTTACCGGGGCTGTTGCTAATAGGAGTTTCTAAACAGGCATAAGCAACCAGATAGTTATCGTAATCAGTATCGATTATATAGTAGGTCATGTGATATGGTACCACTGTGAATTATAGGGAATAATTAATTTTTTGAAAAACATTCATAAATTGATCAATTGTTTAACTTATCGGTAAAGTGCCAAGTAAACAAGAAACTTAATGTAATTAAAGTAAGAAAGAATGACTTACTGCGTTCAATATCGTAGACATTCAATGAATTTTGACTATCAGTGCGTTCGGCTGTATAATATTACATGCTAAATCATGATCGCGTGAATGCTGCAGCCTGTGCATGTTTAAATACAATAAAGCTACAAGAGCCGATGCATCGAGTTGCAATGATAAAGATTCACTGGTTATGAGCTCGATCCGAGAAAGTATATAAATTGAATTTCATCTAATAACTAGTTACTGTGCGCAATAAGACTGCATACGACAGCATTATTTGGGAACTTTCTCTTGTTGAAAATCACCAGATTGAAACAAAGGACGCAAATAAATTGATGCTTCAATTTGAGTTGATTTGAAAAAACAAAAGATTCAGACAATTTTTTTCTGACATATTCAGCCCTCAAGGATTCTATTGATAAAGTTTCACAATGACCTGTAATGTGGGTGATACCGTAAAAGTATTACCGTAAAGTAATACATAAAATAAAAATTGAAATCATTTCAAGTTCAATTAATTCAACAAAATAGCCTTACACTTGACACAAACCAAGTATTGCTAACTTATTTTTTTCAACTTACTGCCAGCTTATTGTATTTGTGGTTTTTGATTCTTCTCTTCTTCATTTCCAGTTAATTCACAATCAGCCATTAATCTGTTGAAAAGTTAACACCTCGTTTCAGTTTCTTTTTGGTTCTTTTTCAGTTCTTTTCATAGACAGATCTTTTTCAAGAAAGGCCCATAAATGGAAATATTTATCAGCATTTTTATAACTTTGATTCTTCTTTTTATTCATTTCTAGTTAAATCCTAGTCATTCATTTGTTAAAAAGTTATCACCTCGTTAGTTCCCTGAAAAATAGGTGATTGTTTGTGATAATATAATCAACCTGGCAAAGACATTGCTTCAAATTAGTTATATTAATAATATTAGTAATTATTTTCAGCTCGTCTGTTGCTATTCAATTATCGCAATTGAATTTTTTCAGGTTCGGTATCATCGAGTGAAACTGAGGAGGGATAAAATCACTTCTTCTTTTTGAGTATTAAACATTGACTCTTTTTCCCTTGAAATTCACTTCTAATTCAACATTGAACCAGTTTACTTTTATTCGCTAACTTTTAAACACTGGTTTAAGAAATCTATGCAAAATGAAATCCATCATTATAGCAGCTTGTCTTTTTGGATTTGCCTTTGACATAGAAGAAGGATGAAGTTCGGTTTCTGTTGATGATTCAACTGAGTTTGGACTCATTTGACCACTAGAGCAAACAATTGTAAAACTTTAACTTAAGCTACTAATCCAATTATTGTTTTTTCACTAATTTTAACTAAGAATTGACCGGGGAATTTCACTAAATTTAACATTGACGACATGAAAAACAAGTAAAAAGACCATTTTATTGCACAATCCTATTGAACAATCAATGTTTTTGGTATTTGTTTTATGATATCATACCAATTAGCAAGTATCTATGACCTTTGGCTCGGAAGTTATGACCGCAAACAGGCGTAAAATGAAAAAATGCCTGGTATACATATCAGATGTACTGATAATTGAAAGGAAGTGCATCATAAATAAACTCATCATCATCTTCATTTGAAATATTTTGCTAATCCAATCGCTTCTCGTCAAAGGCAAGTGCACAGATTAAATAAGAAAAGACATCTAATAAATTATTAGATGTCTTTTCCTTATTATAAATTATTAGATCCTGCGTTTCATCGATTGAAACCCAAATTTTGCTTCCTCTAAAATGTTCAACAACTTTGGCAAGGTTCATATTAAACTCAGTATTGAGTTGCCGTCGTAATGATGATTCAGATGGTAAGGTTTTACCAGTCCATTTAGTCATGAAATTACGAAAAATTTCATTGTTAATTTTATATGGAGCAATATCAGCAGAAATCAGGGCATTGAATAAATCCTTATTGAATTGAAACTGTTCAGATGAAGGGTCAATTTCATCTGAATTCAATGCATTAGTAGCATAAAGAGCACGTTGATGAGTCGCAGTTTTGATATGTTGAGACAATTGGAAAGGTCGACTAATGTTCAATAACTTATTACAAAAAACACATTTGACACTTTGGCCAATCAAACAAAAAGCTTCACCAAACTTTGCAATGTAAGTTTTCAATCTTGCAATTAGTTGATCATCAGTTTCATCCATTTTAATATTTTAATGAAAATTGCAATGAAACAAATAACAAAATAGGTAAAATGTAAATGAGAATTAAACAATCAAATCAAAGCCTTATAAAGGAATCAATTCAAAATTAGAAGCCCAGAAATTGCAAAAAATTTAGTTTTTCCATCATCAAATTATGCATTGAATTGAATTTCTCATCATTCACTAAGATTGCTTCAACAAAAATTGTTCAGTAAAAATTGAAAATCTCATTTTTATTGGTCAAAATCGGTCATTTAAAGACTTTGCTCATCATTAGATGAAAATGAAAAGGAAAAGGAATGTTTGTTTTGTTTTGATTTAAACTTTTTTATGATTCTTTAAGATCTTTTATGCAAGATTAATTCATTTTATGTAAACCAAAAATTTCATTGCAGTGCATAATCTTTATGCTGATAACCGAAAGATAGACTTGCATAGAAAATGAAAAGCCCTGCTAATAATAATTTGGAAATCAGTTGCAATGACGATAAAACAGTCAAGTACAACTGAACTTAATATGCTTCTCGATTTGAACCTTCATTTCTTGATATGTCTGGTGAACCTTGGAGACAGCAGAGACGAGTTGCTCTGACAATACTTCGCAATGTTGGTCTTGGGAAAAGTACACTCGAAGACAAGATCAAAGAAGAGATTGATTTTTTTATCGAATCTCTAAAATCGATTCATGGTACAAAAGTTGATTTTAATGAGTTCATTGGATCGAGTGTTGCAAATAACGTCTCAATCCTTATGTTTGGACATCGATTTGAAATTTCCGAGTCTCAGCTCCAGAAGGGAAAGAAATATCTGCCGAAGTAAACTATATCTTCCTTCGAATGGTGAAAAAACCAGTAAAACTCAATTTTCACACTTTAAAGGAAAACTAACAAATGTTGACCAAACAATCTCTTTACTCAGAACCAAATAATGAAGTGATTTCAATGAAATCGCAATCATTACTAATTTGTTATCAATCTATACACTATAACCATTAGCGCTTAAAATCACCATTCTTTTATTAATTATTATATTTTACAGTATTTTAAGTGGGAAATCATGCATAAGAACCGATAAGTGACTTCGAATGTTTGTCAGATGTAATCGCGGTCAAAACAAACTGATAATTACAACATCCTCAGACTATGATTAAACAGAACCTTTTCATAATTTCATGCTCACAAATGGCTTGACTCGTCATCAGTGATACATATTATGTGACTCATAATTTTTAATGTGAAATTTAATTTGTCAAAGAAGATTCTATACATTTATTCTTGTTCTGATTGTAAAAAATTGCACCATTTCCCATGCAAAATGGATTTAAAAATAAGATCTGAAGTTTTGGTCACAGAGAGATCTCTTTAGATTAGACAATAAATCACATCGCTAAAAAAATAATAATATGCGGTTTTCAATAATCATCAGGAATCAAGAAACATGGAAGTTCCTGATATTTTTTAAGGAAGCAATGTTTCATGAAATCATAGCCACGACTAATTTTTTCTTTTTTAGACGATAAGTGAGGCCAATCTGATTCGATTGCATTTTGATTCCCATTGAAGTAAAATTTAGTTGATCTTCCATTCCGTGCACAATGATCTTTTACATAATCAGCAGCCCTTTGAGTGACTCCATCACATCCAGAAACATCAAGTAGAACCAGTTTGGGTAAAATGTGAACCAATTCCTCGATATGTTCATCTTTCATGTCTCGGTTCGTCCTCAACGAAAGATGTTTGAGATTCGGATATTTCCTCAACAATCTTCGCAAATTATTCCAGTTGGTTGAGTCAAAATCTAACTGTCAATATACATGTAAAATCAATTAGTTTATGTGGTTAAATTTTGAAAAGATGGCCTTGACGTAACCTAGTCTTGTTCATTTTAATCTAAAATGGATTGAGTAAAGGAGGGTCTCTCATTTTTTTCACTTTTTTGTTTCTTTTGAGTTAAGATTTCAACTCTTTTTTGCATATAGATTTAGTAATGAGGATTACAAAAATCTTGACCATTTTTTTCTGAGATCATCGGTTTTCGAGATTTTTAAGGTCAAAGTGCGCAACTTTCGAGTCTGATGTAGGCCATATTGTAGCATATTTTATTATCATATTTGAGATTTTGGTAGAACACATTTAGGACAATTGATCAATGCTATAAAAAGTTTTCTTTTCACTAGGTAGGCTGAGATATTCAAGTTCGAAGAAAATTCAAACAAAACCGTGAGTTTAGGCCAGCGGAAACAGGCCAACTTAGCTGTAATCCTTATGCATCTTCAGTTGCTTTCCTTGTTGGCCTGTTTCCGGTAGGCAAGGGCATCCGGGTTATCAAAACTGCCCAAAGGTCATAAAATTGCAACTTCACCTCCACGTGGTAATGACTGGGTAACTCCAACGTAGCTCTGCAATATTCATAAAAAATTAATTCTGAAACGTTTATTAATTGAAATGACAATAACTAACAAAGCGCTTATTGGACAATGATGAGACTTGACCAGTACGATTATTTGACCTTGAAAATTATGATTCGACCTTAGTTTGACCTCTAACATTGTTAGGGACGATTTCCGAAAAATGACCTTGAATGACCTTGACCTTGAAATATGCCAAATAAGTATTCGCGAAATTGGCATAAAACTTTTTTCAAGTCTCTGGCCTAATCACAGGCCGAGAAATAAGCGTTTAACATCGGTAAAGATAGCTGAAATGCCCTGTAAATCTATATCCAAAAAAGAGTTGAAATCTTAACTCGAAAGGATAAAAAAGTGAAAAAATAAGAGACCTCCTTTGGATATTCCGAAAATGTTTTCAAATTGAATACTTAACTACTGGAGATAGTACTACAGTAGATAACTCAGTAGATAACTCTACAGTAGATAACTCAGAGACACTTTTGAGCAGTTTGTTTACATGTTTAAAAAACTTGTAACAATTGCAAATGAAAGGCGAGATTCGGGTTGAAAGAGTGGTGAACAACTGTAATTACATTGCTATGAATGAATAATAGTGTCAACTCGGTAAATTGTCAAAACCAGCAAAGGTATTGTTGAAAATACTAAATCTTATTCATTAGATAGTCTTAAGAAGCTTATGAAAGCACAAAAAAATGGTCAGGCTACAGTCATTATTTAATGAAAGGTACAAAATAATGAAAAATTCAATTTTTCTGTCTTTTAGGTTTCTTCCCTTTTTCTTTTCTATTTCATCAGCTTTTCCTGAATTTCGGAGTTGAGTTCTAAAAATTTGTAGATCTTTGGGCGGCATTCAGACAAAGACCTTTAGTTTGCGATTCACAAAAAAATATAGACCCATTGAGTGCGGAGAAATTTTGACAGATCACCAAAACGTAAATAATATTATCTAAGATTAATGAATACTTACAAAACGTATAACTAAATCTTGTAAACATTTGTGTTTTAATTTTTCATCAACAAACAAACCATTAGTATTGACGGTCATATGTGCACTTTGTAAATTTGGACATGAATCCATGAACTGGAACCCATAACAATTGTCTGGACGATTAGAGTAGAAGCACATTTCAAGTATTTTGAGCTTTTTCAATGCTGGACCGTCATAGTAACTGTCTGTGGATAAACAAGAGATCTCCATAAGCAAAAATTTTTGGCGAAATATTTTCATGCTTACCAGTTACTATAATATTTAGTCTTTCAAGATTTGGGAAATAATAAGTATATTTCTTGAAATCCTGATAATTCCAAGTGTGCAATTGTTTTATACTGGAACCATTTAGTCGAAAGTCTGGCCAGATATAATTAAAGGATAGCATTTCGAGTTGATCACAATATTTTTCTATTGGTTCATCAATGGAATAGATTAATCCTTTCAAAGATGCTTGATTTCGTACAAATGCAACAAATTCTTCAGATCCTAAGTACGTTTCCCATCTAATGTTCAATTCAACAATCTAAGAGGAAAAGATGCATAAGAAAATTAATATTGAATGAAAAATCCAAAAGGAAAATGATGAGAGCGGATTTTTTAGAGCATTTGTCTCCTCGCCGATTTTTATGAAAATTTGTGTGTTGATAGAGGACACTCGGGTCTACAATATTGTCCAAAAAGATTTTTAGATCAGACTTATAGACATCAGGAGATATTGAAAAACAATCGAAAAAACTTTAAAGCCATTTCGAGACCGAACCACTTATTCGATTTTGCATCATACATTAAATTTTTTAACGATTGGGAAAATTTTTCTGACTTTTAAGTATTTTTTTCTTGATTTTCGATATCTTTTGATCAATGAACCCGAATTGATTGAATCATTGAAATGCTTTCATCTATCTTTTCATGTAGTAGTTTCAAAATAATCGGAAAAGAGGCAAATTTGATTCTCATCCTTATATTATTAATATCAACCAACCATTAAATTTGTGAATAATTCACTTGGACAGGTTGCATCAATTCGACCATATCCTTGATAATAAACAGAGCCAGATGAATAATCTGGTTCCTCTGAAAATATAAATTTCTTTGATTAAGATATTGATCACAATGAGAATAAGCATTAATGGAAACTTGAATCTTACCCATCAAATATTTAACTTTTTTAGTTCTCTCAGCAATTAAATAGCTCCATTTGTTGCACACTGCAATAAAAATTGAATCAATAAATTATTTTTCTAATTATTTATTAATAATTGCCTTCAGAACAAAGAGTAAAGGAAGAAGAGAGAGCAATTCAATAGTAAGTCTGAACCAAAATTTTTTTTTGGTGTCAGAAGATGGCGCAAGAAAGAGACTCTTTCTTTTTACTTTCTTTACATATTTTTCACTCTCTTTTTCTCTTTCTTTTCTATTTCTTTTTTTAATTAAAAATTTAATTACAATTGTAATGCAATTGATATAAACTTTGGAAAAGGCTTTTTTGATTGTTTTTCAATGTTTTTAATGTTTTTTTGATTGATTTTGATGATTTGATGCTTAGATTTCTTATTAATGACAAATTTATGACGATTTAACAGAAAAAATGCCATTTCAACTAGTAAAGTCTAAATTGATCGCGCAAAAGTCTATCAAAACGTTTTCATAGTCATTGTGTTAAGGTTTCGGTAATATTTTGGTTACGATAAACTTTCCCTGCCAATAAATTCTGAATTTATTCTTTACAGCTGTTAGATTCATAATTTAATGGTAAATTCGTTAACCGATAGATATGTCCAACATTATACTAACGACAATTCATTCACCATTTGCTTTATGTGAAGGTGAATTCCCGTAAAATCAATGAATTCAGAATTTATTCTAGTTTATATTCATTTATTAGCAGAGTAACCAAACTAGTCGTAAACCTTAATTGATTGACTATGAAAACTTTTTGATAGACTTTTGCTTGATCAATTTAGATTTTGTTAGCTATAAAGACATTCTTCTGTCACAATTATCACAAATATATCATTAAATAAGAAATCATAGCATCAAAATCATTAAAATCAATTAAAATGACATTGAAAACATTGAAAAGTTGTCAAAAAAGCCTTTTCTAATGTTGACATTTATTGTTTTAATTTAATTTTTGATGATGAAAAGAAAGAGAAAAGAAAGAGAAAAAGAGAGTGAAAAATATGTAAAGAAAGTAAAAAGAAAGAGTCTCTTTCTCGCGCCATCTTCTGACACCAAAAAAAATTTTGGTTCAGACTTTGTATTGAATTGCTGTCTCTTCTTCCTTTACTCTTTGCTTCAGAACCAACATAACATGACTTAATATCTGTCAAATATTCAAAAACTGCGCCAAAACAGTCAGATGATTGAGTAATGATCACAAGATAAATGTTTCATTCACACCAAAGAGTAAAACAACTATTACTCTTTGATTCACAACTTTGTCAGATACAACTTTTATAATAAACTCAGAGATTCGAGTCAGAAGTCGGTATAGCTAATTGACTTAAGCGAGACTTTTTCTGGTCACTTCAGCAAATCCTCAATTAGGTGATTTAAAAATTACGACCATCGCAAACAGGTTTGTGTCTAGAAAATAGACTTTCGTCAAATTGAAAATAGATTTAATTTTTGAAAGACGCATTGGAAACTGTTGCTTAGGATGCCGTGTTCGGTCACAATTGCCCCTAAAAATTGAAACAAATTTTGATGGTTTCTCACAAATCGGCCATGATACTGTTAGATCGGCTTCTGATAGGTTTTGCTTTTTTGTCTATGCTCAGACTTGCAATACTTGTTAGATATAATGAGGATACAAAAAATCCCCAATCGTCTCAGGAACCACTAACCGTACGTTCAAACTTGTTAATATAATAGATATAATTGAGACATATTTTCAATTTGACGAGGGTCAATTTCTAGAGACACGCCATTTCCAATGGCAGAGGACGATTTATAATATACAAAAGAAACAGGTTTGGTAATTACCTTTATAGCAGTTTATTAAATCATACAGGCTATTTATATAACCAAAAATGGCGAGCAAACAATCATCGGGAAGTTCATTGATGAACATTGTTCAATAAAATAATGTAATGTTAACTAAAATTTTCACTTGATTCTGGTGATTATAGATGTTAAAATGGCAAAAGATTCAATGGTAAATCACTAGATTTGCTTGATTAAAAGCGTTAGATTCATTCAAGATTGTTTTCCTCTGTAGTTCACATAGATGTCAGCAGTAGATTGGGGTAATTTCAAGGATTCATCTTCTCGTCAGATTCTGGATAATTTTCATTTCAATCTGTAATTTTGATTTTATATGAAAGTTTATCATTTTAAAAAATATATTATAATTTAAGAAAAATGCCTTTTTCAGCATTAAGACAAAATGGTGACAAAGAAATTCTACGATCAAATGATGACCATGATTTGACTGCAGCCAAAAATAATTCAGCTTTCTATTAACTCAGATTCCTGGGAGAATCATGTACAAATAATTGCTGCATATTAAACAATCAATGGTTTCGCTATTTGTTTTGTGATATTAAACTAACAAGCAAGTTCTATGACCTTTGGCTCGTGAGTTATGACCGCAAACAGGCGTGAAATGAAAAAAACGCCTGGTATACATATCAGATGTACTGATAATTGAAAGGAAGTGCATCATAAATGAACTCATCATTATCTTCATTTGAAATATTTTGCTAATCCAATTGCTTCTCGTCAAATGCAAGTGCACAGATGAAATAAGAAAAAGATATCTAATAATAATTTGAAAATCAGTTGAAATGACAATAAAACAGTCAAGTGAAACTGAACTCATTTGCTTATATTCATCTGACTGAACTGGCTAAAAATTATGGATCAGTTTTCAGCTTTAAATGTGGTCAATTCGATGTGGTTGTGATCAATGAGGTGAAAGCCATTGAAGAAGCTTTTAAGAATGAATTGGCTTGTCCGAATACATCTTTCATTCCAGAATTTGAACCTTCATTTCTTGATATGTCTGGTGAACCTTGGAGACTGCAGAGACGAGTTGCTCTGACAATACTTCGCAATGTTGGTCTTGGAAAAAGTACACTCGAAGGCAAGATCAAAGAAGAGATTGGTTTTTTTATTGAATCTATAAAATCAACTCATGGTGCAAAAGTTGATTTCAATGAGTTCATTGGATTGAGTGTTGCAAATAACGTCTCAATCCTTATGTTTGGACATCGATTTGAATATAATGATCCCATTGCGATTGAAATGATACACAATACGAAGCAAGTCAGTGAAAATATTGAATACTTCAATAAATTTTTATTTATGCCTTCAATAACTTCTTTAGTTTCCTTGGCTGCCCGATTCAGCTCTGATTACAACAAAACAAATGGGACAAAAGTAGTAAAATCACAAAATTTCATGACGTTTAGTGGAGGCAAAAGGATATGTCCAGGTGCAACTTTGGCTTTAATTGAGTTGTTTTTTTATTTGGTTTCAATTGTGCAAAATTTCCGAGTCTCAGCTCCAGAATAATGATGTATAGTTCAGATGTATGATCATTCAGCATCATTCAGATGAATTGAATCAAATATATTTGAGAATGATGATGAATCGAAGCAAGACTGAGTTGGAACAATTGATTCAATGATTAAAGACTTCAACGTTCACTTGATGGTACAGTTACTTCCAGTTTGGGTTGTATTTTACAAGCACAATGATGTGGAGCGGCAACATAACCCCATTGAGGTGCTTCATCACCAGGCTTCTTGTGCAACATGTAAACCCATCCATTACGCTCTGTACATTCACTATTGTACAATGGCGATATACCAACACACGATGAGGCTAAAATAGCAAACAAATTCATTCATATTAAGCCTTAAATGATGTTATGTTAACTGTTTATATGTAACAATTACCTTTATTAGATGAACACCGATATGTATAAATAAATTGAGTCATTCCTTCTTCTTGAATAACTTCAACTTCATTATCATATAAATCATGAGTCTTGTTGATTTGTTCCCATTGTCTATTAGTCGGACATATTTCTTCAGATGGAAACTGTTCGGTTGGAGTTTCTTCTTTAGGTACTTTTCGTTTCATCACCATCATTGATGATTGATCATCTTCCTAATTGTAAATAATCAAATAAAATAAGCATGCAGCAGTAACTTTAGTAAGTAAATAATGGAAATATCACCAAAATAAAATTATATCAAATGAATGGATTTAACTTACTATTTCTGGATCATGTGTTGGAGGCTCAGATCCAATATACAAACGTTTTTGATACAATGCAGGATGATTAACAACATGAGAGCTTTAAATTAACAAGTTAATTAAAGAAGATTAAGGAATATAACAAAAATTTCATGAACATTTTCTTACCTCATTTTATGAAGATGGGATCGCAGATTTGGATCTGGCTGATATTTTGTAAGTAAATCGTTTACATAACTACGAATGATTAATTTAAGTGTACCATCTGATAAATGTATCTTATGACCTTTGAAGTCGATAGGAATAAAAATTAAGTAAAAAAATTAACTTTACAAATCACTGATTAAAAGAAATTAGATTTAAGAGTAAACTTAGAGATTTGTTTACCTGCTACATTTGGAAGCCAAATTTGGATAATGGACACTAAGATAATTCCTAAAGTTGTAATTTTAACTTGACTAATCATGATTAAAGGTAAGATACACACTGTTGGCTGTGATATAACTGACCAATATATATATTGTGTAAAAATATTTAATACTAGAGAAAAGATGTTGATCAAATCGCTCTTAGGAGTCTAATAAACAAATATGGTCAATTGTTTGTACAATCTAGCGATTGAATGGACAGCCTGCATCTATTTCATTAATATTATTTTGATGACGTCCAAAATGTCCTCATCTCGATCCCATTAATTCACCTTAACTAGCCCACTCTTGTTTTACCCACTTATATCTACACTTCCACATGTCATAATTAAACAATCGCGATGACAAAACAAAATAAAGACAGGGTCATCCAAAAATATCTTCACCTTGCCTTTTCTGGAGTCCAAATTAATGACCCTTTTAACCAGTTGCATCTTTAGTGTCATTTAATTGACTGACTTTCATCTTGTCTCCATCATTTTCCTTATTATGCGGACTTATGGAAAAAGTACAATAATAGTACAAATTGTTGCGTGCTTCTAATAAACATAATTCACAAACAATTGATAGTTTGATAAATACCTGTCTATATCTTCATCTTCCTGATTATGCTGATTTATGGGGTCCTACATGTATATTTCCTTGCATCTCTTTGCTTTTTGCTGAAAATTGTATTGTATTAAAATTGTAAGACTCGCTCCGATCATTATTAATTATTATCGCCTGAAAACGGTTGCCAATAGGTCTACTCAACTGAATCAGTTGATTTTATTGTGTTTCTCTTGCTTATGAAAGATAAATCCCTTCTTTCAGGTAAAACACCAAAAATGGAAATACATGTATTGATCGCATTTTTATAAACTTTTATTCTTCTCTTTTTTCATTTCTAGTTAAATCTTAGATATTCATTTGTTTGAAAGTTACCAACTCGTTAGTTCCCTGGAAAATAGGCGATTGATTCGATAATGTAATCAACCTGGCAAAATCTTTGCTTCAAATTAGTTGGAAAAAACAAAAAACAAAAGAGAAAATTTTAATAATAATTAGCGCAATTCATCTGCTGATCTTTGACGATCATATCGATTCATGTTTACTATTTTCGCGTAAGTCTGTTGCTATTCCCGATTGCAATTGAATTTTTTCAGCTTCCAGTATCATTCAGTGGAGTTGGATTGTGATGAAATCACTCCTTCTTTTTGTGTATATAACTCACTCATTGACTCTTTTCCACTTGAAATTACATTGCACTACTTTTTCTCTGTTTCTTAGCCCATTATTTTGATTTTTACAAATTTTTCTGGTTCGAGTTAATACGCGCTCTGTTAATCAAATGCATTCTGAATAAGAGCCCCATGACATTATACACGAGGTAAAGTAAATCTTTAATCTTGAACCTTTATATTATGCTTCAAAAATGTGCATAGTTATCTTAATGGCTCAATGTTATTATTTGCTTCATTTTAGTTTATCTTTTATTTTTGTCTAATATAAAGGTCAGCTTACAAAATTTTACTGTCAGAAGAATGACCATTGCAAAATTTGAATCTTTACTTTCAAGGGAATTGACCTTAACTACATGATGTAGTTGCAACCATTCCTTGTGTTCCATAAAAAAGTTTGCTTAAGTCCACAATATTTAGTCCTCTGGGTCAAAATCAGGGCTATATTTTTTGAATATATTAACCAACAAATTGGACAGTTCGTCATATTTTGCAGCACTCATACTGTTAGTCCTGGATAAAATGAAGCTGGTTACTGTGATAATAAAAAAATTCCGGATCATTACCAATAAAAATCAATTTACATGAAGAAACATCTAGTGAATAAGTTTCAGCGACTCTTACCGGGGCTTGTGCTAATAGGAGTTTCTAAACAAGCATAAGCAGCCAGATAGTTATCGTAATCAGTATCGATTATATAGTAGGTCATGTGATATGGTACCTCTGTGAATAAAGAAAATGATAAATTTTTTAAAAAACATTCTTATATTGATCGATTGTTTACTAATCGGTAACAAGTAATCAAGTAAACAAGACACATAAAATATTAAAGTAAGAAAAAATGACTTACTGCGTTCAATATCGTAGACATTCAATGAATTTTGACTATCAGTGCGTTCGGCTAAATTATATACGCTAAACTTTATATCTCTAGACGAAGAATAAATAATCGCATTAAAAACACATTTACATCAGTCAATTCAGCTAAATTACTCAGAATAAGCTTCAGTGATTGTATAATTGAAGTTTCCATCCTCCAGAGGAATGAAATCATCTGTAATGTATAAATCAGTTCTTGGGTTACCAGTTATAATAGATTTTCCACCAATTCTGTACCATCGACCAGCAATCTAAATCAATCAAACACCAAATTGATAAGTAAAACGGATTGGGTAAACACATTAAATCATTATAAACTTACTTTGCCAATATCAGCACCAGGAACATTTGGAGGAACTGGACATTCACCAAGAGCTGAAGAAGCAACAGCAAAGACAACGAAGAGAGTGACGAACATTTTCATAGTTTTTTGCACAAAAGAAGAAATTAAATGTTTTACATTAAAACTTGTTGATTGAATGATGTAAATGTGTTTAATGTCATAAATTTATATACATTTTTTCATCAGTTTATCTAATAATATGATCTAAATATCGAAATAAAAAATCTTATAAAATTAATGATCAAGAATAATTTCATCAACTCCTTTCAAACAATACATAATGAAATCAAAGTAAAAAGATAAGTTTGTGAATTGCAGATTTCATGAGAAGTGCTTGAAGATTGTATTTATCATGCTTCATTTAACTAGAATTTGATCATTTAGTCAGAAATAATTTCACCTATCTCATTAATAATCTGTACAATTCTTGGTTAAACAGTTATAATGAAACAAATGAATTCTAGTTAATCTTGTGTTTTTAGGTTAGAAAATGAAAATTATGATAGGACTGCATTGGACAGCATTATTTGGGCACTTTCTCTTGTTGAAAATTACCAGATTGAAACAAAGGACGCGAAAATAGACGAAAAGCTGACTTACTGTTAATAAATCTTTACCATCAGATAATTTTACATGAAAAGGCCACCAACCTCGAACTCTCCTCTCTTTAAACAGATTGATTCGAGCCTTTTTTAAATCCTTCCTTTATTCATATTGTTCCCTAATCCCGTCTTTGAATTTTCGTTTCCTTTAAATCCAGCAAATTACCTAAATTACAATCTCTAGCTATTTTGATCCTCTGGGAAACTCCGATAGATTCAGATGAAGATTACAAAGGATCACCAGAAGATGAATAACTTCAGACTTGGAGAACCATTCGACAGGGCAATGCACCCTGAGTTGGATCAAGAGAATACAAACGAGCTCGATGTCTAGCCATGATAACATTCTCAGCGTTAAGGAAATCAAATCTAAACAGGAATCGCCATCACCAGTAAATGAGCGATAATGTACATCAGTTGATTGCGCCAACTTAGCATCTTGAATCCAACCCTTGATGTAAATATCAGACATTTTTCCTCCTGAAATAATTGATCCTTCGTCAAGAATAGCATCTTTTGTATTCCATATTGTCAACTGTAGTTGATAACTTTTTGGAATTCATGGTGATATGTCTATGGATGGATGGATGTGTCGTGGATCACTTGCTTTAACATGCCATAAGCAATATGATCTACCAAATTAAATATTTGTTATTGGTTGATGTCGTTCCAAGTTCAAATAATAATATTCATCCACCGAGACCAAGCTCGGTTATTATAATAATTTGTAATAGTTTTTAAGCATATTGATCTGAAATCATCTTCTAGAAGATCTATGAACCAATTGGCAGCGCTGAAATATCATATTGTTTAGAAAATTTCAAATCGAAATGTTTATACACTTATTGAAATGTAAATGCAAATAAATTGATGCTTCAATTTGAGCTGATTTGGAAATACAAAAGATGGCGGACAATTTCTTTCTGAAAAATTCAACCCTCGAGGATTCTATTGGTAAAGTTTCCTCATGATCTGCGGTGTGGGTGATACCTTAAAACGACGTAAAATAAACATTGAAATGCTTTCAAGTTTCATTAATTCAACAAAAATTGGTCAATAGCCTAACACTTGACACAGCCGAAGTATTGCTAACTTATTTTTATTTAGACTTATTGCCAGCATATTTTTGTGGTCTTTGATTCTTCTCTTTGTTCATTTCCAGTTAATTCGCAATTAGTCATTAACCTGTTGAAAAGTTACCAACTCATTTCAGTTTCTTTTTGGTTCTTTTTCAGTTCTTTTCAGAGACAGATCTTTTTTTTCAAGCAAGGCCATAAATGGAAATATTGATCAGCATTTTTATAACTTTCATTCTTTTCTTTATTCATTTCTAGTTAAATGCTAGTCATTCATTTGTTAAAAAGTTATCACCTCGTTAGTTCCCTGAAAAATAGGTGATTGTTTGCGATAATATAATCGACCTTACAAAGGAATTGCTTCAAATTAGTTTGAAAATAAGAAAAAACAAAGAAACTTTTGCGTAACAATTAGCTAAATTTATCTGCTGATCTTTGAACATCACATCGATTCATGTTTACAATTTCCACGTCAGTCTGTTCCTATTCAATCATTGCAATTGAATTTTTCCAGGCTCAATATCATTCAGTGAAACTGAGGGGTGATAAAATCTTTTCTTCCTTTTGAATATAAAACATTGACTCTCTTCCACTTGAAATTCACTTGCTATCCAACATTGAACCAGTTTACTTTTATTCATTGACTTTTAAACACTCGTTCAAGAAATCTATACAAAATGAAATCCATCATAAAAGCAGTTTGTCTTTTTGGAGTTGTCTTTGCCATAGGATGGAGTTCGGTTTCTGTTGATGAACCAACTCTCGATGACTCAATATATCAGAGCTTACAATCACATGGTAAATTTAAAATAATGAATAATCCTGATTGTTGGCTATTTTAAACTGAATTTGATGTGTTTCAGGGTGAGACATTTGACTATTCAAAAAGCCCATTCAGAACATCAATATCTCAAGGGTACCACTTAAAATCCCCATTCTTTTACCGATTATTATATTTTACAGTATTTCAAGGCTGCGATCGTCCATAAGAACCGATAGGTGACTTCAAATATTCGTCAGATGTCATCACGGCCAAAAAAACTGATAATCTCAACATCCTCATATCCCAGACTATGGATTAACAGAGCCTTCTCATAATTTCTAATTTATAATTAATCGATTTCATGTTCACAAATGGCTTGATTCAAGTCATCAGTAATACATACATGTATTTTTAATGTGAAACTTAATTTGTTAAAGAAGGTTCTATACATTTATACTTGTTCTGATTGTAAAAAATTGCACCATTTTCCATGAAAAGTGGATTTAAAAATAAGATCTGAGCTTTATGTCACAGAGAGATCTCTTTAGATTAGACAATAAATCACATTCGCTAAAAAATAAATTAAGTATGTGGGTTCCAATAATCATCAGGAATCAAGAAACATGGAAGTTGCTGATATTTTTTAAGGAAGCAATGTTTCATGAAATCAAAGCCACGGCTAATTTTTTCTTCTTTAGACGATAAATGTGGCCAATCTGATTCGATTGCATTTTGATTCCCATTGAAGTAAAATTTAGTTGATCTTCCATATCGTTTACAATAATCTTGAACATGATTAAAAGCACTTTGAGTGACTCCATTACATCCACGAACATCAAGTAGAACCAGATTGGGTAAAATGCGAACCAATTCCTCGATATGTTCATCTTTCATGTCCTGGTTCGTCCTCAGCGCAAGATGTTTGAGATTTGGATATTTCATAAGCAATCTTTTCAAATTATTCCAGTTGGTTTGGTCAGCTGACTGTCAATATAAAATCCATTAGTTTATGTGGATAAATTTTGAACAGACGACCCTTTCATTTTGACGTAACCTAATCTTGTTGATTTTAATCTGAAATGGATCCAATAAATTTGGATATTCTGAAAATATTTTCAAATTAAATTAATACTCAACTAGACAACTTAAACCTTTGAGCAGTTTGTTTACATGTTTAAAAAAGGGTTTAGGTTTGTCGTGAGTTTCGGAGTGAATTCGAAAAATTTGTACATTTTTGGGGCGACATTCAGGTCTTTCGTTTGCGATTCACAAAAAAATTATAGACCGTTGAGCAAAGAGTAATATAACTGTAATATAAGTTGTTTTACTCTTTGCCGTTGAGTGTGGAGAAATTTTGACAGAGAAATTAATAATACTTACAAAAATTATAACTAAATCTCGTAAACATTTGTGTTTTAATGTTTCGTCAACAAAAAAGTCATTAGTATGAACGGTCATATGTGCACTTTGTAAATTTGGACATGAATCCATGAACTGGAAAGCATAACAACTGTCTTTGAGGAGGGAAAGGGGAAATATTTCAAGTATTTTAAGCTTTTCCAATGCTGGACCGTCATAGTAACTGTCTAAGGATGAACAAAAGATTTTCATTAGCAAAAATTTTTTAACGATATACATGTATTTTCATAATTACCATCTACTATAATATTTAGTTTTTCAAGATTTGGGAAATAATGAGTATATCTTTTGAAATCCAGATAATGCCAGGTGTGCAATTGTTTTATACTGGAGCCATTTAATCGAAAGTTTGGCCTAATATAAGTAAAGGATACCATTTCGAGTTGATCACGATATTTTTCTACTGGTTTATCAATGGTTAAGATTAATCCTTTCAAAGATGCTTGATTTCGTACAAATGCAACAAATTCTTCAGATCCTACGTAATAGCTATTGTTCAATTCAACAATCTAAGTGGGAAAGATAAGAAAATTAAAATTTGATGAAAAATCGAAAAGGATGAGAGCGAACATAGAGCATTTGTCTCCTCGCCGATTTTCAAGCCATTTTGAGGCCGACCGATTCGATTTTGATTTTAATAAGTTTTTTAGATTTGGCATTGCTTAATCTATCAAGATTGTAAAAATAAAATACTTTTTTGTCACTCAACAGAAAACGATATCGACTTTTGGCCTTAACCTAAATGCGACTATGAGAGGATTATTCTACGATGTATAATAATTTGTTATTCTCTAGCGATTGATACTGGTTTGGCTATCGCTATGCCTTTTCTGACAAATGGCAAAAAGACTTACGGAAATGCATAAAAATGCCTAAAGTTCATCATACATTGGTTTTTTAAATAATTGGATATATTTTGATCTATAACTCTGAACGAAAAATTGATTGAAATGCTCTCATCGAAATCTATCTTTTCATGAACCATGGTAATTTCAAAATAATCAGAGAAGACGCTAAGATTCTTATTCTTTGATCAATAATATCAATTAACCATTAAATTTGTAAATAATTTGCTCAGACAGGATACATCAATCTGACCTCTTCCTTGAAAATAAACGCAATCAAGTGAATAACCACGAGTCTCTGAAATATAAATTTCTTTGATTAAGATATTGATCACAATGAGAATAAGCATTAATGGAAACTTGAATCTTACCCATCAAATATTTAACTTTTTTAGTTCTCTCAGCAATCAAATAGCTCCATTTGTTGCACACTGCAATAAAAATGTCATTGAATTGATAAATTAATTTAATTGTTATTCAATTGCTTCAGAGCCAACATCACATGACTTAACATCTGTTTAAATATTCAAAAACTGCGCCACAACAGTCAGATGATTGAGTAATGATCGCAAGATAGCAACAGTTATTTCATTCAGATACAACTTTCATGTTAATAATAATACTCAGAATTTCTGAGTCAGTGTTCAAAGTTAGTTGACTAATGCAAGACTCTCTCTGGTCAATACAGTAAGTTGTCGTTCAGGTTGATTTAAAAAATGCGACCATCGCTGAAGGTTTGTGTCTAGAAAATAGACCTTCGTCAAATTCAAAATAAACTTAATTCGCATAAAGACGCATTGAAAAACTGTTGTTTATGATGCCGCGTTCGGTCACAATTGCACACAAAAGTTGAAACAAATTTAATGGTTACTCACAAGCCGGCCATGATATTGTTTGATCTGCTCCTAATAAGCTCTGATTTTTTATTTAGTCTTTGGCAAAGATTCTTCGCTATGCTCAGACTAACATATTACGAGGGTACAAAAAATCCTCAATCGCTTCAATAACCACTGACTCGAACTTGGTACTAGTAATATACATGCAATAGATATAATTGATACATATTTTCAATTTAACAAGGGTCAATTTTTCGAGACACACCTTTCCAATTGAAGAGGACGATTTATAATTTACAAAAGAAACATGTTTGGTAATTACCTTTATAGCAGTTTGTTAAATCATTCAGACTATTTATATAACCAAAAATGGCGAGCAAACAATCATCGGGAAGTTCATTGATCAGCATTGTTAAATAAAATCAGTAATGTTAACTACAGCTGTAACTTTATTCTGGTGATTGTAGATGGTAAAATGGTTAAAGATTTAATGGTGAAAATATTTGCTCAATTATAATCGTTGGATTCATTTAATATTGTTTTCCCCTGTAGTTCACATAGATGTCAGCAGTAGATTGTGATAATTTTGAGGGTTCATCGTTAGATTCTGAATAATTTTCATTTCTATTTTTAATTTTGTTTTACATGAAGTCGCTGTATGCAACAATTTAATTTGAAGTTTGAAAAGGAGCGGGTCGAAAATCGCCTCTGACTAAAATCAATTATCGATATGTTCAAAAGAAAGATAATTTAAAATAAATGCCATTAAACAGGCATTTACCAGACAACCCACTAACCCTGATGTTTTTGGTTCCTTTCGCCTGTCTTAAGTAACAAGTAAACTTGTTGCATTTAAACAATTTCATTTTCATCTTTATCAGCAGTCCATGAACCAACTATCTAATGATAATCTAAATACTGATTCAACTGGTCAGTTTCAACAAATACCCAAAAGATATTGCGTCAAGATGCCATGATATTATGCAATGATATTCCATACTTCTGCTTCTCTCTTGTATTCGCACGTTTTCGCCGCAACACTTTTTTCCATCGTTTGTTACTTATAACTTTATCAATTCGATTTCAACATTTTTCTCACTGTAACAATGACACAGAAAATACACCCAGTAATTCTGGGAAGATCACAAGAAACATATAATTGATTATTTGAAATCATAACCCCTCGAAGCTAACAGACGATTTTGAACAGTAAATCAAATTGGTAAAATGAATGCTTTCATCGTGATTTATAGATGCTGAACATGACTTCATTACCTGTCACCACTTTTACATTTAAACTCTGATGATCAGAGTCTGATCTTTTTTCCAGAGAATTGGTTTATTTAAAAATAAGAGAAACAAAAATTTCCATGGCAACTCTTAGACCTAACAATTCTAAGCCAATCAGCTTTTACTAAGAAACACCATCTAGTGGAAAATTTTACCTCTGGTTCTGAGCCCCTGAACCAGAGGCTTTGATCTCTCTGTAAATGAAAAAGTCTGTGATAATTTCTGTGATAATTGATATGATTACACTGGATGATCAAGTGATCTCAATTCAGGTGAATTTTGTTCCTAATCATTTATAACTAAGCTATTAAAAGTGAGACAAATCTATGCCATAATTCAATTGAACAACTTTAAACATGCAAGAAAAGAAGCCAAAGTGTTGTGAATCACAAACTTATTTATATCCCAGTAAAGAACCTTCTTCTAATGTTTTTTCTTCACGACGATGTTTAATAATAATTTTATTCTTGAATTTTGTTACCATTTCTATTATTACTGGATACGTTTTGTACAATGAACGGTTGTTAGAATCAACAATTGACAAGCCTTTTGTCGATTGGCAAAGGGACGACTCAACCCATTATATAGCAACTTATTACGCTTCAAGCTTAAATTCAAATGGAGTTTTTAAGGCACCTCCACCTAGTAAAACTGACTCAACATCAAAACAATGTACTTTGGCCGATGAAAACAAATTTGATTGTAATCCTGATGAACCTGTTAGCCAACAAGTTTGTGAATCAAGAGGATGCTGTTGGGTTCCTGTTACAATAAGTAAGTATCATTACATCATACGATAAACTTTGCTTTTGTTTTCTTGTGGTGAATATCTCATATTTCTCATGTTCTCTTGTGGTAATTGAAGCACCATATTATCTTAAAATATAGTTGATATGACTTTCAGTTTTGTGTTTTTATGAATTTTCAATCCAGGATCAGATTTTAAAAGCGTTAGACAGCTAGTTTCTAGTCTGAGCCGACGAGGACTTCTTATGACTTACCCAAACTCTAATAAAGCTTAAGCTTTGGATCTGTCAAAACATGCATTAGTATTTTATTTTATGCTTGTAAAACACTATTTAAGTAATTTAAAATTGTCAAATTCAGATAACAAAACAATAAAATTATTCTCTTCATTTTGCTCTAATGTAAAAATCTTAAACTGTAATTCTTTCATGGATCTTTCTCTTCTTTTCCAGAAAAACGTAATGTGCAATCTCTCAATGTACCTCAATGTTTCTATCCTAGTGATTACAAGGGCTATGAAATCGCTGATGTGCAGCAAGAAAAAAACAGTGCATTGATCAAACTTGTTCGAAAAGTCGCCTCTGGCTTCCCTCAAGACATTAGTAATGTCAGCGTTGAGATAACTGGACTCGATGATGAAAGGCTTCGAATTAGATTTGTTGATGCTGAAAAGGACCGTTTTGAAGTTCCAATGCCTTTTTTCAATGTATCAGAAGCAGAGCAGTTTAACTCAACTCTGTACAAAATTACAATTAATCAGGATGGAAAACTTCTGGTCAGCCGTACATCAACTGGAACTGTCATATTTAATGCTGATCTTTCAACCTTAATTTACTCTGATAAATTTATTCAATTGTCAGTCCGTGTTCCTTCTCAATATCTTTATGGTCTTGGCGAACATAAAGCTTCTTTCAAAAAAGACTTGACTGGTTGGAATCGATATACAATGTTTGCCCGTGATATTGGTCCAACAGAAGGTGTCAATCTCTATGGTTCTTATCCATTTTACATAATGCCTGAAGATGATGATTCAATGAACGCTCACGGAGTATTTTTACTTAATAGCAATGCTATGGATGTTATAACTCAATCTACTCCAGCTATCACCTATCTAACTATTGGTGGTATTCTTGACTTTTTCCTTTTCTTGGGTCCAACGGCATCACAAGTTGCTAGACAGAACATCAATCTTATCGGTCGACCCGTACTTCAACCTTACTGGTCTTTCGGATTTCATCTTTGCCGTTACGGTTACGATAGTTTGAACAAAACTCGTGAAACATTGGAACGAAATTTAGCTGTGGGAATTCCAATCGAAGCACAGTGGAATGATATTGATTACATGGACCGTTTCAACGATTTTACTTATGATAAAGTCAATTATGCCGGTCTAGGCGATTTTGTCAAAGAGCTACATTCAAAGAACATGCATTATGTCATTATTTTGGTAAGAAGCTTAATTTTCTACTGATTTTGAAAAAAACTCATTTCATTCATTGGTGTAACTTTTCATTTTCGTCCATATCTTTACATTCATTTAGGATCCTGGTGTTAGTGCTGCAGAGCCAGCTGGAACTTACCCGCCATATGACGATGGAGTTAAGGCTGATATTTTTGTAAAAAATAGCACCGATCAAATTTTTGTCGGCAAGGTTTGGAATCTTGTGTCCACTGTCTATCCTGATTTTACTAATCCTGCTACAACTGATTACTGGAAGAACCAATTAGTTAATTTGCGAAAGGAAATTGATTTTGACGGTATTTGGATTGACATGAATGAACCATCCAACTTCTACAATGGTCAAATTGATGGATGTCCGAACGATCCTTACGAAAAACCTCCCTATGTACCGGGTGGAACTGATCTCAAAACCAAAACACTCTGTATGAATGCAAAACAGTACGCTGGCATTCATTACAATGTTCATAGTCTTTACGGGCTATACGAAAATGTTGTCACTTATAAGTAAGTTGTCTTTCGCTACCCTTTCATGTACTAATATTAATATTTCTCATTTCCTTATGCTGAATTTACAGTGCTGCTCTCGATATTTTTAAAGCTCGGCCATTCATTCTTTCTCGTTCAACATATCCATCGCAGGGTCATTATGCTTCTCATTGGTCTGGAGATATTGAATCATCTTGGGATCATATGAAATATTCAATTTCAAGTAATTTTCGTCAAAATCTTGTTTAGTTATCAAGTTTACTAATCCATGGTTAACTTTATTTTCTATAGACATGCTTGAGTTCAATGTTTATGGAATCCCAATGATTGGAAGTGATATCTGTGGTTTCGCTGGAAATACTGAAGTAGAACTTTGTATGAGATGGTCCTCGTTAGGTAATTGATTTATCAATTTGAATGTTTCTTGGATTGATTCAACTTATTATTTCTTTTCCGTTTAGGTGCTTTCTACCCATTCTCACGAAACCATAATGATAAAAATAAACTCGAGCAAGATCCAGCCATTTTAGGAGAAACTGTTGTCGCTGCAGCTAAATATGCTTTAGAAGCTCGTTATAAAATGTTGCCATATCTTTACACCTTATTTGCTAAAGCTAACATGAATGGAGATACTGTTGTAAGATCGCTGTTTTTCGAATTTCCTTTGGATAAAAATACTTATTCAATTGAAACCGCTTTCCTTTGGGGTTCAAGTTTGTACATTATTCCAGTTCTGGAGCCTCAAAAAACGCAAGTTGATGCTTACTTCCCAAATGAGCTTTGGTATAATTTTGAGGATAAAAAACTGGCATTCAACAGTACTGGTGAAAGCAAGACTATACAAATTGATAATGACAAAATTGGTCTTTTTATGCGAGGAGGATCAATTGTACCTGTTTACCAATCTTCAGCAAACACAACCACTGAGCTGAGAAAACAAAAATACTATTTAAATGGCTATCTCGACAAGTCAGGACATGCAGTTGGTGAAATTTACCATGATGATGGTAAATCAATTGACAGTATTGAAAGTGGCATTTACATTCACGCAGATTGTAAAGCTAACAAGGTAAGTACTAAATATGCTGATTTCATTAGTTCATAAATTTGAAATTCATTTTCCTCTTTTTCATCTTGAATCTCTAGGATCACCTCGTCTGCAATTATTTGAATATGGCAACATTTGATGATTTTAATATCGGAGGTGTTACTATTTCGGGACTCTCTGAAAAGCCTAAAAGGATAAATCTCAATGGAAAATCTTTATCCACTGACAGTTTTACTCATGACGATTCTATACTCACGATTGAGCTACCTGAAGACTTTAATTCTTCACAATCATTTTCTATTGACTTCAGTTATTAAAAATTGGTTGATAACTTATAGAACTTATAAGATAATATTGACCAATGGTTGAATTATTATATCTTTTCGAATCAAATCTTTTTTCTATTATTCTTAAAAATCAGTTTTTTATTTTCACTTGAACAAATGCTAATTCAAACTCGTCGGGATTGAATTTTCCGATAATCTAATCAGACTAATCTCATTAATGGTTTACACTCAAATACATTATTTAATTTGATTGAGATAAGATTTAGGTCTCTTTATGCATTTTAATTAGGTGTGATTTAATTCAAAACATCTACAATCAAAGTCTGATCAAATTGTTTTTCAGGCAGATGACTATGTTCATTGATATTGTTGATATTTTCGTGTTGCATTTGCTCAGATCAGTAATGATACTTGTAATCAACTATTTAGTTAACTCTATTGATTCTTCGACCAGACTCTGAAAGAGTACGAAATTTGATTCCACAAAATGTCCTGAGCTTCAAAATATTATGGACAGTTTATCTAATGGAGATGAAATTTTTGGTGATCTGAATTGTTGGAATCATGATATCGAATCACAACAATTGCAAGCTAAATTGGAGTTGAAAGAATACAAACTTAGCGAATGAGTACCCTCGAACTTGTGTTGAAATTTGATTGAACAAATAATTCAAGCGCTAATTACTAATGATTATTAATTCACATTAGATATTATACTTAAATCTTTTAATTCGTTCATGTTTTTATTGTTGAAGACAATTGTAGACGAGAAAAGCTCAGTCACCTGATGAGATTTATACTGATATTTGGAAAGATAAAGATAAATGTTCAACAATCAGGTCATACAATTGAGTTAGATACCGAGCATAACCAATCGTGGTTAATAAAATTGATTGCAATTAATGGTATTGAATTGAAGTTGTTTTCAAATGTGACGTGATTAAGCTAATCTTTGCATAGTTTAATGTTATTTTGAATGAATTTTATGGCATTTACTTTCACTTTATATAAAACTGTGAGAGTTGAATCAAAATTGGTATTAAAAATTATCCCACAAATCGGTTAACGTTTGTAACAATCAACAAAATGATTTCGGTCTTTTTATAAACAACTATAATATTAATTCGTTATTTTTTTCAAATCTTTTTCATTCGCCGCTTCATTTTGTAATACAACCGAACTGAAAATGTGAATCTTGATTCACTTTGTTTTTTTTCTCTCTCCTTCTCTCTATGTTGGTGTGAATGTACATATTGACAAGAATGATAATCATCAGTAATCAATGATAACAATAAAACTCAACGATAAATGAGGTCGATCATGGAAACTTCACAATGAGGATGATGATTCAGATAAAATTATTGTGGGGATTGGGAGAAGAAAGGAGAAAAGAGAAAAGATGATGAAGAGGTTAATCAGCAAAACAAAGCAAAAAAGAGGAAGAAGTAAACAAACTGATCGAGGAAAGCTTACAAGTGATAAGCAGACCAATGAGACAATCAAAATAAATCTGGTAATGGCGAGGTTTGGTGAGATTTGGTGAGGTTTGTTAATATCAGTGAACCAGATAACCTATGGTTTTATCATTAGTAGAGAGTGTTATTCAAGTATTTTTGTTTTGTTTTTGGTGACAATCAACGTCCTATCAACAGATTACCAACAAAATGATTGTAATTCCTATAGAGAGTGACATCCGTAAACAAGTTGCAAAAATTACATCAATTCGGTCAAAGGGAACGGATGATGAAGCTTACTATAATTTGCCCGAAGAAGCTAAAGTTGAAGCTCGTTCTAAAGCTGGTGTTAAAGCTGATGATGGTGAAGGTAAAGTGAAAGAAGAAGAAAAAGAATCCGTGGATGATAATGATGATGAGGTTGGTTGTTACACGGTGAATGGAATCAGGTCTGGTTTCTGGTCGATTCGGGAGAATAGAGGTAGGCTGATAAAAGCTGGTTTGACAAGAAGAGAGAAAGAGGGTGTTCACCTGGGGAAAGGAGAGAGTAATGATTGCGATGATGTTGGCCTTACTATTAGCGAAATAGCAACAATTAAAGATAGCGTCTTTAAAGAAGAAGAAGAAGCCGTTCATCATAAACAACACAAGAGTAGATCCAACACAACCAGTCAGCAACCTAAGCAACCCAGAGTTGCTTGTTATTGTCATGTTTTATGTAAAGATCAACAACCAGTTTACCCATTGACTGGCTCTGGTGTTCCTGGTTGCCACCATCGGTTTTCTTCTGTTTCTTCTTCAACTTTAAAAAGACAACTTATTAATTGTAATCAATTTAATTTTCATCTTTATCATAAACAACAATCAACAGTCAACCAACAATTGTCTAATGTTAATCTAAATACTTGTGATTGTACCGGTGGTCAGTTCCAACAAACACCCAAAAGATATAGTGATCATAGGTTAAACCTTCATACTTCTGCTTCTTTCTCTTCTTCCCACCTCAATACTTCTTTTCCATCATCTGTTGAGTCTAAATCTTCTTTTTCTTCTCCGTTTGTGGTTAAAAGTGATTGTATTAAAGGTGAAGCCAGGAATGTCAATAAATTAACCGTTAATCAATTAGTTAAGTGTTCTCCAGTTGGATCCAATAATGATTCTTCGTTTCTATTCTCCGGCATTGTTGCCAATAAAAGGAAAGTATTTACCCGTCAACTGGTAAAGAATACAATTAAAAGCGCTGATCGTCATCACAATATAAATTTTAAGTTGAAACAACAGCCAACTACTCAACTTCCATCATCTTCAACAACACAATCATCTCCATCTTTATCAAGATCTAATCCAGTTGAAGACAACAACAGAGAGAAACACAAAAACAAATACCAACGCCACCACCAACAACACAGCCAATGTTACAAATCTTCCAAGATGGTTGCGGAAACAGATAATCATTCAATTAATAGTGAAGGCATGGAAATGACTATCAATCATTCTAATCGTGAGATGGCAATGTTTCTAGATAATATCAATGGGCATCATTATGAAAATATAAATGTACATCATCCATATTCACACAATCCAAATCACCATCTTCCATTGGCCATTGGTAAAACCTTGAATACAGTTTCTTATCTACACAAAGACCGTCCTAGCTCAGCAAATAGCTACTCATTGGAATCAAATTCAAGTGGAAGCAATACAACAGAATCATCAGGAGCCATACCATCACCATCTGGTTCTAACGATGATACACATGGCGATGAACTTCAATATGGACCCGGTATTGTTGACAAACTAAGGTCCAAATTTTTGCAATACAGTCTCCAAACATCTCGCAATAATGGCTATAGATCTGTAGTAAAAAGATGTTCAAGTTTGGAAAACCTTGCCGACAGAGATTCACCTTCATCGTCGCCTTTGTACCATACTTGTAAAGGATCCAATTTTGGTATTCGTAAAGGTCCAACTTATGTTAAATATCACCAGCAACAAAATATCAACAATAATAATCATAATTCTCACCATTGTTCTAAACAATCTAATCATACCAAAGGTAACAACCAATATGGTGTTGTTAATGATGTCGATATCAATTGTAGTGGTGGTGCTGCTGCTGTTGTGATTAGTAATAATAACAGAGGTTTGATTAATGGAAAGTTATTTCAATCAGTAACTTCAACTGCTTCAACAGAGAAACTTTTACATGGAGAATATCGAAACAACGGTTGCCTGACAGCATCCCGGACGCCAAATGGTTTTACATCATCATCATCATCATCATCAGTGAGAAGCTATAGGAAATACGAGCAACAACCAATTAAAGGTAATCATTACCATCATTTAAATCAACATTCATCTATCTACCATAACCACAATCATCGGTATAATTGTGATGGACTGTTGAAGAGAGCCCAAAGCGTTGAAACTCTTCTATTGGAATCAAGGAACTGTAAATCAGCACCGTCAACATCATCATCAGCTACTTTCACCAATTCAAATGCTAATAATACCGTTAATAATAATAATTCAAATTTAAATTCAACTTTCCTGACTTCTACTGCTGCCTCTACTGTTAATACTACCATTTCATCCACCTCTACCTCAAACTCGGGATCTGACAATTGTGAACCTTTGCTATCGCCACTTTCAAATCAACAATCGAGATGGCAATCAACCAACAACAACAACAATAACATTAATAATAATATTTCTCTTGCCGCCAGTGTTAATTCAAGTAACAACGTTTTCTCAAGCAAGGTTAACAGTGTCTCTCAAGTTTGCAACCACCTTGTGACCAAGCAACAAGATTTTGTTGATACAGTCACCAATAATTGTAAAAAAATGTCCTCGGACGACGATAATATTGCGGATGTCTTACCGTCAAGTGAATGTAAGGCTAAATCAGCGTCAATTTACTCACCGTTATCTGCCATTTCAGCCTCGGACAAGAAAATGAATGGTGATGTAACTGCACCAGGATTAACCAATAACCATATTGCATCTGCAACAATTAACAATACCAACAATAATAATGGTCTTGTTAATCATGGACCCAGGAAACTGGTCCAAGATGAATTACCTAAACCGGATACTGTTAAGAATTACAAGAAAATTTTTGAAACCAATTCAGTTTCACCAACTCCTTTAACTGGACCAATGTCGCCTTCATCAGCAACACTAACACCAACCAGTACAGCAACAACAGCCATAAGTCCAGGAAAACTGAACGATTCGAGTAACTCAAGTTCCCCCAATGATAAAGATAGTGATAATCGCAATGGTCAAGCTTACCGAAAGGGTGGAATCTATGGATCATCCAACAGTGCCATTCGTCGTAAACCACCAGTTTTAAGTAGCATCGAGAAGAAAATAACCAACACAGTGAATAAAGTGACAGTAAACAGTAACAATAACAGCAATAACAATCGATTGATTAATGGTTCAACAACTAGCTCATCACCTACATCTCCTGCACTTCCTCCGAAACCACCTTTCCTGATTACCAAGAAATCACCTTTAAATGGTGAATTGAATCATGTGAATGTCAATAATAACTATTTGAGTGCCATAAAGCCTATGGGAAAGCAACAACAATTGGTATCAAGTGAAACAAACAAGAACAAGATTAACAACGGCAAATCAATTAATGGATCAAAGGATAGGATAACTGGTAATGCGGCTGGTTCATCGCATAATCTGGTACGAAGTAAACCATTGCCATCTTCACCTCAAAAGCCAAAGTTAATCAACAACAAATCAGATGAACAGCCATCATCACCAACCTCAAGATCATCCTCACTTTCATCTTCACCATTACTATCACCATCATCTTTCATCCCACCCTCGCCTTTATCCGGTGTCTCCAAGAAATCTATTGAAGACAATTCAGCCAGTGATACAGTTGACTGTCCAATCATCTCTTCTTCAACTGAATACCAAATTAATGGCCATTTCTCGCCTTCACTTGATAATAACAAAGAGGATTGTAAAGAGGTTGATAAAACTGTAATGAATGGTGGTAAAATGATCACAGATCAAAAAGCAACTTCATCAACAACAGTGTCAACAACATCCACAACAACATCAACCAGCTCAATGTTAACAAATAAACCAATTGCCAATATTAAACCAATCCAATTAGAATCACATGAAGATCGATGGAAACCTCTCAAGAAATCAACATTGCCTCAGGAATCAAGTGAATCAGCAGCAAATAAACATGAGAAATCATTTCCTTCAATGGGTGTAACCACCACAAATATAATTAAGGATCAGTCAAATCACAATATAAATTATAATCAAAGCGAGTTACCATCTAGGGTAACATGTAATGATAAGAATAAAATAAACTCTGATAATCAAGTTACCAGTAAAAGGATTAATGAAGTTGATGAGAAACCGAAAGAAGCAGCGTTTAACAGCAACAATAAAGATAATCTTTCCAATGGATCATCCACTAAATTGCCGCGCTCTTATTCATCAACAACATCTCCACCAATTGCGTCTTCTGTAACCACCAAATCACCAGCAACCGCGGGAACAACCATGATCTTTGACTTTCGTGGTAAAAATGTCAAGGCAAACGTTGCCGTCCACAGTCCACCTTTTTCAGTTGTCCGTCCACCAACAACCAAGTCAGATGATAATGAAGATGACTTCAATTACACTGGATCAACTGAAGTTCCTCAGCCCAGTGGAATTATATTCAAGGGTGAAAATGTAGTCATTGATGGAGGATCATTGCTCGTGAAACGTAATAAAAAGGTATGTCATTTATCATATCATTGCCGGTTTTTGCAAACAAAAAAAACAAATTAAACCTCAAATATTAATTAATTTTCATCTTCTGACAAAAGTTACATTTTTAATTAATGTTTGTATACCGATTGAATGTTCATAATTGCCCTTCTATTGGGAGGAAAATCAGGTTTCACTGAATAGAGAATCTTGATTATTCATTTGTTTTGTTATTATCGAGAGTTCATTTATTGAAGGATAATTTTTCTTCTCTCTTCTTCTTCTTCTTGCAATCAAATTAAATCATCAGGCTCAATTGATTGCCTTAAAGGCATTTTTCCATAAATATTTACTAGAATCAAGCTTCACATTAAATTTATTTTAACCTCTCAAGTTTCTCATGAAACTGAGAAAAGCCAAAACTGAGATAATGATGAAGAAGAAGATGAAAAAAGATGATCTTGATGCTTAAAATGTTGGAGTGAAATTTATTTCTGCCATTCACTGGTTTCCAATGTTGTCTGCTTTTCACCACCTTTCACAAATTTCATCGTGATTAAGTTAATCATGAATAGAAACATATCAGACCACCGTTTACTGTGAACTTTAAAAATTAATCATTACTGGCAATCTTACCGTAGAATCACGATCTCTTTGATTAGTTACAATTTAGAGAAGAAGATGGAAAAAATTGCAAAATTAAATTTACCAAATCAAAAATGATATATTGAAGGTAAAGTCAAATTTTAAACTTTAAATTGTCTTCACTTAACCATTGTATGAATATTGTAAAAAAGGGTTTACCATTGAGATTAAATTATTGCCAACCATTTTCATGTGATTCAATCAATTTTGTTGCCTTTTCCGTCATCAGTCTCGTAATTGTTTAACCTGCCATTTAATTTGATACCAACATGTTGTTCACTTGAACAATTTAAATCCAAACTTGTACCAAACTTGTAAAACCAGGATTGACCTTAAATTTGAATCAATCACGAATTGTTATAAATAATGACAGAAGTAAGCTGACAACTCATGAACAATCTCCTAGGAATGAAAATTTCCATAATTTCCAGATAACTTTAATTACAATTGAAGCAATAAACTGATAGCAATTGATTGAAATCTTTTAGTTTTATTTTCAGGAAAAAACACCAATAACCAGTAATTACAGTCTCTTAATTATTGATTATGATTCCATGAAGAGTTGTGATTTTAAATTAAACACCTTAAATAATGCAATCAATATTATTCTTTAAGTTTAATGGTTACTTAAATTTCTAACCATTACACCTTAACTCAGCTATTTATCAATAATAACGTTGAACAATAAAAGAGTTAATATTAATCATAATTCAAGATTCGTTGGAGTGTTTTAAGCGGAAGTTTAATGCATCGTTTCCTTTTATAGTTGCGTCTTAAATCGTTGCCAAGTAAAACTGTTACAATTAACTTTGCTTTGCACAAAAAATTACCTTATAAATTGACTTTAAATTATTGCTATTTAACAGCCTCCAACAACTGTAAACCCTTCACTTAATTAACCAATCTCATTGTTAACCATTTATTAATCAATACAATGCTTTAGTTTCACTTAATCAACAATCAAGTTCACCCAAAAGCCTTTTTGGTCACTGGCTTCGATCTTGCCATTTCAATGAAAACCATTCAACTTTTCAGGCTTACATTTTTAATGAAAAATTTAATGTTTCCAGTTATTGTGATATTTCATTGAAATGGCAAAAGATAATTGAAAATGTGAAAAATAAAGTCAAAATTCAAGAGTCACCCAAGCAAGTAACGTGTTAACACCAAAGTTTGACTTCTATGGAGTTGATTCTCTGAGCTATTCAAATTGTTCTGTGTTCAGTGTTAAAACAAATAATTGTTTGGTAATAATAATGTTTATCGACTGAATTTCCAATGAATTATTGTTAAACTTTTCTTCGCATCAACAGTCAATGGCTTAATGGTCTTTGTATTATTTTTGCCGTACAAAGAGGGAATGACGATGATAATGATGATGATTGTGGTGGTTGATAGACAAATAAAGAAGTGCGTTAAAATGAGAAGGTCCAATCAAGATGATGAAAAAGAAAGTCATGAAGCGTGTTAAGATATCTTGCATCTTCATCATCATCATCTTCTTCCTCTTGATTTAAGGTTATGGTTGAAGAGTAACGTCAACAGAGATTATACAACTTCCATGCACTTGAGCAGCAAAAAAAATACAAATCAGGTTTTGCATCTTCTCTTTCATCTCGCCTGTTCTCCATCTTTTTCCATCTTCTTCATCTGGTACCTAACCTTACCTGTCTTTTGTTTTCTTTTATCTTTCCTTTGATTGTTTCACATAATATTACCTTTCCAAACTAGTCGCAGATTCAATCTAACTATTTTGTTTCCTTCATTGAATAAATTAAACAACCCAAAAGAGCTTCTCTTTAATCATAATACTAATAACTAGCCAACAAATTTCCCCATTGATTGGAGTGAGAAAAATTGCTTTTAAATTGATGTTTCACATTGAAAATGATTTGAAAAAGCTTTTCAAGACGAAACTTCAGACTGAAATTTTGATCAATCTATGAAGAGAAAAAGAAGAGACCAACTAAAGATAATTTGTTTTTCTCCAAAAAAAGCCAAATGTTCCAAAAAAACGAGTTCTAGAGTTGCATAGACCAATGAATTTGTTAATCGATGATTTCCTTTTTTCCTCTATCATCATCATAGCTAGAGTATAATTTTCACAAAAAGTACTTTGATTTTGGCTCTTTCAATGTCACAAAATCACAACTGAATCAAGATTGACTTTGGTTTCAAATTTACTTTTCTTTTCCAACCTTCAATTGTAACCTCATTTCAACAGTAAATATTGAAGACCAACTCTGGTCAAAAACATGAAATATTTAAAATAGTTTGAAATTTTCTGATGAAAACTGAAGATTGAAAACACTAAAGACTTGTGTTAACATGAAATTATTTTTCACACACAAATTCACAACAATAATCCATCATTCAGTTACAATTCAATTAAAGCCGAGTTCATCCCACAAGAACCTGAGATGATCTCGATTTGTAAAAATATCACAAAAAAGTGAAAAATTACCAAAACTTGACTGTTGCTTCCTTTTTTCATCTTTCATCTTCTCAATCATCTTTTTTTACCATTTCTGGTTTCATTCACTTTGCGGTTCATGCTTTTTGCATCCCTTTAGGGCTTGCTTGAACTTGAATATCATTTGTTGTCCTTTTTTGTGGCGCAAGAAAAAAAACGCATTCAACTTTCTCTTTCATCATCATGTTCGTCAACCTCATTATCTGAATCAATTGAAATCTCCTTTTCAAGCAAACAATTTATCTCTGTTACAAATGAGTGACACTTGATGATATCATTGATTGCTTATTCCGATTAGTTCACTCAATTATTTAATCATCAAAGTAAACAAATTAAAGCAAAAAAACTCCCATCATTAATAATGTTTGTTTTGATCATGATTCCAGAACCAAATCAACTGTCAAAATTTCCAATCAAATGAACTGTTCATTTTATGCCAATTGCAAGTGAAAATATTCATTGCTCATTGTTTGAATTAACTTTAATTGATAATCTGATGAGGTTTAATCAATTGCTCATTTAAGTCTAAATCGCGTTTCACGATTTTGATGATTTAAAATTGATTCATTCATTGTTTCAATTCCAATTTTCCTTTTGTAATCACTTCCATCATCATGACTATTTATCACAACTCGTAATCCATTGAACATAATCTGGTATTAAATTAGCAGCAATATTTGATTATTATGTTAATTGTGATAATTATAAATTTTACCCTTAACTTGATTATCACGCAAGTTGCTCTTTTAAAACAACTGTAAAGTTGCATTTTAATTGTAACCATTATGGTTAACTCGATGACCTCAGAATCTGAAGAAATTAAAGAAAAATATTTCCACCATTTTCCAAGGACTCAGCTAAACTCAGTTTCTTACCTTGTTTCCACTTCCTTTACTTTTCTTGCTTTGATGGTATTTGCAGGTTGACAATAACATTAAATATTCAGTTACCTTGATCATGAAAGTTGTTCAGTTTTTTATCCTTTCATTAACAATTGTACAGTAACCATGCAATATAACTTGATTGGTATCTTGATTGTAATTCATTTGTTGGCTTTGATTTTCATTGATTGAGAAGAGTTGAAATCTTTTTTTTCCATTTTACTTTCCAACAATAAATCAAATTAATTTCATCAAATGTGTTAATTGCGTGTTTCCAATCAAATGTTTATTGTTTTTGAATAGTTTCAATGGTTGTACCGTTGTCCTCATTGATTGTTACCTGAAAGATGAAAGTTTCATATTGTGTTAACATTATTTGGAGAATCAACTGAATCAGGAAATATTACTAATGTTGAACACATTTAATCAATTCTCAAGTATTTTTATCACCAGACTGATAGCTATTTCAATTAGTTGACGATCAATTACAGCAACAAAATGATAATATCATTTTTGACGAAACAGCAATTTTATTGGAAACTCATTTTATTCAATTTAATCATGAGAGTCTCAGAATCAAACTCAAAGGTCTTGATTAACCCAAAACGGTTGAAAATGTTTCATTCAATGATTTCAATTATACAAAACACCTTTTTCATTGTATTGACTATTTGACTAATCAACCCATGTTTGACAAAACCTCAGTCTAATTGCAATTCAAAAGTAATTTTACTTTAATCAACCAAATCAGATCAATGATGCTAGAAGTTGACTAAATTTTCTCAACAAAACTTAACCAATTGACAGTTTCAAATGAACCAAATTGCATTAACTACGAAAATTGAATTAAAACACTTTGATCATGAAATTAATTTGCTTTCAATGGACAAAATCTCAACGTTCAACTGACGAGTTAAAAAAAGATGTTAACATGGAGTTGAACTTGTGCTTTTGAAACCTTTTAATTGCTTTCTTTTATTAACTTTATCACATCAACTGCATTTCCCATGCTAATGATAATTAATAAACATATTAATTGTAACTGTTGTTGCAAGTTAAGGGCTATTAACCCAGAATTGTTGAACAACAATATGAAATGATGGACAAAATTGTTGATCGTGAGAAATAATCAGTGATCCAAGTAATTCCTCAATGTAATATCATTATTAACATTGGCTTCTTAAATATAATTTAGTTAACCTTGCAACAGTTTCCCATATTTACCTTGATTAAAGTGTAATTTTGTCTCTGGTTCCCTCTCATCTCACCATTATGAAGATCATCATGTTATCATCATCATCATGAAAACTCATCACAATCATGATTAACATAATTTCCGTAGAGAAACAAAGTAAATGAAGAAGAGCTGGGAAAGAGAAGCGAAAAAAAGGTAAACAACTTTAACCCGAATCCTGTTTTATTGAGACAAACTTATCATTACAATCAACATCCTTTTTCACTGAAACTCTATCATAACCCGTTAATTAATACAAGTCTCATCCTCATCCGCATACATCCTCATCATTATTCATCATAATATGCATAAATGAAACTCAGTCTCTTCATCCTTATTGATCTAAACATTTAAGGTTTCATTTTACGAAACCTTAAAGGTTCACCTTCAAAACTGTTACTTGAGTCTTGCAATCATTATCATGGTTATGATTTTTGCCATTATTTTTGTTCAAAAGTTAAAAGACAATTTTGTCAAAAAAAAGATGTTCATTGTCAAACCTTTGAAATGCACATTTCACTTGATTGGTTATTTGCATCAACACGTTGAACACCTACGTGTTTGCCGCGTGAGGACCTTTTGTTTGACGATTTGTGGTTAATGATAGTTGACTATTGATCCTTGCTTAAACATCGTAAACCTTGAATTGTTACAATCTAAATCTGAAACTTTGCATTTCGAGAAAATGGAAATTTATTTTCCAATCTTTATTTAACCATAAATTGTAACCATTGCAAGGCAAACCTTGATCATGTGAGTCACTTCTGCTTTGAGTCAGTTAATATGAAAATTCATTGGTAATCACAGCATATTTGGAAATTTTTATTGTTTCGAGTTAATCATGTTTAACATGAAATAACATTTAATATCGCAATATTATGAGGTGAAATGTATACATTACATGTAAAGTAATTTATAAAAACAACAAATTCATTTCCTTTTCTAATAATATAATACAATTCATTATCATCAATATTCATCAAATGATTGTTGGCGCATTGAAAAACAAAATCTCATAGTTGCAAGTTTTTAATTATATTGAGCACCGGATTACCAGACATCTTATCAAACTTGATGATCAGCTTGAATTTGAGTGGAAACAATCATTTATCCGGTTGAAATGAGCACAGGATGAAAACAGAATTAAAAGTTGCTCGTTGATCATGATGAGTGCTAATTTGTGATAACTTAACACAAGCTTCCAAACATCAGTCAAATGGCCTTTGATTGATGAATCCTTGAATTGCCAAGTAAACCCATTTCATGATTTTACTATCAGAACGTGAATTTAGATTTAACTAGATGTAACAATTAGCCAACAATTGCCACAATTAACAAGTAACTTCAAAATGATAATCATTTAGAAGCAAAAACCATTGACTTGTTATTGTATGTTATTGATAACCTAAAACAATTTGCTAGTCAAATGATTCAAGTTGATATTTCATTTCCAAGTTGGGATAATTTTCCGATATCCAACAGCTTATGAACCAGCTTCAACTTTGACAATCATGATTCTGATAAATTGATCATTTTTTATTTCAAACATTTCCCATTCAAAGTCTAACTTGTCTTCAAAAAGCATCAGATTATTGTTGCTCAAATTGATAAAAGTTTCAAGTAAACTATTTAGTTTGATGAGCAATTGACTTTGAATAACATTTGTTGCAACATTTTGTATTTCAATTATTCAGTTGAAACAGTTGAATATCATTTATTCTGGTTAACCTTTTAGCAAATGCTAAGGTTGGTCAAATTTCAATGTTGATGAAGCGTCAAACGCTGGAGCAACCTTTTTGTGCGACTTTGCCTTTTGGCTTATCACATCAATAACTTGATATCAACTGAATTGGCAGATTATTCTGCTTTTATTCCCCCTGAATCTCTTTTTCTGCCTTTTGCACTTTTACTTTTGTTTCAGGTAATCATGATTATCATATTGTTGTCGATGAAAAGACACTGTCCACTGAATAATCACTTTGATTACTTTAGCCTTTTGTTTGATTATCTTTTAACCAAAAAACACTCACCTTTACAAACGTGGGTTGTTTGTGTGTGTTTCATGATAATGATAAAAATAAAAATAATGATTATTAAATGTTTGATAGTTGCAAAAATGTTGCTCCAAAAAAATTGAAAACATTTTCATCTTCCATTGTTACCTTGCTTTCAAATGAATCCAATTTTTAGCTCAACCTAACTCGATGATCATTACCTAACCTTTTGACAAACCAACTATTTATCGAGTTTGACCATTTCAGTGATCCATTTGATGGTCAGGTTAATGAAGTGAAAGTCAACTTCAATTGTAGTTATTGTTTCAAATGGAGAAAATTCACATTTCTGTTTATTCTTAGACTTTTCATTCCCATTCTTAACCAACATTCTTGATTCCATTATTTCATCAATTCTGATTGATTGTTTCCCACATCCTTTTTTGCACCTTTAAAAAAAGGTAGGTCATTGATCGTTGTTCACTTTACCTTAACATCAAAGATTAACGCCAAGACCAGATTTTGATGTGTTGATGTTTCTAAATTTATCTTGATTCATCGCGATTCAAGTTGAGCAAAAATTGAAATTAGATGATCAGTAGAAATGAAATGCAACAAGAAAATCACTTTTTTTTCATTAATATCAAGAAAAAGTTTTGCCAAATGAATCGTTGAATTTGCATTCATTTGTGAGAAACTCTTTTCGCCATTTTTCTTTCTTCTTCTTGCACTATTAACATGATTATTATCATCAATCAGAATACAAACTTGACGATTTGAAATATTATATTTGTTTCATTGGACCATAAAATTCATCTCAACATAATTCAGTTTACTTAGCATCAATCATCTTCTTCCGGGTAACAATTTATCAAGTTACCTAACCAATCAACAGGTAAGCTACTATTTGCTTAAATGAATAATCTCGGCTTATTGTATTCAAATTTATCCTCACAAAAGCAAAACAAGCAAACAAACCAAATGAATAGGTTTACAAAGTAAAACTGAATCAAGAAAAAGTTTCAAAAGAAAACCTTTAAATTGCAATTTATTCATTGAAAAGCTATTACTTTTCATTGCTTTTCACCATTTAATCCTTTTGTTTTTTCGCTTTATTCATTTCTTTCAATTTTTTACCTTTTAAACCAAAAAATTGTTTTGTTTTTAAAAATCTAATTCAATAATAAATTTTTGGAAAAATTGATTTTAATCAATCGAGATTAGGATCATTTTAAAAACAAAAAGATATTGACAATGAACATATTATGAACAGATTATGAGCTGATTTATGACAGATTATAAACTTATTAAAATGCTAATGAGTGATAATCGTTAATTGTAGGAAGATAGTTGCTAATGATTGTGAGATGATTCAGTTAAGTTAATTTGTGTTTAGTTTTTTGGTGCAGCGAGTATTTTGTATACTAAAGGAACTGAAGCAGCAGCTTTCCGTGACTCTTCAGCCTCACCACCTCCAAGGGATCCTTCAAAGGAAGCTCCACTCTCAGCGTCACCGCCAAATGAGCCACTCATTCCTCCAGTGAAACCGGCCTCACTGTCGAATCCACCCATATCAGGTCCACCAGCATCACCGTCAAAATCACCGCTATCACCATCATAGTCTTGAGCTGAAGCCATTGCGATCAAAGCAATACAAAGGATCTGTTGACAAGAAAAAAAACAAAAAGTTAAACACACGAACCAGAAATGAACCAGAAAATAAAATCCAAGTTGATACAACAATAGTTAACTAATATCCACATGAAATCACAAGTCAAGTCACAATTTAAATCCACAAAAGTTGAGTCAAGATGCTTACCAATTTGAATGAAATCATTTTTGCGAGTTTTGTCTTTGTTTTGTTGTCTTGTTGGTTGTTGTTTGTTAGTTGATTGTTGAAAGTTTTCTGGCCAAAAATGAATCAAATTTTCAGTTTATATACTCGACTAATTATTCAGACAGACAAACCTTTTCAAGATTATTAAACTATTAACAGTGATTAGACATGACATAATTATTACGGCTAATCATTTCGACTCTAAATTTTCAATTAAAGACAAAAGTCTTGATTTTGTCTCAATTGCTTTGCTAACCAATTGATTATTTAAACTACAATTTTTGTCAGTTTAAACTCTTTCCGTCGCCCAAAGTTAATGGCGACAATTTAACGTGTCTATTTGATTGGAACGATCAACGACAATTTAACAATTTAAAGTTAACAGTTGCAATTTATATTAATATCTTGATAATCATCATCATTTAAATTCACCTTGATTAGATGTGAATCTAGTTTTAATGATTTCTCAATGTCATTCAATTGTCTTTTCCAACTTTTCAAATTGTCTTTAAATCGATTCAATTTTATCCATTTAAAATGCAATCAAATTGCTCTTTATCATCTTTACCCTTTATCCAATTTATAAATTGTTGAATAATTTATTAATTTTAGATCTGGTTATAAACGATAAACAAATAGACAAATGAATGAAATCCATTGAAGCGTTTGAAAAGTACACTTGATAAGGTCGAAGGCGAATGAATCAAAGTTAATCAGAGTGAAACATTTAAACTAGTCGTTTATTAATCGCTTTAATTTGGTTAATTTAAATTGATTCACAATTTTGTAGAGTTCGTTAAAGGTCCAAAAACGGTTTTACCGAACAACATTATCAACAATTTTGTCGACTAATTTTGTTTAAACCAAACTAACCATTAAATTCACATTAAACTTGTGATAAATGATTGAGAGAGAAAACAAAAGTTAAAATCAATTTTCAAATTATTACCAATTTTGTTAATCAACAATTAATTATCACCAACAATTTGTAACCCGATAATTCAATATTTAAATTAACAGAAAAAAAGTAAATCACTAAAGTTAATCATATGATTTAACCCAATGAAACAAGGTCAATGAATTAAGTTTACAAAGCAAATTGTCACATGAAATTTACATGATGATCTATCGCTTCATCATCATTCGTTTCACTCATTTTACCTGGAAAAATTGATTATCACCTTTCATCACTTCCATCATCAATCAATTCTGAAATTTGCTCAAAGTTCGTCGCATTCATGTTTATTAATGACAATAGATTATTTGAATATTAAATTATGCGCCATTTTAGATGCAACTTTGCACTCAACTTTGAACTCAAATTTGAACTCGACTGTTAACATGAACATTCAATCGGTAGTCAAATTTCATCGGTTTGTTTTGAATTATTTTATGAAACTTACTAACGACTCGTTTTTTGCTTTTTTACAGTTGACATTAACATTCAATGATAAAGCAACATCTACTTTTGAATATCCATCCGAGGCATCATTTATTGATGAACCATTGAGCTTTTCATCAATCTCATCAACTTCATCCAATTCATCAATCAAAAGTGAGTCAACTTCATCAACCAGTTCTGATGAATCATCTGTGATACAACAACAATCAAATGGATCAAGTCTGAAAAACAACACAACACTTGGAAGTTCATTTTCTGGTAAATTTTAACTCTACTTAACACTCAAACTCAGTTAATTAACCAATGACAATCAAAGTATCCTTAACGACTACATTTAAATGAACAAAAGAGTAAATCACAATTTTCAAGATTCTATTGAAATCTTCAAGAATCTTTGAAACGAAATAATTTCAATACAAATTAGCATTTTTATCAAATACATTTTCCCCTTTAGACTCAGAATTTCAATGATTTTCAATCCAAAGTCATGAACATTTCCGTCAACAATAACCACAAAGTCAATTATTAATGAATTTTTCGCATATTTTCTCAGTCAATATCAAATCCTTTTACCATTTTTCATGAGGCTATAATACTATTAATGATAATAAGGATAATAATGATGCTAATAACAATAAGATAATCATTAGTTTAACAATATTTTCTGGTTATATGCAAGTCTCAAGTTTTTTTGTAAAATGAAAATTTGAGGAAGCATTTCAAGTCTGCTTTTTTCTGGTTGCTTTGTTCAATATTAAAAGTATCATTTCTGGTCACCTTAAGCAGACAAAAACAGATTCATGGCAACAGAGTTATCCTTAATCATCATTACCATCATTACAAAAGAATAATCTGAATCTTCTCAATTTTTCATCAACCTTGTTTAGTAGGTGGAAGTTGAACAGTTTTGTTTTGTAATATTTTCCTGGTGCAAAAAAAGTGATAAACTTTCAAAGCTCATCTAACTTCCTATTTATCTGAATAGTTGACAATTTTTTTCCTCCTTTGATACCATTTCGCTGTACAATTAAAGCGTCTATTTATTGTTATATATTTAACAACAATTTCAACGGAGTTTTGAACTTGAAAAGCCAAAGCAGCAGCGGCTGTTGACTCACTCATCTTCCTCTCCTAATCTTGATTCATTCACTATAATGATGAGCAACTTGTAATAACTCGAAGCACACACAAATCTAACCAGCTATTGCAATATCACGTAAGGTTGTCGTTGAAATTTAAAAAGGTCAAACTGTGCCTGGAATATCAATTGCCTTATTGTTGTTATTTTTAAACTCATTTCTTTACCAACAGTAAAAGCAAAATTTGCTCGCCTTTAGGTTAACCAACCACAATTGAGTTACCAAAGGTAAAGTCCAACACTTTAGCCTACTAACAAGATCTATTTAGACACCACGATTAACTGAGTCTTGAGAATGGTTTAGACTCATTAATCTCATCTTAAGGTAAAATTAAATTCAAAACTAACATCATTAGGTTTTACTGTTGAAAAGGTTTTAAATGTTCATCTTAATTTTTTGTATTTTGCATCAACTGAAAACAATCCATTTATTATGATAATTGATTGTTGATATTTTGACTTCCCAAGAAGTCACTTTGATTAGATGGATCTTAATATTCATGTTCATTTTAATTGGAATCTTAGTCATTTCCTTGATTCAACTCGATCCAAGTTTGCAGTTTTAATCATTTTATGCTCATCTAAATGCATTTATCAACTTTCCAATATTAATTGTTTAGAGATGTTTGAAGATGTTTGCAACTGTTTGTGCCAATCGTTTGATATCAAAAACCATTTTAAAAGCAAGTGAATCAAATCAGTTCAGTAAACTGTTGATATCATTTAATGAATGTTTAAATTGGTTTATTAGCTTTTCATCATCATCATCATACTAACAACTGTTTCATTCAATTGAAGTTTTGCACATTTAACTTGACTCAATCTTAATTCAATTGTTATACATTAATCTGTTTCGCTTTTTTTATCACCATCATCATGAAAAACAGAAGCAACAACAAGCTGTAACATCGTAAGGAACACAGTCAACTAAAACTGCCCATTTTCATTATAACTATTCATTACAATTCATAAATTGTTTTATTCCAATCAACAATAATCGTGATTAGTATCGAATTAACCACTTTTATTTGATTCAAATGAAATTTAAATCTCAATCGAGACAGTTTACAATCAAGTCTGGTTACATATTTTATTGATTTAGACAAATTGATGCAAACAAAATCTTCACGGATTTAATTGTTGATCCAAAACGCAAATCTAAATTTAGTAAATAACTTTGATATGAGTTGAAAAATGAACATTAAATATCAATCAAGTGAACGCAATTGAGCTCAAATTGATATTGATTAATACAACTTTAATCTGGAATTAAGGTTCAACCCGTATATAACAATTTAAAATCAAATCGCCAATTGATTAATGAATGCAGTGAACAGATTCTCATTTTATGTTAGTCAATCAATATCAATAATTGTAAAATAATGTTAGTCTGATGCTTATATTGATATTAATTTTCTCAAATTAAGAATTTAAATTTTCTCGAAATGCTATTCTGTTTATGAGTTTGATAAATTGTTGATTAAGATTGTCTCTTAACCTGAGACAATGCAATTAACATATTATCACGCCACTTTCTTCTCTCCTCAAGTTGTCCAAGAGGAACCTTGCGATTGATCGCTTCAATTATATCCTGAGCAGCTTGACCATCCAATGAAGTTGGGTTTGGACCAAAAGTCTTCAATACATCAACAACTCCAGGACCAAACTTTTTGAAATAATCTTCAACTCCGGCCGCATTGAGATGAGCTGTTTCCCATGGACCAAGAAAAGCATATCGCATACCGAGTCCTTCCGACATGACCGTCTCCACATCCTCTGGACTGATTACTTTGTCCTCAATCAGTCGATAACATTCAGCGAAAATGGCAAACTGTATTCGATTGACGATGAAACCAAGAACCTCTTTATTGGCAACAACCGGCTTCTGTCCAACCTCATCCATCAAAGTGCGCGCTTTGAGGGTAACCTCTTCACTGGTCCAAGGGCTCTTAATGATCTCAACCAAGGGAATGAAATACGGTGGGTTTATGGGATGAACTATTAAACCATTGGATCGATTTTTACACTTTTCAAAGATGACTGATGGTGGAATCCTGCTCGTTGAACTTGCCATGATGGTTGACTCGCTTACCAATGAGTCGATATCTGAGAAAACCTTTTGCTTCAACGCAATATCTTCAAAGACACATTCCTGTTGGTCAAACAAAAAACATGGTTAAACCAGTTTCCAATAACAAGTTGAACATGAACATTACCTGAACATAAAAGGCATCCTTAAGACATTCACCGAGATCCAAAGTTCCCGTAATCAATTGTGACTGCTTTTCCCAATCAAGATTACCTCTTAAAATGCCCTTGTCAGAGTAGGTCTTCAATGTTTCCTTAATTTTACCCAAAGCTCCACTAATTTTATCCTCAGACACATCGTACAATTGAACTGAATAGCCAACTGAGGCAAAAATCATTGCCCAGTTTTGACCAACAAGACCGCTGTGAATGAAAAGGTTGAAATTAAATTCTCATTTGGTTCCATTTTTACCGGTAATTTCAGCAAAATACTAACCTTCCAATAACAGCAACTTTACCTTTACTTGCCATTCCTAGTTGATTAGCTTATTGCTTCTTGAATCCTTGTTTGATTGAATAACCTTAACTTAAAAACTGAAAAAATGTATCAAGTTCACAATGGAGGTTTAAGATTCAAGTCTTAATTTGATTAGATGAGCAAATTGAGTATTTAATTATCTCCTTTTTATGGCTGATCTTGCCTGGTTTAAAATTGTTGAACAAAGCACACTTTAAAAGTAAATGTTTTACAATTTTAAAGCGATTTTATGTTCACACAGAAAGGTTGGACAAACAACTTTTTATGGTGAAGATACTTAAGATTAACTGGCAATATAAACTAGATTGTTAATCAAACAGATTGTCACTTCTAACCATAGCAACGTTGCCAACGTGTAATAAAATTGAAATGATAGATCAAGGTTAAAACCAGCTTTCGACTGCTAATTACAAACCATTGCCTGTTCAGCTTCTCATGAAAATAATGTTGAATTATGATGATTTTCAATTCACTTTTGCTATTGAAAGTACAATTGATTATAAAAGGTTACTGAAGCCAATTTCCATAAGATATTAATATTTCAATTCATTTCAATATCTTTATTCATCTTGTTTCACTATTTAATCCAACTAACAAAATAACTGAATCTTGAAGATTCACAAAATTCACTTCCAGAAGCTCATGTCTTTCCATTGATATGAAAAATTGAAAAATCGCAAAAGAGAGCCAAAGATTCTGATGATTTTATCTCAAATGAATTGATATCAATGTCTAGTCTCAATTGCTGCAAGTTGTCAACATTGGTTGAGAGTTGCATCTAAAATGGGAAAACTTATTCAAAGTTCATTGTCAGAGAAATGTTGAATGATAATTGAAAACACTTTTATTGTCCATTTTCAGATCATTTTAGCTATTTAAAGCGGTAAATGTCACTGTCAGTGTTGATACTCGATTGGTGAGTAAACATTGACATGAATTGTTTCTTCTTGTCTATTCAGTTCTATCCTTTGAAACTTACAATTGTTGATTAACTGTTAAATTTATTAAAATTGTGAGAATGTTGAACTTGACGTGTTTCAACAATGAACGGGTTTTATATTTATATTATTTTTTTTATTAATGAAAAGGAAGACAATTGTAAATATAAAGGGGAAAAAATATTGACTATGATGAGAATAGAAGATGAAGTGGGATGATCATGATGATGATGACAGGAAAAATGTAATTGAATTGTGTGAGGTTACTAACCAGGAATAGAATGAAATTGTTAATAAAACCTTATTACCTTAGATTCGCTCTAATTCAACTGAAAAGCTTTGTATGTAATTGAAATGAGGCAACATTTTCTAGTCAAAACTAATGTTTCATTTGTTCAATTTCAAGTTATTTAAATGCGTTAACCGATTAGCGGTTTTACCGGTTCAAACTTTGCCACATTCCGATGACCAGACAGACCAAGCTTGACATTTAAACTCAACCAAGTCCATTTGCACCAAGTGATTGAGTCAAGGTTTAACGTGCATCATCGGCTTATTTGCATTATTATTAACAAAAACAAATTGTGATTAGAACAAGAAAACTCTCAATTGTAATTCAATGACTGGAGTTGATCCAAAAGTGAAAAAATAAGGCTTCGCTTCAAGATTTTACTCAAAATTGAAATAAATCTTTGGGTTGTTTTGGGTTTACATGAAACTGATAGCATCATAAACAAACGACAACAAGGTTGATAAGGTTTATTAAGTCGATTTGATCTTTAAACATATTCTTGATTTAGTTTAGGTTAACATTGTAATCGACAAATTTTCCAATCATTTGATCGAAAGTTGAAGAAGCATTTTAAGCTAGTTTGAGATAATTAAACAATCTAAATGAAATTTATGTTAATTTGATTCTTTTGATTCTCATATTAGCCATGAATGTTCAAGAATTGAAAATTTAACCCTCATTTGGTGACCATTCATTTGGTGGTACAATTATAATGAACAAAATTGACGTTAAACTTGGAATCATTTTTAAGTTTCTTTTCAGTCAATTTGGGCAATAATTTTGTTCCCAATCAAGTTTGATTAACAGCAAATCATCATTACAATTGACTATTGATGATATTTACAAATGAAAAGCTTCTAATTAATAGAATGATGATGATCCTCATTTATCCATCAACATCATTACGCCTTTCACCATTAAGACCTTGTTGATCACACAATAGACCTTTCTTGGTTATAATTATTATTACCAGTATTATCATTATGATTATTATTATCATTATCATCATTATTACTTATCGTTGTTGATGTTATTACCTTTTACTCCCAATCGACCTGATCTTTGTTGAAAAGAAACAGAATTTAAACTTTCCCTTAATAAAAAGGTAACAAACAAAAAATTGGGTTTGGTGGTTATTTTGGTAATATTATTAGCTTTTTAGGCTCATTTTTACCTGTTTTCATTTTCCTTCTTAATTTTCATTTATTATTTGATTATTTGAACTGAATTTATGAACAGCATTTGAAAGCATGAATTGGCATAAAAATAATCTTTTCATTTGAAAAGCAAAAAAATTGGTTTACTTTTCCAAACGATTTGCATTGTAATATCTAATTCCTCAAAATCTTACCTTGAAGGGGACAAGAAAAGTGTATTAATAGTTTCATTGTTATTCAAGTTTTACCTTATTGGCCGAGTAAAATGTATGAATTACAAATTGTACAATTAGTTAATTCTGTAGGTGACTTTGAGTAAAGACTAAAGTCAACTTTTTGATTGATTACATTTATTCACAAATCATTTTTCTCTGGTCATTTCAAGGTTCACCTTGTGCTGGCGTTTTTTATTACCTCAGATGTGAATAAGCATTTGTAGTTTTGAAAAATAAGTAAAAAAATTAACTCATAACTTGCAATTTGAGGATCAAATTGCGATTCTTGATGAATATGGCGTCAAAAAAGTAGCCTTGAGTCTTGATTTTTTTGGTCAAATCAAGGCTAAAGTCAAATGAATTTAAACTTTGATTGTTTCACTTTGGTTAATTAACTCTGTGCAATTGCGTTAAATTGTTTAAATAAATTTAACATTTTCTTTGTTTCTTTTCAGGTGGACTTGCTTCGTATAAACCAACTTTCCTTTCAGGTGAATCAGCGTCATTTCAATTAGGAGTTTCCAGGGTAATCAAAGAGGAAAATGATAAAATCTGTAAATCGACTGATGAAGATGAAGAAAGTGGAAAGTTCAATATGCTCAAGCCAGCTGAACCCAGTGAAACAAGCTCTTGGTCAACCTCATCAACTGCACTTGATTTACTGTTCTGATTGAAAGACGCAAGATGAACACAAAAGTGAAACATGTTTCAATGAACAGAAAAGAGTTTCAACTTGTCAACTCAAATTTCAATGAAAACTCATTATCTTCTCATCCCAGCCAGCATCATAATATGAATGCAAAATGAACTGAATATATCTTTTATATTCGTTTTTTTTCATCTATCGCCTTCAATCCTTCAATTATACTTTCTCTTGAAATCTATTTAACTATCAATTGTAACAAAAAATAATTTAAAATTAAGAGTTAACTGGAAAAAAGTGAAAATCATTGATGTTAGTCGATTTAATGATACAATTCAATGTATAAGATTGAATAATCTTTTATCCAAACACTTTGCTTACAAATGTTGAATGGATAAACTAATGTATTGATTTAAAAAAAAGATGAAGCAAAAATAAGGTTTTTGTAACAATTAATTAAACCACTGAACCAATTTGTTGTAAATTTAATGTGATCACCATTTAAAAAAAAAGGATGTTTAAGTGCGCTATTAATAACACTCTTGTACCAATGGATAACAAAGTAAACCTTTTATTTTCAAATGCAATCGTTTACAAGTTGATATCAAAAACCACAAATTGAAATGGAAAGTTTCACCACAATTCACATGATAATCATGTTTAATCGAAACATTATCTGTTTACCTTTTAATTGTAAAACTTGAGGTTATTTTCCGATAAAGATGAACCCGTATTTACCAGAAAAATCGGGTTCACTTTGGTTGACACTTTACTTTTTTTCTGGGTTACCAGAGTTTTAACCAAAGGTTTGATCAAGAACCAGACTTGACTTTAACCATTTTTTGAGTTTCCAGTGTTTTTAGTTTAACCTGATTATGAAAATTGTTAAACAATTGAAAGGATTTAATTGAATAGATCAACAAATGAACATTTTAATTGTTGTTTTGTTAATCATTTGTCCATTTTAATGGCTATTGACTTATCACTGTTTCTTTCATTTTATTGTCCATTTTCAATGTAAACAAAAATGAAGCTGGAAACAATTGCTACTCTCAAACCATTCATATTGTTTGGTATTTAAAGTCACTGATTGTCAGCCTTTTTTCATGTTTACTTGTGGTTGGGTCAAGTTGATTGTAATTGTTATTACATTATCATCTTTGCTCCATCAACTGGACTGAGTGAATAAAAACAATTGCTGGTTTATTTGTACAGTTAACTTGTTCATTTGTAGGCTTTGCGTTTTTGTTGTTGTTTAAACAGTTTGCTACGGTAACCCAAATGGGTTTAATTGAAACTGTGAAGGCGTTCAATTTAATTAGACGCCATTTATGTTTCAATCATTTATTCTGATTAAACTGGATTAAATGGATTCTCAATGAAATCCTAGATGTTAAGTGATGACACAACTTGAACATTATATGGTTTGATTAATCAACCTAATTTTGTTTATTGAAAAGTGAAGGTTGAAGATTAACTTGGAAAGGATTAATTACTTTCCATGTTGATCCAGTAAAAGGTGGGTTTTCAGGTTAGATTAAAAGATGCAACATTATTTGGTTAATGGAAGCTTCCAATTGATTCACATTCTCAACAATTAGAGTACTTGTAAGGTTGAGAATTGAATTAATATTTTAAAGAAGGTGAAAGTTTAGATGAGATTCACTGGCTTTACCTTCTCGGTCCCTTTTTGGTCAACTTAGATACGAATCCTTTTAATCAACATCTTTTATGGAATTGGATTAATGGTCAGATCATAAATTAAACTTGAGTTTCTCAATGGTGGCTGTAATGATTAGATTTGGTTCGTTCTGTGAGTTATTATATTCCTTATTGGTCAGCGAAATCGGAATTGGAGCTTTGAAGAAGAAAGTAAATGTTATCTGAATAAATGATTAAAGTTCTTTTCATTTTTCTTTCCGAAATTGTTCCAGAACTTAGGCTCATCTCATCACTTGTGCCTCATTGTGCTTTTAGATTGCCTATTGTTTATTCAAATGATTGTAATTGATTAGAGTTTTCCAAATCCTTATAAGTCCAACATTGGATTTTATGAAACTTAGATTCGTTCAACAAATGGTTCGCCTTCAGCTGATAGATGAGCATTTTTAACCAGTTCTTGTGTCCTCTCATTGAATCAATCAGAATTGTATGACAACCAATCGAACAGATCAGTCAAATCTGGTTTATCCATTTCACAGTTTACAGTCAACATGCAACTTAAGCCTAGTGACTTTTTTTGTTAACTTAACTCTGATTTCTAGTCTACAGAGTTTACCTTACGTTGCGTGTTTTATTCAATAAAGATTTTAAGGTAACGAATCGGCGTGAAATGGCAAAACAATGAAATTGTTTAAGATTTCAATGATTCTGAGATAGAGAAAATTCTGTTTTTTGAATCTGGATTATTGGAAATGCCATTTTTTCAAAATGAAGGCAATTTCAATCTCGATGTTGATCAAAACAATTTTAAAATCGTAATACTTCTCTATTTTGGCAACTGTAAAGGAACAGCAATCCCTGTGACTATATCATTTCATCTTGCTCTGAACTTGGATAGAAAAGTGAAGTGATTTGATCATTTGTTAAAAAGACGCCTTCAATTGATAGATTAATCTATCAATTGAAATGTCTGAAAATCTTTGAGTAAATGTTTTGATTTTTGGGTTTGAAATGCATCGAGATAAACTCTTTGGCCTTCATAAGGCTTAATTTTTGAGAACTTGAGTGACGAATCTTACACCATGCAAGGCATTCTTTCTTTACACCTGTTTTCATATTAACTCGAGAACCATCAACAACAGGCTGAAAAATTGTAAACATTAAAAAACTAAATTGAATCAAAAATTCGAGACCATTTAAAGGGATACAGGGACGCCATCTGTTGTTCCGATTCTGTTCTGATTCGTTCTGTTTAGTTTTTGCTCAAACATGTAAACAAAGATGACATTTTGCTACTTTACCCATTCTGAAAGTAATTTACCTTAAAAGGTGTTTAGCTGTCCTGATGATGATACTATTGTTTTTCAGTGTTCTTCCATCAACTCTAATCGGCAATCGCTACAACAATTAGTCAAAAGGCATGTAAAATAAATCATATCTCGTGATTTACATTCTAGCTATTTTATGTTTACTATTCGTCTGACAGTTTACTCATTTTATCTTCTTTCATTTACCTGGTAACTGTAATTTTTCAGGTGACTATAATGTCATTATTATGTCAATTAAATTGGTTACTACCGGTTTCTTCAATATCTTGGCTTATTTATGCCTTGATGCAGAAAATTACCAAGTTCAGGTATAAAAATAGCTTCAAAAATCAAGTAATATTTATTACTGGAGCTTCTTCAGGCCTTGGAGAGGGTAAGTTTAATTTTGTCTTAATCTGTTTTACAATATCTTTAATTATTATTAGTCATTGATACAATCGTTCTTTTAATTTCAAAGCTTTAACTAGAGTCTTACACAGATTTGGAGCTAAGCTAATCATTGCAGCAAGGGATATAGAGAGGCTTAATGAGCTTCGTGATGAATTAGTCGAGATTTACCCAGAAGGATATCGACCGACATCTTTAAAATTAGACTTGACCAAAATTGATGATATTAGACAAATCACTGAATCAGCAATAAATATACATGGAAAAATTGATATTGTGATCAACAATGCTGGGATCGGCTATAGAGGAACAATAATGTCAACCGACATCAAGGTTTATCAAAACCTAATGGCAGTAAATTACTTTGGACAAATTGAAGTAATTAAAGGTAAGCTTTAATACTCACTCATAGTCTAGTATTTATTTGATTTTTCGGTGCATTAATTTAGCTTTTTCAGATCATTAGGTTTGTAAATAGACCTCACATGAATTGTAAGGCAATTTTAAAGTATACTGATTTCAGTATCATATTATGTCGATCACACCTCATTTCAACTAGTTATTCTGATTGCACTACTACTGAGAAATACTATTGTATTGAGTGAAATATTTCTAGAAAATTTTAAAATTAAAATTTAATTTTATCTTTCAGCAATAACAGAGCATTTTTTAGCGGTTGGTAAAGGAACCATTGTTGGTATTGGCAGTGTTCAATCACAAATAAGTATACCATATAGATCGGCCTACTCAGCTTCCAAACATGCCTTTCAAGCCTTTATGGATTGCCTTCGAGCTGAATTATCTTCCATCCAACCAGATATCAACGTATTAGCCGTGAATCCTGGTTACATTAGAACTAATTTATCTTTAAATGCACTTTCATCCGATGGATCTCTTTACAATCGAGTAGATGAGACAACTGCATCAGGAATGGATCCAAAGACTGTTGCCGATGAAATCTCCTTAGCAATATATCAGAAGAAGAAAGAATTATTCTTGTCAACATTTACTCATAAACTAGCCATAATACTTCGTTACTTGTTTCCTAGTTTATTTTTCATTCTGATGTCTAAAAGAGCCAAAAAATTCGCTTAAATATTTAATGTATATTTATAAAGGTTATACAAATGTTGGTTTAGATATGATTCAATATTTTTTTAACTTTGCTTTAACTGATTAACCGTCCATTTTAGCGCAACAAATGGAATATATATTTATGAATTGTAAAAATATTTTGAAATTAAGAAATATTATGAAAGTCTGATAGATTGCATTGCAATCGTTTAAAAGCCCAATGATAACTGCTTCAATTAAGAAACATAATAAATCTTTTTAAAATGTTATATGTTATAAAATAACACATTAAATAACATTCAATAAAAATGCTCAACTCATTTACTTGCAATAATATTCTAACTTGATGAAGATTAACGCTAAAATCATGTCGAATCAATGTGAAATTTAAATTTATTTATCTATTTATAAATAAATGAGATTTAATGTGTATGATTCAATCGAAATTAGATTCAACTTTATTGCGCCTTAAAAAATAGCTTCAATAATGAATTACAAATTCCTTGGACAAACAAATCGTTCTGTGCGATAAATTAATCTTTTTTACTACAATTTATACACAAAAGAGTAAGTAAATAATCTATAAATGTGATATAAAGTTATTGTTACTAATATCTTCAATAATTTAAATAATATACACCATTTTCAGTGAGATTACAAGAATCAAGTCAACAAAGCTCACAGCATCGGTTTTGAGCTTACAAAGAGCCAACAATTAAACGAAATGGTTTCACCATTCACCTTTTTCGGAGATACAAGGATAATAAATTGAGATTGTCTTTGAATCATGACAGCAAACATGCCTTGATCCATTCAGTTAAGCTCATCTTGATTGTTCCAGTTTTCATTGGGTCCTTTCTGTCAAATAATGTGAACGCAATGCATAGATGAAGTATACTGTGGACAAAATCACCGAATCTAAGGGTTCCATCTTTCCTCATATATCTTAAAACCAGGTATGAAAGGATTTCCACATTCAATTCAAAGCCTGAAATTAAAAAGGTTCAATAATGAGTGAAAAGCTGTACATGAATTGAATTTTAAATTAACATACCGACATCATGTAAAGCCTCCTTCAATTTATCAGCTCTAAGAATACCTGAAGTACCTTTGGTGTGATTTTTAAATATTGCTTGCCAGAATCGCAAAGAACACATAATGTTCTTATAGTCAGTGAACTTTAATCTGCCGTAAGAGCTGCTTGTCTGTGAAATGGTAAGATTAAACAATATGAATTAAATAGGCAAGATAAAATTACAAGTAGCAACTTACGTCTAAAGTTGCTATAATTTGTCTACAAACTTCCAAGGTAGCACAGCTTTTCACATAATCATTGGGTAAACAGCTTTCAAGAAGTTCCTGTAACTCGAATGCATTAACGGTTTTGTGCTAAATTATAGTAATGAAAGGAAATTTATGAGAAAAATTTTGAACAATCAATTGTAAATTGTCACTACTGTTATAGATTGCTAAAACAAAAAAATGTTACCTCATCAGCAAGTTGTAGAAACATGGTTTCATATTGGCTAAATTTAAGGTCAAAAGATGGTGGAGCTTTGATTATGGGTGATTTTATAAGTGAAGGTGATGAATCAAGAAATGATAATTTGATAGAATGAATCGAATAAACTCTTATTGAAAATTGACCTTCCTGTCCTGGTTCGAAGCTTGTTGGTATAAGCACAAATTTACCCTCTTCTAATTGGCACCTCAATGAGATCTGCTTGGTATTGGTGTAAAGTGAATTGTGTAATGAACGATTTCGCTTGAAAAAACTTTTATCCAGTCGAGTTTCACCTGTATAGCCAATGTTACTACACGAATAGAGGCTAAATCCGATTACTTTAGGCTCTAAGACAGAATGTTGATTTAAACAAATGACAAGAGTATCAGGATTGTTAAGAGTTATCATGAGCTGAGGATTAGTATGAAAGGTCTGTACATGATTACGGCAGCCACCGGCAGTTACACCTTTACGCCAAATACCTAGATAAAGAGATAATTTCAAAAAAGAAAAATTAATTACATTTATCAAGTTCATGGTTAAAAAAGTTTAAATGCAATATTCAGATTATTAAACAGTAGATGGCATGATTAACACAATTAACCGCCATTTAGTTGAGGCGCTATTTTTGAAAAATACCGTAAGCATGAAACTGAAGCAAAATCAGTGATAAATGATTTTAAATCATTTATTTAATTGTCTCTAATCAACCTCTTGAACCTCTTAAATCAGTTTTAAATCTAAAAAATTATTTCTTAAGTCATTTATACACACAAGTGTCTAAAATTTACTCCTATCTATCTGATTTTTCAAGTCTATTTTATCATGAAAAGCCTCACCTTTAACATTAGCATCTAATTAAATTTTTCAAGTGTAACTTTGACTAAAGACTAACCTAAGCTGAATGAGATCAAAAGCTGATAATTGTTTTGTTGTTGTTGAATAACAATTTATAAAATTCGGACTGACCAGAAACAAAATATTGGAAAAGGTTGATCATTAAATGTGGGCAGGAGCTTTGCTACCTTAGCTGTACATTGTTTTTATTTTGTTGGTGTTTCACTTAATTATCTTTAATTAAGTCTCACTTCTGGATGGAGATATTGCTTCCAGTATTAAACTCGTTATCAACCAGTCACTCCATGAACCCTGCTATTTGCCTTGTTATCAATAATGTTGAACTTACCTCGCCAAAATTTAATACACCAAGGACATTTGCCCCTCAGCGTTGGTTCATCTTTACTTGTCTCTGCATCCAAATGGATCACCTCAAGTGAGGTAAAGATTTTCATGAAATCATAATAGGACATCCAAAATTCACCCTCATCACAAGATAGAGTTTTCCTCTCATCATTTGTTAATCTGGACCATTCTATTGAATCTTTACCCCAGCTGCCAATGTAATCTGAACTGGTTCCCAGGGGATTCCTTAGTTTAATCAATATTGGACAAGATTCTTTGTGATCTAACCTTTGAACTTCAATGACCCGATAATTGGTTGCTAAATAGATTCCATTGGCAAGCCTTTCATATGAGCTGGATACTGGACTTCCATTGATTGGTGTTATTGCAGTATTTTCATTGGAAACAACAGCAGTTACTATTGAAGTCATCGAGAGCAGTTTGTTTATCAAGGTTGAACAAGATGTTGGTTCCTCTCTCAAAGAAATACTTTCAGCTACACCTGTAAAGCAAAAAAGTTACTTGTTACTTTGGACCCATTAAAGCGAGAGAAAATTATGAGAAATTATTTCAGTGTTAAATTAATTTCAAGATTCCAGCAAGTCATGATTGCTGTTTTAATACAATAACAGAAGCAATTTGGTCAGCAGGTTTAACCAGCAGTCTCAAAGAACCTCAAATTACCTCATTTCTCCTGATTTCTGGTTTGTTTCTTTTATAACTTCACATCTTAATGTAAATGTTTCGTGCTGATCTAACCCATGGATTTGATAATGGCCTTTACAAAGACTCAATTTTTCTCTTTTGACCCAAACTTTATTATGTCATGGTACCTGTTTAAATTTGTTCTGATGAACCAGAAACTGCCTGATTTCCTGATGAAGCTGAGGCTTTAGCTAATTTTAATGATGGAAGCTAAAATGGATCTTCACTGAAGCTCTGATGATTTGAAAAGATTTACAATCCGCAAAAATGATCTCAAATCTGAATTAACAAACAAAATTAAACTCAATTCAATATTAGATTGAAACCAACTCTAAATAACAAGCTTCATCCTTTCGTGTTTGCCATTAATAAAGATGGAATTTATCTATCTGTTGGACCTATTCTCATGAAATCCTGAATTTTTGACGCTAATCAATAGACGATTATCAATCGCACGGATTTTCACCGATAAGCTGTTTACTAAATTAGATGATAAAAATTACCAATTGCGCTTAACTAATCGATTAGCGATTTACATGCATACTAAACAAGTGTTGAAGCAACCTCGTCTAACTATATTTTCATGGCTGGATTCAATATTACAAGTGATTAGCAAGTCAACTTGACACTGTTCCAAAGCTTGATAGTAATTTATTTTATCAACTTGTTTTGGTTTATGTTTGAACATCCGAAACATTTTAATTGCTCACATATCTGCTTAATTAATTTTAATGTCTAACAAAATGACAAAACATTGTCATTCATCGCTAAAAGATTATTTCAATCCTTTTTAGAACCCTTAGGCTGCTTATTGATGTGAGCTAAAGTGTTATATTTGTGGCATCAGGATGGCATTTGATCTTGCTCTTAAATTATCTCTAATCTAAATAATTAAATGTCTATCAAAGTAAGTAAACATCTTGCAGGATCAGCTAACTATCAGATAATTGTTATAAATAATTGTATTATTAACTCTTTAATTAGATATTCGAGTGCTTCTTCGTTTCCATTAACTTTAGCTATAATTTTAAAGTGCAAACTTTACTTAACTTGCTTTTCTTGTCAATTTTTTTCTTGCAGCTAATTTCGTGTTAACTGATGTTTTACTTTCTGATGTTGATGCTGCTTTTTCAATTGGAACATTTTCAAGCTATGATGATCACAGTAATTTGATCCACGCTTCTTGATTGTTGATGTGGTCAAATAATTACCAACTCTTTTTCAATGAAAATGGACTAGACAATGAAGGGAAAAGGAAATAAACCCGAATTGTCTGGGTAGAATGACTATGAAGTAATGGTTGAAATTAACTAACCTCCAGTGAAATCAGATAATCCTTCAATGGTTGAACCATATTTGAGAGCTTCGTAGGAGCCATGAAGCTTTGCATAAGCCTTTTCCAATAGCGAAGCCCAAAAAGTATCACCTTTAGTTGATTGGATGAAAACAAGTTTATTATTTACAGTTGGTAAACGATCATCAATGACAACCTCTTTCCATTCATCATGCCACCAGAGACGAAATCTGAATAATCCACAATAATTATCTGGATCGAATGATTGATCAGCTGGTACAACGCGATAAAATAATCCTTTTGTTAAGGTTAAAGAGGCAATTGTTGAGACTAACCAACGATCACCCAATTTACCGGGATTAATATCAAAAAAGTTGTGGGAATTGAATAAAATTGCATCGTCCAAGAAAACTGGATAATTGGTCAATTCCTTTGGACGTTTCCATGTAAACGTAAATGGTGGAGTTTGGTGGTAAAAAACAGATGATTGGGTTGCAGGGAAATCAGGGTCTTCAAACAGTTGGCCTGATTTGAGTAAATTTCGGCGAAGCTTTTCATCATCGGACGATAACATTGTTGTGATATATTTTGATGGATGATAAATTAATTTACAATTATCTAGAAGTTTCAACTGCTAATGGCACTACTTCTGATCTTTCATGGCTGAAATTCAAAAACAATAAATTGGTTGGATTAGAAATCACAAGTTTATGATTGATCAATTGTCACTTTAATGTTGTAGCACCAATAAGTAAAATAGATTAGTGTAAATGGGTAGTCAACAATCAGTGGGAAGATTATGGTGCTGATGATGGTGATTTAATGAGAGAACAAAAATGTAAACAAATTACTTTGAGAAAATGAATAATCAGTCACTTTTTACACAATCAGTGGGAGTTGAGGTGAAATGTGAAGGTAACTTGTCTCTTTAGGTAAGGTTAATTAAATAAACGGTAAACAAAATATTTTTGTAAAGAGTTGTGAGAGCGAGTAAGAAGGTTGGGTCAAAGTGGACTCTGAGGGCTAGCTGAAGACACGACTAAGGAATCTAAATGATGATGATGATGGTTTTGGTGATGATGATCATGGAGTGAATTGATCCGGGACGAAAGAGTGGCCCTCAGTATGAATGTTTGTTGCCATTCTGCCAGGTAAATGGAGAGCAGAAAGAGGGATTGGAAGAAGTCGGTTTACAAAAAGAAGAGCGAAAGAAAGAGGAAGAAAGAGAGAGAGAGAGAGAGACAGGCTAAAAGATGATGAAGAATTGGGTATTTAAGAATTATTCAGAGGAAGAAGAAGGTTCAGCAGAACTGGTGAAAAAAAGGAAAGAAGATGATATAACTTGAAGGGCAAGTTGACTTCTTCAACCGTGAATAGGTTTTGCTTATCCGGGAACAAGTTGACCTGTTTTTATTATATATATATCTCTATATATATTTATTTTGACTGCTTCCACTCAATTCACTATTAGTTAATCACAAGTTGATTGTGGAAGATACAAATAATAATAAGCGAGAAAAAGGAGAAGAAAAAAAAAGAAATAACTTCTTCAAAAACAAGTTGAGGCCTTAAAGAAATCAAGTCCATCTTTACTGTTACTGCACTTCTTAACGGACACTTCATGTTTTTCTTGTTCAACTGGTAATTATAACACATTATTTAAGGATGGGAAACGAGAATTAACTGTGTTAACACTTGAAGTAGATTATTCATCAATTTGAATCACGTTGAAGAAGTTGACCGTCAATTCAATGGCTCATATTACATATTTTATCATTGCAATGCCATACAATGTTACATCGATACCTTTCACATGTGATATCGATATCCCAATTTAGCCATTTTTCAAACAATTTTCACAACTGTTAGACGTTATTTCAACTCAACAATTTCCATTGATTGTTAATTTGGTTTGTAGGCAACATTCACTTTACCAGCAACTAATGGTCATTGTTTTCAAAACAATGACTACATTTAAACAAGGCCATGTCAGATGTTGATCAAATTTGACAGTTTGATGTTCAAGTAGAGGCTTATGAATATTTATTGTAATTCAATTTTAGAAGGAATTTAGGTAACAGTCTAGTTATACGGACACAAAACAATAACAAAAGCGTTAATTGAGGCCCCAGGCCATCCAAGCCCAACCGAACCTAACCAAACCTAACCTAACCTAACCTAACCTAACCTAACCTAATCTAACCTAACCTAACCTAACCTAGAGCGCGATAATAAACGATTAATTATTTGAATCTATAGCACTGTTTATTATACTGTGTCCGTATAACTAGACTCTCACCGGAATTTATAATGAAACTAATCAAAACAGTTAAATAAACAATTGAAATAAACACAGCTGTACTCATTAAATTAGTCACTACATTAGATTTTAGCTTTTTTTTGCTTGCGATATCTTTTTGCTCCAGAAAGCTACTCATTCAATTGTTTTTTGTTAGCTCAAGTGGCTTTCTATCTCTAAATTTAATTAATATTCAATCAATGTAAATGGTTTAAGTAAACTAATCGTGTTTAAAGTAAATTAAAAATAGTAAGCTTAATGTTTATTCAACTGTAATTTTAAATTTGCCGCTAGTTTTTTAGGTAACCAATAACAAATACCGGTAATCTTTTGTTAACCGCCGAGTGAAGTCACCACTTTAGAGAATCATTTTTAAAATGCAGTGAGGTTTTTCTGGTCTTTTTAGGTTTCCGATTTGGTTTTAAGTTAGACTTGTGGGTGCCTCCCTTTAATTGTTTGGTGTTTTATATTAATTTCTGGTTGTTTGATTATTAAATATAGTTTTTTACTATTGAATTTGTGAAATTATATACTACTTAACACCAATCATGGCTTCAACTGAAAAGTCAAAGCGTTCAACTACCATAGTTGAGGTTTCTTCATCTGAGTCTCGTGCGACAAGCCCTCTTAGTGTTGCCATTAGGACCAGAAAACAAGAGAAAAATGAACTTGCCAATTTAAACGATCGTCTTGCCCAATATATTCAAAGAAACCGAGAACTTCAGCATGAGAATAACAACTATGCCACTGAGATACAATCACTGAAAGAAAGTTGGCAACGAGAAATTAATAAATCTAAAGCCGTTTGCGAAAAAGAAATCAGAGACCTTCGTTTGGCTCTAGACGAAGTATCCACTCAAAAAGCTAAACTTGAATTGGATACCAACCGATTTAGGACTGAAAAGGATGAGATTGATAAAAAGTAAGTTACTCAATCTTTGAGTGTTTTTTTTTAAATTTAATCAACTCTTCTTCACATCTCCTTGTTTCAATTTTAGACTCAAGGCAAAACAAAAGGAGTTCTTGAATGTTCAGAAAAAATGTGAATCACTGGAGACACAGTTGGATGATGCCAAATCTCGCCTTAACCAATCTCACAATGAGAGAAAAAGATTGGAAGACAATATCAATGAGCTCAACCATGATCTACAATCGGCCAATAAACAACTTCAAGATGCCCAACGACAGTTGGAGGCTGAAGTATATTCTCGAGTAAACCTTGAAAATCAAATTCAAAGTTTACGGGAGGAGCTTATTTTCAAAGAAACTTTACATGAGCAAGAATTGAGTGAAACTAGAGTCATGAGGGAAACGCAAATTGAACATGCTGTTGAAGAGCAAATCAAAGAGCAGTATGAGCAAAGACTTGCTGATGAACTTGCTGAATTGAGACAGATAAGCGAGGAACAAGTTCGTCTCAACCGTGAAGAGTTAACTCGAACCTATGAAGCCCAACTGAAAGAGCTACAAAAGCGTTTGACTAGTAAAAGCAGCTCAGAAACTACTCTCAAAAATGATTTGCAAACTTTCAGAAATAAGGTTGACTCTCTTACCGCTAAAGTTTCAGAATTGTCTGCAGTCAATGAAGGATATAAGTCTCGTATCAAAGACTTGGAAAAATTGATTGAGCAAGAAAGAAACTGGGCAACATTGTCATTACGGGAAAAGGATGAAGAAATGAGCAAACTTAGAGATGATCTCAAAGAAATTCATAAAGAATATCAAGATTTATTGGATCTTAAAATTGCCTTGGACCTCGAAATCAATGCCTATCGAAAAATGTTGGAAGGAGAAGAAACTCGACTCAGCTTATCTCCTAGAAAGAGTCAGGGTGGACCCGATGAAACTTCTTCAACCTCTGGCCGATTAGCAACTCCCAGAGTCTATGCCATGCCAAGAAAACGCAAACGGGTTGTCATTGAAGACAATGAAAATACAGTTGAATTTAAAACCTTCTCTGACTGTCGAGGTGAAGTTCAAATCAATGATTATGATCAAGAGGGAAAATTTGTCAAGCTTCACAATAAAAGTGACCAAGACATCTCATTGAGCGGATGGCAATTGCAACGTAAAATTGGAGAAAAGGTGGTCACCACCTACAAATTTCCTCGAACCGCAACTATCAAGGCCGGGTCAGAAGTAACGGTTTGGAGCTCTGATAGCAAAGTGACTCATAACCCGCCATCAGATATATTGATGAAAAACAATTGGGGAACCGGTGATGATATATCTACCTCATTGTTAAATCCTGATGGAGAGGTAAGTTGGGCGTGACTCCGTAACATGTCATTAGCTTTTAATATGATATTAATGTTCCCTTTATTTGGTTATTTTACCTTTCTATAGGAGGCTGCCATACGATCCACAACCAAGGTCATTAAATCTCATAAGTTTCGGAGGCTTGCTGATTCTTTTGGGGATTACAACTACTCTGAAGTGAGTTTAAATTTTCTTTGTTAAACAGTTAATCATTTTGAAATTTATAAATCTATTAGCTAATGATTATAACTGTAAATAATAGTTCAATTTCACTAATCCCATTTTTCAAGAGTTTATTTAAATGAAAGTTGCTTTATTCAAACAAAAAGCTAAACCTTTTAGTAAAAAAATAAGCCCATTTTTGGGTCATTTCAATAATTTGTGACCATCTGTAACTCATCATTAACCTTTCTTTTTATATCCATTCTCTTTTCTTTACCTACAGGTTGATAGCGGAGATAATAAGGAGAAATGCATCCTGATGTAGACATCCATTTTCTTGGGAGCGCTTCATTTCTCATGAAATTACCCAACTAATCCATAGCATCATATCTTTTCATATAAAAAATTGAACCCAGTGCTTTTACTATTTTCACCATCTCTTCAAATGTTCCTCTTTTTTTCCGTCTCACCTTCGCACCAACACAACACGAAAACAAAGCCTTTTCAATAGATTGACACTTATATTTAAATTTGATTCGAATTTGTATTGCAATAAATCTTCAATTTTTCAATTAACCCAACAAAGGGTAAAATGTTAAATGGACGGGATTAACTTTGCCCAAAAATAAAAAAGCTAATCAAAATAATTGTGAAAAGCAAAACTGCACAAAAAAACAATTTCAATATAAACACGGGAAAAGCTTGAAAATAACAAGCTTAAGCCAAAAGTAAATGTTTCATTATTGACTGGATAAAGATGATGAAGATCAAGATGGTGATGATGTTGAGAGATGAAAGACAAATTGAAGATGGTGATAATACACAGAAAAAAAGAGGCCTTTACCTGTAAATTAGGATACAAAAGCAATTTGATGTGTTGATCAATGAAACTGTATACAAAGTTGAGACTAGCCATGAATAGGGAAAGTAAAGCCTCTCGAGAGGATCAAAGTTTGTTAAGGGAATGACAAGGATTAAGAAAGACATTTAGTTAATTCTTTCTTTCTTATCATCTTTATCTTTCCCTTGATCCACCTAAATTCACAGTTGTACCTTAATAACATTGAATACCCAAAAAAAAACAACGGAAAAGTTGAATAGAAAAATAAAAACCTGAAAAGTGGTCAGCATCTTCATTGACTAAATCATGAAATTAATCCAGCAAAAAGGAAACAAGAAAACTACTAAAAAAAGCAAAGAAGACAATGATGATGACGATGATGATGAGTGAGTGAGACAACAGAAGATTCGGCGCATTCCATGGAAATGATGAAATCCATTCAAACTCCCAGTTACTGAGATAACATTGATCAGTAAGTTATAACAAGGCACCAATTTATCAACAGTAACCGAGGAAAACAAAGACAAAAAGATATTTAATTGTGTATCAGACAATTGTGACAATTGTATAATCATTGAGGAAATTGTTAATCATCACGATAATTGTCTCCTAAGATTTGCACTCAAAGAGTGGATCGTTTAAACTTTACGTGAAAACACATTTGGATTATTAAAACTTGCAGTGTATTTAACCTTTGATTATCAACTAAAAGTGTTTCAATTTGTAACAATTGTGTGTTTAGTGCAAGTGACAATTTATTTGTGGATTAAACAGTAAGCTCATCATCAGTTTAAAGGTAAGTAAAACCCAAATGAGTCTTGGAGAAGCAAGAAAATGATGAAAAATTGAAGTAAATGATTAAAGGAAAACAGAACTGCATTAGAAGCTGTTTTTGATATTTTGTTTCATTTCAGCTCAAAACTGACCACTTGGAACACTTTTCTTTAGAATAATTTTCTTACCGAGAAAATTTATTGTTTACTGTCAACATCTTGTCAACTGAATGCTTGTTTCTGACAGTTTCACATCAATTGTCAGCAAGTTTGTGTATTACACCAGAAACAGCAACAGAAAAAATAAAACAACAAAAAAGCCCAAAACATTAATCGAAATATGTTTGAACACGAAGTGCAAAATTGAACCAGAAATTTTAAACTCTAAATGTAAGGTAACCAGAACACACAATTGCCAAATTGTTAACAATTGAATCATGAGAATATTTGCTAAAAGAAAGTCGAACGCCAGATGAATGGAGAAAATTTTCTGTAACATTTCAACTCCAAGTGGCATCATAATTCCCTGTTAAATATATCTACACATTTATCTCATTTTTACCGGTAACTTATGAGTAACTCTTGTAATGAGAATGATGAAGATGAGGAAAAAGGAAGTGCATATAAGAGGATTAATCTTCATCTAAAAAGTTTCACACAATTTTCTTCTTCTCCTGTTTCAGACTAACATGGAGATAATGATGAAGGATAAAGAGTGATATTCATTGAAAATGGATTCTTGATTGTTGTTTTTTCACTTTAATCATAAACAGTATTTACTTGTTGGCAAAGAAAAGGTAAAAATGAAGAAAAGTCTTTTCACTGAAAACTGTTCACTACTTTAAACGATATTAACATATGAAGATGATGATATTGGAAGACAATTTTCCTTTCTTCTCATGTTTATCGTTCTGAACATTTTCTCCTCAATTCAATCCATTTGTTTTAGTTTTGCTTTCCACTGTTTAACGAGCTTTGCTGTCACAAAAACACTTGCAATCACAAATTATTATCACCATGAAATTATCAATAGAAAAGTGAGAAAAATTGAAAAGCAGAAAAAGAATGAAAAAAAAATCTGAAAAACTAATTTACCAAAATTGCCGTAAGCCAAGTAACAACATTGAACCAAAAGGAATCATTATTTTTGTTCCTTTTTTTTCGTTCATTGATTGAACAACCAACAATTGATCCGATAAATCAGTTTAATAGTGATAATGGAAAGGAAAAGTTTGCCAGAAATGAGCAAAAATTTTGTGTAAATCGTGATTAATCTCTTCTCATGTTTACCTGATTTGCTCAATGTTGATGGAAAGAGTAATGAAGGGAAAAATAAAAGGATTGAAGCCAGTTTGTATGTTGATTTAAAAGTGGTTTACTGTCATTGATTGGGAATTGGTGAGTCGCTGGATGATCATGGAAGAGGATAAAAGGTGTAATAAGATAAACAAGATATTCAGTTGAATGTCACTTTGATTAGCATGTTAAAAGGGAAACCTGTTTCTACATTTTCCAATGGGAATTTTCATTTACACCATTTTTCAATTAATCTGATTCACTTATTATTTTCCTTGGCAAACACAAACTTCAATATCACCATGTTCATCATTATTTACGTCCCTGTCTTCTCCTTCAACATGACTGTATTTATCAATTGAACTGGCTGAATCGAAGTTAATGAAAAAAAACATTTTGATCGAATCACTCGTCATTCTTGAAAAGAACGAGTTTCATCTCCAAACCAGTAAAAAATATATTCAGTCTGCTATAAAGTCTGTTTAGGAATGCAAAAAAGCACACAAAAACTCAATGAAATATTGAAGTAACATTCAGTTTCATTAAAGAAAATGTTATGAGATTTTGACTTCGAAACAGTTTCACTTCGAATTAAACCCCAACAGTCAAAGAGCCAATTCATTGACAATGGAGCAATCGATTGTCTCAGTAAGCCAATGCTAATGTTTTCCCTTGCAAGTCAACCTGATCTAATAGTAGATTGTCAGTGAGCTTTTAGCACTCATTAAGCTGACTTTCATTATTAAAATCATTTTCGTGAAACTTGCGTTTTGGCTCAATATAAGTGTGTAATTATGAAGCCCATTTGATGTTGAACTTGATGCAGGGAAAGGGACTCTTCTCAGTTGATAATTCATAATCTCAAGCCTAACAGGTCTTGGAAAGTCTTGGTTGGCATTTTGTTTTATGAGAAAGCAAAAGTCGATTCATGATCTTTAGTCAGTTTTAGGCGGACAAAGTTAAGGTTAGGGTGAAAGGGGAGATAAAAATCAAGACGATAATGTTGATGATGATGATAATGGTAACTTGGTTGGTTGAAATTGAAATGTAAAGTGAATAAATGAAGGAAAGAAGATCACATTATGTAGCCCATTTAATGTTGAATTTGATGTTGTGAAAGTGACTATTCTAGGTTGATCATTCATGACCTCAAGCCTCAAGTCTTGGTTGGCATTTTGATGAAGGTTATGATGAGAGCAGAAGAAAGTATCGACTGTAAGGTTATACTATCGATTTCACGGAATATTCAACGATTAGTTGAAAGGTTCATTTTCATCTTTCGTTTTTCATCTGGTCATTTCACGTTTTGGTGCATTTTATAACATTTTATTCATCATTTAACTTGAACTCAACTTCAGTTGGCACAAAAGCGCATTTTGTTGAACCTCATTGTGTAGCCATTTTGAAACATTGAGTTGATCCACTTAATTCAATGTTTCCTTCCGATTGTTCATTTCCGATTCATTAAAACCCTTGAAAACATTGATAGCGCTTCAAGGGGACAAAAAACTCATCTAATCAACTAATTAGCAGAACACAAACAATTTGTTGAAACTAAAAGCTCAAAAAAATCTTGAAAAGCGAAACAAAAAAATTTTCCAAATAATTTATCTTTAACCTGTTCTTCACCTTAAATCTTTCGAGTTTGAATCAAAAGTTAATCACTCGATTAAAAGGCTTATTAACGAATTGATCACCTTTTCATTTCTTTTGATTACTTTTGATTTGCATTTAATTGCTTTCCCTTTCCTTTGGAACTGAAAAAATCTCAATTGTGATCAATATCTTGCAAGTGAATAATCAAATGGATTATCTTGATTATCTTTTCTCATCAATTCACATTAATTATAGCTTTAATCGATTCAAGACACTTTCTGATCAACTAATTGCAATCATTATTTTCACTTCCATTAATCTTGATTAATAAGTTAATAATCAAGGAATAAAGAATGAAAGGCAAAAATGAAATTCCGTTTTTTCCTCATTCCTTCCATTTAATCCAATTCATCTTTTCTGCTTTTACCATTTAACATTCATGTAACATCCATTCAAGATGATAATCATGACAATGATGATGACGATGAAACAAGAATCTAATGATAACATTGAGAATCATTCATTTTACCTTTATTTATGTATAAATAATATTATCAGGTTAAATATTTATCATTGGAAAAGGTAAAGAAACTGAAATATTTATATTTTAATAGCAACAGCAAAATGTTAAACAAAAAAATTACTCTTCTTTTTGCTCTTATCCAATTCATTCCCTGTCATTATTATCATCTTTTAAAGATAAAATAACAATAAAATTGTTGCTGCTTTCATCATCATCATCATTATCATCAACTTTATCATCCTTTTTTTATACCTTTTAACTAAATATCAATAACATTTATTGCAAAGTTGAAAAAAAAGAAACTATTAAATTTTTTTATTGCTCTTCCAGTAATGATAGACTTTTTGTTCCTTCATATAAATATTATTCATTAACTAACATGATAACTTCATTTGAGATGAAAATTTTCTTTTCATCCAATTATTACTAAATCATCGAATATTTGGTTTTTTGGCTTTTTTTGCTGGTAAAAACTGTTCATTATTTTGTTATTTGTGATTAGAAATATTTTTTTCTGGGAGTTTCGTTTCTTGGAGTGAAAAAAGCATTATATTGATTAAGGAACGAGTAGAAAGATATCAGAATTGTTCAGATTAACTCAATTGTTGGCCTTTGTTTTGTTAAATC